CCAAAAACTCAACCACAGCACACTGTTTATTACATACTGACAGCATCTTCTAAGACTGCATTATTTTCAATTGTAATCCAGATATTTTTAGTGGCAGAATTATGACTCTACACAAAATGGTGCAGGAAAAGTCTAAGCAAATGAATGGAGTTTAGTTCACATTACTGTACGAGTATTTTAAAGAAAAAATGAAGGTTTTACTTTTCAGCATGCCATCATACATTATTAAAGTCAATGACAGTAACAATTATAACAATGAATAATAATTAAACAGTTCTTTCCCCTAAGGCAGGAAGTGTGCTTACAGAGGTGATATATGTATGTAGTGTGGGGGAGAAAACAGCCAGCTTGAGCCCACACTGCCCACATTGATTTATTCCCTGACATCATCTTAACTGGACTGGAAGACTTCTACAAACACTGAGCCCCCGGGACCATTAGAAAGGAAGCTGGGTGGGTCCCAGAGATAGTCTGGACACTACAGAGAAGACAAGAATCACTTGCCTCTCCTGGCAACTGAACCTCAATTCCACAGCTATCTAGCCTGCAACCTGTTGATAAATGACTGAGCTATCTCAGCTTCCAAACCAACCTGGATCAACTTAGTTGTTTTTATTGTTTAAATGTTTACACTTATTGCATGAAGTAAATTTATTTGAAACCAACCTGCTATGTAGTAATACATTTACTAAATGCAGTAAATGCAAACAGTTCAAAGCTATAGTTCCAACATTATAAATGTAACTACAGGGAGATCAAAAAGTCATGCAAATCACACTAAACAATTATATTTAACTGGTTTAATGCACAAACTACAAGACATACAGCACTTTCTACTAATGTTTATAACCTTATATCTTAGAAATGCAAAATCAAATCATGTCTTTACAACATATGCTCAAAATGGCTTCCCCATTCAGCAATGCATGCGTGAACTCTTTTTACCATGTTTGAGGCCACTTTGTGGAGCACCTGTAAACTGATGCTGTTAATCGCCGTCATAGTGTTCTTCTTGAGGTCATCCAGTGTATGCTGATTGTTTTTATAGACAATTCCTTTGAGGTACCCCAAAGGAAAAAAATCTGCAGGTGACAAATTGGAGGAACGTGGGGGGCACAATCCTTTAGAAATGGGGCGGTCACGGAAAAACTCGCACAAGAACTGCATGGCTTCATTAGAAGTGTGACATGTGGCACCATCTTGCTGCAACCAACACTCACGTTCATCAACTTCAAGAAGCACAATAAACTGTGTAATGATGTCTTGGTATACTGGACTGTTCACTGTTGTTTCAAAGAAAATTGGGCCCACTATTTGACGTGGTACAGCACACAAAACTCCAATTTTCTGATAATGCAAGGGCTTTCCATGTAACATATGTGGATTTTCAGATGACCAAATCCTATTGTTTTGACTGTTCATGTAGCCACTAAGGTGAAACCACGCTTCGTCAGTGAAGAAAACCCGATCAAAATAATGTTCCACAATGAAAAATTGTTACTCATGGGAAAACGACATGTCTGTCACGCAATGAACAAAGCTACACTGCAGACGTCGTATGACCGATACATGATAGATGGAGTTTCTACTCATTGTTAGTACTCCTATAGCACCATCTAGCGGTAGGAGATATAATTAATTACATTAACTGCAATACAATTTATAACAAGTTTTAGTCTGATGTGCGCAACTTTTTGATCTCCCTGTAGTTGGATGTAGTTACCACTTTAAAACTTAACTTCATTTCTCGTTTGCAGTCAAAATTCTAACTAATTAAATCTGTCATTAAGTAAAATGGTTCAAAAATTTCCAATGAAACTGAATGCCAACTGGTGAAGGCTTATTTATAGCAAGAACAAAGCATGTGCTTCAGGAATATGGTAACTACTCATATTATCTACCATTAAAGTGAGTGGCAGTCTACATTTGTGATTTATGTTCCTCCTCCATTTTATGTTACTCATGAGGCCATAGTTCAATTTGCATTATTTCAGACTTCACATGCAGCATGACAATGAATCTTATCTAAATCTGAGTTCATTACAAAAGAGTCACAACAAATATAATAGCTACTTTAAAGGTCAACTATGAGAAAAACAGGCAATAAAAAGTTCTCTGTTACATTTCCACTTTAAGCAATTATCCACAGTACAGTATCTGTGAAAAGTTTCTTCCTTATGTTACACTAGTACAGTTAATTGCAAATCTCCATGACTAAGGGCATTAATGTGGAACAGAACAGAAACACAAATTCATAATTCTATCAACCTATGATAGGAACTAATGTAAAATACAAATTAAAATGGCTCCACCAGAATAAATAATGGCTGACTCAAGAAAAACAATGAGTAGTTAACAGCTCCTAGCTAACTAAGCCCTGTTCCTTCATTCATATAGGTGGGGTGCTTCTTGCAGTTTCAGGTGCTGCAGTCTTAAACAGTTGATACTGTGACGTGTCGCGCTATGGACACTATTCCCCCCCTCCCCCCAGCGGCGGTGACGTGCCGGGCGGAGCCGAAGCGAGCCAAGTCCCAGCACACTGGTCGCTATGCAATGTGGGTAAACAGTGGTTGCGAGAGACAACTCCCGACAGCGTTACCAGTAACACCGGTAACCACGGTGCCAAACAACAATGGTGCCTGTTACGTGGCTGTTTTCTGCGTTGTCTCGAACGAGGCTAGATACGGAGCAGCAAAGACTAGTCATAGTTAGTTCGAAGTTCTCAAGTTATGAGTTACGAATCAGCCAGGCAGTCAACCAGCATTTGCAGTGTAGTATTTGTGATACTGCCGATGGCAGTAAAAGTCAGATTGTAATTTGTGTGACTGTAAGAGTGAATGTGAAATAAAATTCGCTATATCAAATATGGCGTGAAATTATTTGTCGCGTTATACACTCAACACGTGAGTGGAGGTGGAAAAAAGGGTACACCAGGGCATAAAACTATTGCATGTATAATTATGCCTATTTTTTGAGTACTCATGCTACACAAAGGGGAAATGTGTGGGTCAAACGCACGACTCCTTACTCATATGACAAATGGAAGGAAAGTTGGTCCTGTGTCTTCACACCTTAACAAGCATATATGATGTGCAGGCACAGAGCTGCAAGCATTCTAAACATAGGAACCTGAGAGATACCAAACAGGTTGGTCTACAGGTGATGTTCAAGACATATTCTGGACATCCTGGCCTGAATGTGGCTATAGCCACTCCTTTAAAAATACCTTCAAATTCATAACTTGTTCATCGTCCTACCATTCAACGCCATATAGTTTTGATACTGAAAGCAAAGTTAAATAACCCTGACCCTAATTAAAGGGAAACAGATATGTGTGATAAGTTCAAGGTGCTACTGCTTTATTGCTGGTACACACTGGATGGGAGGGCGGCAGACTCCAGCATTGGTCAAGATATGGTGGTAGATAGAAAACAATCTTCATCCCTCATCATCCAGCCATCAGCCAGCCACTTTACTGACTGATGTCCTGGCTCATTTGAATTATTTTAAAAGAACTCCTTCTGCCATAAGTTTAGTCAAGGATACACACTATACAGAGTGAACTGAGCTTAAGTGAAATGCAGTATTAAAGAACTTCCTAATTCTTGTTTCTTGAAATGTTTCATATTGCAAAACTTGACTAAAATGTCAGAGATACTGTTAGAAAAAAAATCTTTAAAATTTACTGTGTACCTCAAAAACATTTATCACCCAAGAGACATTACTTAAAGTGTGCATGCGCTCGAGCACACATGTACGCCGAAGGGCACACACAAAATAACAATATTGATAAAAAAGGATATTCTCTAAGGACCTGTAAACAGTTCATATGAAATAAAGTCAATCAAGCCAAATGAATTGGCCAGATTTCTTGTGAGAAGCATCTTAGTATTCAAACTGGGTCAGTCTGAAGGTATTTTGGTATGGATGTGCTACAATGAAAACATAACTGCATTCAAAAGCATGTGAAGGGGAAGGGATGGGGGAATTTTGGTCATGGTAACAGGCTCTTAGAATCAATGTTTTCTGATTTATATAATAATAAGCACATATCATAAGGCACTTACCAACCAAAACATGAAAAATCAACCACAGTCATGTTCATGACATACCTCTGCACAAAATTTCACATGCTGTAATAACTTATGACTCACTGCCAACAACTCAAAAACTACATATATATTTCAAATTTATCACAATTTTGTATCATATATAAATTTACCATAACAAGAACAGCACCTTAGGTGTTAACCTAATAGGCCAATGGCTGGAGAAGTAAGCATAGAAGTTTTAATTACTCGGAAAGTAAAGTAATGAGATATGGAATAGTATAGGAATAACTCATAAAAAATATATTAAAATTTTACCAATTAGTTACGGACATATTTTGGAAACTGGAAAAATATGTTAATTTAAAAGTTACTACGTGCGCAAAGCACAACAGATCATTGAAGGTCGCAGTGTGAGGGCCAGTTTTATGGCTCGCCCCTCATACTCATAATATACGAGTATGCCCATGTTCACATATGAAACAGAAACATGCACATGGGCCAAAGATATTAGTAATATGGCATCAACTGAGACAGATTTTTAAGCACAAAAGGAAAAGCCATAGAGGAAGAATAAGAAATGAAGATAAAACTTAATGGTAAATAAGCGGCCTCCGTAGTCTAGAGGTAACGTTCCCACCTCATGACTCGTAGTACGCGGGTTCAAATACCCGGCGGAGGTCGTCGAATTTTTGAGGGCAGAAAAATTCAGGGAACAAGTCCTCCGGGAGGGACTTTAAGCCGTGGGTCCCGTGTCGTAGCTTTACGGCATGTAAAAGAACCTCATATCTCCAAAGGAGGTCACTGAGTCAAATTAACGGACATTTCCCGCCCAACAGCAGTCTCTAATACCTCTGGTAGATAGGGGAAGCATTATAGATACCTCTCAGCTAGTAGAGCCGGTCTCACTGGCTGGGCGGGACTGATGGTAAGCACCAGTACCGGTAGGATATAGAGACTGGTAGAAATCATAGAGGGAAGCACAATGGACCAATACAGGTCTCAGTGCATGGGGAAACCCACCCTCTCCAATAACTAACTAACTAACTAACTAACTAACTAACTAATGGTAAGTATCTAGGAAAATAATTAAGAAGGTAAATACAGAATTGCCCCTGTGCCTAAGCACCACAACAAATACACTTGAGGGAATGGAGGTATACCTCCTTGCATTCTTAACCTCAGCACTAAGTGGAGGTAAGCAGTCAGCTTCTCACTCTGACCACTTCACCCCCTGGGACTAAGCCCCAGTAGCCACTGGATGAGCTGAATGGGACCCAGAGCCAATCTGGAAGCTGTGGGTGAGGAAGAGGAAAATCTCAGCCTTATCAGAAATTGAACTCCCATTTTCCAAGCACCCAGCCAGAGCCTAATCATTATACTGACTGCAACTTTGCTCCAAAAAATAGATAAGTAGCAGAAAAGGTGTTATGGGCATGCTGTAAGAATGAATGAAAAATTCCAAAGTTTTCAAACATTAAATTATAAACAAAATGTCCAAGAGGAAGATCATGACTATCACAGGGCCAACAGGTTAAGAAAGATGTCATACAGCATAAAGAAAGACCATGAGAGGAAACCGAAGAGGAGCTTTGCAAAAATAGCAAATCAGAATAATGAAACCAGAGGATTAAACAACATAGAGATTTTCACTGTAAAGGCAGTGAAGAGGCTTGGTTGTGAGACCCAAATAAATGCAAAAATTGTAAAGCACAAAGACAATTTTGCTTTAGCTCAATAAATTCAAGTAAACAGCACTGACCAGATGGTGATGCTTCTTTCCTGAGTATTTTCTTAAGCATCAATTATAGTAATTAATGATGAAAATTTTCAGTCAATTTTTGAAGGTCATATAATTAACAGAAGGCATTGGCATTATCTCCACAAAGCAAGTACTAATCTTTTGTTGTACCAAAAGTTCCCTGACTGTTAATGCTGTAACTTCCTCGGTGAAACAATATGAGAGGGGAGGCCAAGGTCACACTTCCACAAGCCTACCGCATCAGTCCACCACATGATACTGCATTGTGAACACAAATTGTTTTTACACGAGTGCTTTTTTGACTCTGTGTTCTGTTTTGTCTGTGATGGATGGCAAAATTGAACAACGTGTCTGCATCAAGCTCAGTAAATCTGCTACCGAAACCCCTGAATCGCTTCGTGACGCTTTCGGAGAGCATTCTTTAAGCCCAATAGCAGTTTTCCATGGAATTCTTGTTTCAAGGCCATTTGAGTGTCAGTTGAAGATAACGAACGTTTAGCGTGAACAGACACCAGCATAATGACAGAAATGTTGAAAAAATTCGAGAACTCATCCACAAAGACAATCACTGAACAATCCACGAGCTCACAGACACCACTGGGAACAGTTATAGAGTTTGCAAGATCTTAACAGAAAATCAAAACATGCTGCAAAGTTTGTTCCCCAACTCTTGACAAATGATCAAAAGTGTAAACATGTGTCTTGAGCTGTGAGAGAAGGCTAACAAGGACCCGACTTTTATCTCTAGGATCATAGCAGGTGACAAAAGTTGGATTTACGGTTATGATTCAGAAACAAAGCAACAATCATTGCAGTGCAAGAGCCCACAATCACCAAGAGCAAAAAAAAGCACAGCAGGTCCATAGTTAAAAAAAAGAGTATATTCACGATTTCTTTCGACATGAAGGCAATCATTCAACATGAATTTGTTCCTCCTAACACTATAGTCAACCCTGACTTTTACTGTGATGTTTTGAGACACTTAGAGAAAATGTGAGACAAAAAAGACCAGAACTTTGGCACAACCTCAACTGGCTCTTTCATCATGACAATGTGCCTGCCCAACTGTCCCTGACAACCAGAGTTTGTGACTAACAACAACATGGTTATCATTTCCAATTCTCCCTACTTGCTGCAATTAGCTCCCTGTGATTTTCTTTTGTTTTTGTTTCCCAAATTGAAAATGATGTTGAAGGAACAATGTTTCAAAACAGTGTGTTGGGAATTGAGACTACTTTCCCCTTTAATTCCTTAACTTATGATAGATGACTGCATATGCATTTGCTCTACTAGTTGTTGCGTGTTATTTGCCGAGCCAGTAAACACTTCCCCGCTGTGACGTAACAGTAGAGGAGCTGCTGGAGGCGACATTTCCCACTTGTCTGATGTGAAGTATAATAAGCAGGGCTGAGGACCGAGCGGTGGCAGTGGTGTTGACAGTAGCCAGTGGTCAGCCAGCACAGACAGTTCAACATTCTAGTGAGATTAGTTAACACGAAAGGACCGACTGTGAAACGACTTGTTCAACATTTTGTGTAATAGTTACGCTGAATTGTAGTTAAAGCGTTAAGTAATAAAGTGACATCACAAGAATACCCCTCGAGGTCTTATTTCACGACAGAGTATCTGAAATCCAAAAGGAACTGAAAGCAGTACTCGAAAGCATTAAGGAAAATGATTTCCACGGTGCTTTTGAAACATGGAAAAATTATGGGGTCGATGTATACATTCCCAATGAGACCTTTTGAAGGAGACGGCAGCCAAAATTGAATAAGTTAAGAATTTCTCTTTTGACCTAGTCTGGGGAGTTTTTGAGAGCACCTCGTAAGTTTTAAATTATGTGGGACTAAAATGTACAAGCTCCCAGCAGATAAAAAGTGTACCCACTGAAATGGGACACTGACATTATTTTTTTTCCACACACACATTTACTCTGTTGATAAATATCAATATTACATAATTAAAAACAGCTTGAAAATTAATCATTTCAAGGAATATCTCAGCTACATAAAATTAACTGTATCACACGTCTTGTGTTTGTTTTCTCATGATTAAATTATTGTGATTATTTGTACACTAAACAGTTCCACATCACATGATTCTAGGGTTCACATAATTGAAATGTTCTACCAATGTTCTACAAACATTTGGCCTTGAATAATTTATCCCTTATATTTTTGTAAGATTCCACTTTATAGCTTCATGTTTACCAGAACACAATACCACACAAAACAATTTACACATTAATTAGCCTGTCAAAATGCAATCTTTACACTGCTCAATTCCAGACATTAGTCTGGTCACAGGTTTAATCAGTTTGTAAAGCTTCACAGAATCACTCTCATGGCCTATTTTTCTACGATAAAAATTACAAAAAGTAATATTAGGTAGTTTTGAAGAGGACCTACAGTTCCCCCCCCCCTTTCCTAACGTTAAAACTAGCAATATTTCGTTAAGGTACACAAGAAGAACATATTAAACAGAACCTAAGTACTGTTTTGAAGTTTTGGCTTAAGTAGCGGCAACTGATTAACTAATATCTAAACATGGATTATACTCAGTGATTTACCTCGTGTTCACCTGAAGCAGCACTTTTTTCAGATTTGTGTGAATTCGTATCTTCACAGTTTTCTTCGCCCTTTTCACCGTTCATATCTACTTCGTTATCCTCATTAGTCACAGGTGTCTGCAGGTACAGAACGTCTGGAAGGCTGCTTTTAATAATGATGTTGTTTGCTTTAAAATATTTGTCAGCCTCGTTATCAACTACCAGGAGCTTCGTTTGGTTTGGTATTGCCTTTATCCTCTGTACGACCTGCTTGTGATTTTCGTTAGAGATATTAACACCATTTACTTCAATAATCCTGTCGCCCTGTTTCAAACCTGCAGCCTCAGCTGGTGATCCATCATCAACCTTGCCAATATACTGCCCCGGTTTACCCTTTTCCGCGTGTAAATTAAATCCATAGCCATCAAAATGCTTCCATTGAATAATATGACAAAGTCTTGCAACAGGTGTGCTTGAAGACAGCGACCCGTTAGACATTTTACACCAATCTACCAAACGTTTATACTATTTTTTAACACCTACGCCTCTAACAAACAGTCGCAACCAAATTCCTAACCAACATGGCGTGGCTCACATGACACTTGAAGGTTACTCTTGCCAACACCATGACAATAAATTTCTTACTGGAATTGAGGTTCTCAGTGGTGGTAATGAAAATTTCTGTCTTCTTGAATATAAAGCCGTATTGTCAATTCACTGTGAACTGATAATTTGAAACACGTCGCTCCATCTTCAGGATTTAACGAGAAGCTTTGCTTGCTGCGTATTTCATATAAGTTTCTTGCTAGGTTTAATCTCCAACTTTGTAGATGGAGGATCAATGTTCCTCCGAAATATCGGTTAGCTTTTAATAAACTTCACTGGAGTTATGCCGCAAAGATAGAACTCTTTATAAACTACTTCTCATGAATTTATTGCTTCTACTTTTACATTCATACCTGTTACATATTGAGGCGATCTGTAAAATTTGACCCCGACACTTCGTTATTTCGTACACACTTGAGTGGTATTAAGCCACTTAGTGATCCGTAAACCATATTCGAAGTTAGAAAAAGTAGAATTTTTGTGATTTATTATTTCATGTGACAGATTATTTCTATTTTACTTTCATCTCCATTGAGTTTATTTCTCATAACGATGGAACGCATTCTCACCTCCGAGCTACATCATTGTACTGCTAACGGACTGTAGCATTGACTATATTTGTTGCAGAAATCTAGCGCACGTTGTGCGCAATAGGATTATGGGATTATGCGCCTTAGACTTCCGGCCAACTATTGCCGAGGTAAAGGATGGTGGTGGTATGCCTGCGTTCCGCCCATCATTAGCACGGCAAAGGAGTGCCATTTTTTTTTTATTTGAAAGGGAAAAGAGGATAAACATTGTTTGCTTTGGTTAGGTTTGGTGTTGTAGTTGTTACCGTTAACGAACACCGTACATGGCACAGTTTAAGCGGTTTCTTGTGCTGTGTTCTAGTAAGAACGTATTACATTTTCCTCAAAATCGGAATATGAAGTCGTCTACTTTTCGGGCAGAAAAAATACTGGAAGAGTTGAAAAATAATCCATACTACGAGAAATACTCAAAGAAGATATCAGCATTTCAGAAGTTTGTTGCATATTAGCTTAAGGTCTTAATGGGAATGCATGTCACGGCGGTAGGTTAGGTTAATTGGTATACAAATAAAAATGGAGTTCTCTTTTGTGTGTTACGTAACCAATCACGGAAGAAGACATCATTTTTGTTTGTAAACACAAGTGGGATACAACAGTACAAGATTAATTAGTGTTACCTGGTTTTTTAGTCCCTTATGTGCTGTTGACATGGGTTCTTGACAGTCAAAGCAAGCCGCACCCGAATATTCCATCAAATTCTCCATAAGCATAATCACCAGTACAGGTACAACATGACATGGAAGCCGACGTGCCAAGGGGACCTAGTATGGATTCCACCTCACACTTAACTATTGTAATCTATTGTAAACAATTTTAAGTATTGTAACTGTATTCTCTTATTGTAATTAGCCAGTGTACAGTAACTGACTTGTCCTATATCATGTAACAATGATCTGTAGAGACGAAATAAATAAATAAATAAAGACCCTGTGCTTCACTAATTAACCACTATGCAATGAAGATTTGTGGAGAGTGGTTGTATAGATCCACGTTTTCTTGACCTTGGCACCACAGTTTTTATCAACATTGTTTTATTTTTTATATTCTGTTTTTAGGATTAATTTCAGAAGAGTTAATTTACATGTTACATTTAGCTAAAACTAAAGTAACTTCATGGAGCTGAACCATTCTTGAGAAGCCACCAGTTGTGCAGCTACTCAAGAACTTCCCAGTATTTTATGAAATGCAAAGGTTCATTACCATGTTCACAAGAGCTCTCCACTGGTTTCTATCCTAAACGAGATTCAGTCCATATCGCCCCAGCCTTTCCCTGCCTAAGATCAATTGTAACATTTATCCACCGACCTACGTCTTGGTGTTCCTAGTGGTCTCTTTCCTCCTGGCTTTTGCACCAGTATACTGTATGTATTCCTCTTTGCCCCCATCCATCTTATCCTTGAGTTGGGCATTCAAATTATACTTTGCGAAGAGTACAAGTTATGGAGCTCCTCATTACATATTACATTTATATTTTTAAATGTTTTTAATAATTATCTATATGATACAAAGGATGTTTGAATTTAGAAGTCTAAAATGAAACATGCTTTAATACATTGTGAGAACAATGCCACACTGTAAAGATATTAAGTATTAATGACTCAAATTTGTATGCCACTGCCCTACCGTACCTTCACCTTTAATGTGCAAGGAAGGAACAGCACTATATAACGTGTTCAGCTGGAAAAATAGTATAACGCAGTTTAAGGAACAAGAGAGGAACATTAAATGATATAAATAAGTTATGTACCCCATGTGGAGGCAGGTTGGGGGCATATGGTAGCGTAGTTCATTGGGGCACTAGAAGCTGGAAGAACGTGGGTTTGATTCCCTATGAGGCCATTTGATTTTTCAATTGGCCTAGTGCTTCCTCCTGCAGTGTGGCTCTGGAGTTGACTCGGCATCTAACAGAAATGAGTACCAGGAATCTTTCTGGGGTAATGGGTGGACAGTTTGTAATGCTGTCTGTCTCACCTCCTCCTATGAGCTGATTGTCTAGAAAGTGTGGGAGCCTCGATGTCTCACAACCCTATTGGCCTCCAAGGCCTGTTACAGAGATAGCTTTACTTTTTTTTTTTTATGTGGAGGAGGGTTAGAATACCTCCAACATAGCCCTGTGAGTTGTAGAAGGTGACAAAAAGTGAATTGGGTTACTGGGGGTATGACTGGGCCACCCTATCAGTGGGGGGGTGGGCACGCAGTAGCATAATGGTTGAGGCATTATGCTACAAGTCGGAAGGTCGCGGGCTCAAATACCGATGAGTTCATTGGATTTTTTCAATTGACCTAATCCTTCCAGCTGCACTATGGCCCCGGGGTTCACTCAGCCTCTAACAGAAATGAGTACCAGGAATTAAATAATTTTCCTGGGGAGTAAAGTGCGGCCGGCGCGTAAGGCTGACAACCTTACTGCCATCTTTGAGCCGATTGTCTAGATAATGTGGGACCCTCAACGTCTCACAACCCTATGGGCCTTCATGGCCTGTTACAGGGATAGCTTTACTTTTTTTTACTTACCCTATCAGTGGAGCTAATGACCTTGCTCAGTAAAAACATTATTGTTGCAAAATCCAAAGAAGTGACACCTGGATAAAATCTTGCAAATCCTTTTAAGGAAGGCTATGGCTCAAAAAGGGCTGTTTTTTGCCAATGATGATGAAATAAATTATGTACATGTTATGTATTTTCAAAATATAACTGGGGTTACAGCTAGTATTCTTAAAAAAACAAAATTCAATGATAGGTTTGGAGTTACATTGGAATGGTTTATGTTTGACATAACATACTGATATACATGTACATTACAAATGTATGTTATTGGAGTTATGTTGAATGGTTTATGGTGGATATAACATACTGATGTACAATATAAGATTGGATAATAAGAGCTTTTGTTTGTAACCCAGAAAAGGTTTGTCATTTGTAATCAAATTGATAGACTACTCACCTATAACTTATATCTGTTTTACAGCACATCTCCAGAAGAATTTAAGATTAGGATGAAAGAACATCATGAGAAGAAATCCACAAAAAAGGGAATATCTGGTGAGGAAAGAAGGTTTTCATCTTTATCAAATCCTAAAGAAGACATCACAAAACTTCCATCTTCCACATTTACAAAGCAAAAGGTAAGACCACTTGGCTCAACGAAGTAAATTGTAAGAAACATTTAAGGTAGTTGTTGGAAATTATCATCATTGTTGTCTTCAGTGTCATCATCCATTATTAAAGCACAATATGAACAGAGTGTTATGGAAGGAGGATATATGGATATTCATCTTGCTCATTTTGTATACAGAGGGTGTACAGTGTATTGTTTGCTTATTCCTGAAACTAACTTGGCACTCTTCCATCAGACCTGCTATGGTAGTCGATAATTCACAGCCTGTTTGCCTGCTGTAGTGTAACTTACCTTATTTTATAAAAGTGAAGTGGTGATCGGTTTCTAAGCTGCCACACACCATGAAACATTTCTAGAGGCACACTGAGACTTGTGTATGGGAATAGCAGAAATTTCATGCTTAATATTTTCTTCAAGTTCTTCCAAAAAGTGTGGATTGTTCACATACACTTTTTCTTTTGGTGTACCCCACAAATAAAAGTCTCAGAGATTTAAAATAGGTGATCACAGAAGCCACAACCCTCTACTTATGACTCATTCGCCAAAGACTTCATCTAATCCACCCATATATTTGTTTGCAATGTGTGCCATTACAATACCTTGCAAAAAATTCCTGTGTTATTTTTCTTTATTAGTCATTTGGTCAAAGAACGGTAACAGAAACAATGTCCTATAACATTCAGGGTGTATATTATTTTGGGCAAATACATGGGCGCACTTATCCTCTGTACACTACGAGTAATTGCACACCATACCCCCAGCTTTTGATTCATGCTGTTGCAATTCATATACAGCATAAGGATTTGCTGCTCCCAGATATGTTATTTTGATTGTTTGTGTAACCACTTAAACTGAGCCATGCCTTATCAGAATGAAACATGGGTTTTGAGTAAAGAAGCTGGCTGAGTACTGGTTCCTGAAACCACCTGCATTACTGAATTTCTTGTTTGCAATATAGGGGCAGTAGGCTGTGTATGACTCTAGTTTTGTAAGCAGAACTTTAGCAACTTTGTACCAGTGTGATCAGTACTCTCATTCAAACTGTGTTCAAGAGCCAGAAAATGTAACAGCTTCTTAAGTGTGCTTCTGATTAAGTAGTACACATACTACTTTCTCTGCTTCCTGGGAACAATTGACTCATTTTGTCTGTGGCTCATGTAAACACAAGCTGGAACATGTCTGAACGTGCTTGGGCACATGAGTTTACCTGATTCAACACCCCAATGACACACTGTGGCCATTCCAGGAATTAAACGGGCTACTTTTACATAAAGCGGAAAAGCAGTAAGACAAATACCCAAATTATTAAAAAACACACAAAAAACACAATCAGTAATATATTGAAACAATATACCGAGATCAGAAAATATGACAATAGCGGCATATACCAAATGAAATGCTTGGATTGCCAATTGAAATACATTGGTCAAACTGGAAGGACGTTTAAGATTGATACAAGGAGCACATTCAGGCTATTAGGAGCAACTGCAGTAAATCAGGATATTCGAGCCATATATTAGATATGGGACACTTTCACGGCAAAATAGAGGATACTATGGATGTTGTAAGAATTGGTAGCAAAGGTAAACACTTTAATACACTTGAAAGATACCACATCTAGAAAATATACAAAAATAATTTACATATGAATGACGTAGATATAGAAACATACAACCCAATATTTCAAATAATACATGAACTCTACGATAGATAGCGCTAGACACACCATACAGAATAAGGTAGAAACAGGAGCAAAGACATTACATTCAGTATACTGGTAGACCACAATGGGGACAATGACATAGGGAAACACAATGACAAATGTAAGTACACATATCGTATATGATAACATCAAGGTAGCCAAAGCAGCATACACTGGTCATTCTATTACATGTTGTATGTTACAGTGATAACAGCCGAAACATAGCTGGGAAAAAATGAAATTTAACAACTAGCATGAAGTAAAATAACGACATGCACGAGAGAAACACGAGAATCTAATACAGTGCAGTGGTCTCACTCAAGGATAGAATTCACCTGATGATGGCCCAATGAGGCCGAAACATGTTGTGAATATAAATTAGTAAAAATACATGTAAAACCAAGACAGTTTGAGGAGTGTGAACATTCACTTTTAATGTGTACATTTATGTACTACGTAAAGGCCTATGGGCATTTTATTGATTTGAACTGTCATAGTATTAAAATGCATTTTTAGTGAACAACATATTCCTAATGTCTTTCTAAAGTTGTATTATTGACGGATACATTAGTAAAAAATAGGATGATGCCTCAATGCAACAGGATGCTGAAATATATTATAACAGGAATTAAATTGTCTGACCTTGTGTAATAAAAACATTACATTCATGTGTATGATTGTAGAAATTTGTTATAGACTTTAGTTTTCTCTCCTGAATCATCACCCACTTTGACACCATTGTATTTTATTTATGGTTTATTTAACAATACTGTCACTAGCTCAGATGGTGTTGTGTTGAAGCATTATTGTATTACATTTGCGAGGTAGAAGTTAATAATGAATAATGTTAAAAATTGATCTGGCAGTTTATATTGTCAAAAACATGTGTTTAATCTGAACAAAACTGTCCTTACATTACACTCATTCCACCCATAGGCTGCACACCAGCATGCATCAAGACATGTAACAGTCAAGACACGATGTCTGTGACATGACGCAAAGAAAGGGGCACAGTTGAAACGAATGAGATTATGAAAACAACTGCCTGAGTCATGATGCTGACGTCAGCTTCATACTGACCAATCACGAATGAAGCAAGACTGCGTCTTTTGTCTCATGTCTTAATGCTTGTCTTGATGCAAGTTGGTGTGCGGCCGCCCTTACATTACACTGGCTCCACATAATCAAATCCTTCCATATTGCTGATATAGAAAGATAAATGAGTTGGCATATTTGAGTAAAGAAACATTCAACCCAAAGGGATGTATTATGAATGAACAAATTTTTTATAGCCTGTGCTAATTATGATCCTTCATATATATCACCCCTGTATTATTTGGAGAACATTCTTCCATTTGCATTATTTGTCATTTGACTGACAATTGTGAAGCCCATCTTGCATTTCATATAAGAGTGACAAAATCCAACTATCTCATAAATAACAGTCATTTGAGAGTTGATGTGATTTGTGATATAGGGATGTTATATATATTATGTTACAGACACTGAATGATGTGATGAAAATGGAACTAATTGAAGACAAGAATTGTGGAGAAATAAAACAGGTCAGATGTTACTTTGTTTTTTTTTTCATTCAGTAATGTATTTTCTTTACAGTCACCAATTTCTCAAGTTTGTTTTGTTCATGCAATTTAATTACATTTTTTACTAATGGAAGTGAAACAAATTTAATAGCTTGTATTTTAATGTACTTTTATATTTATCTAACAAATCCAAACCTAGTGACAGGTTCTGCAACAAGCTCTAGTACATGGTTCTGTATTGAAAAGTGTTTCCTATACATTAAATTGGACTTTGAAAGACCTAGTCAAATTATAATTGTTTATTGTATTACATTTTAACTTTTCAGATCTGGGAGGAATATCATAAGCAAAAGGAAGTCATTGCAGCAGCAATACCTAGCATTATATATGATACTATACATTCAAGAAGTCAGCAGTTTCCGGTGGTAATCATATTTAATCCTTTTGCCTATAAAATTTTTAGATATACTCATAGTAACGTCTGAAAATACTGTAGTTGTACAATGTGTGTGACCCTCTTCAGATTTTTTAGATGTTTTTCTGCATCTTTTTTTCATAAGTATGAATTTCTGAATAGTTATGATTTTAGGCTCCTACAAACCAATTTATTTCAGGGCCCCACACGTGTGTATTATCTGGTTACATTAGCTTTAAATTTGGATATGAAGCACATTAAATTAAACTCTTGTGAGTGACAGAACAAGTACACATGTTATCATCTAATGTCTTTCTGTGTCTGCTTGTACAGTATATGCAGTAATTTGTCTTGGAGCATAAGTATTATATTCCTATTTTTTTTTTGTACTGTGTCTTGTGATGTGTCCTTCCTTTTTGGTTGCGAGCATTGCTACAACATTACAATGCTCGCAGCCAAAAAGGAAGGACACATCACAAGACACAGTACACAAAAATACAGGAAAAACGATTCCCATAGTGGAAGAACCATACAGTACACGAGTTTGAATTAAGATGCATAAGATGAATAATCTTAACAAGTTTTAGTGTATACAAATTTTATTATAGTTAATGAAGAATGTACATTTTAATAATTTTATGAAAGACACATGATGGCAATCAATGCAATAGCTTAGCGTAAATAAAGCACCTGAGGATGGCACAATGTTGCCAAAACATGTAGTGAAGTGACATGTGAAATTGAGTGCACTACAAGACGGCCATTACATACATATCATGCATATGTTCTGTGTTTTGCAGTTTGTATTTCCCCTTCCACGAGACAAGGGATATGAATACTTCTTATGTCAGTTTTCTGGTCATGAAGCTCATTTTACACCTCTTATTAATTATCAGGTATGCATATGTGATATTCTGACACCAAGTAAAACTTCCACATATACCCAAATGTGAGATGACCCTCATCTTAAATTTGTAAATTTTAAGAAAAAACAAAAGAGTCTTTCCATATTAGATTTGGCAAGCTCTTCCACTTCACTGAAGGTCTGCAGTTTTGTATCTACCTTTTTCAAACTCTCAGATGATTTTATGTGGAATTGGCACACTTTAATTCTTCTTTCAGTTTCTTCTAGTGTCCAACAATATATTTCAGTAATACCAACTTTTTGCACCATATGACAATTGTTTGTTTCTACTGCATGCTTCATGGCCATTAGTTTGAAGTTTGTATTGTAGCTGTAGTGCACACCTTTAGATATCTATGATTCCATAGATTCATGATTGTAGATTGTAGATAATTAATACTGTGGTGTTGACTTGTTTGCTCTCACAAAAATAAATTTTGATGTAACATGTACTCACATTGAAGCTGCAACCTTCAGACTGTTGCAAACACTTTATGCCAGCACAGCATTTTGACAGACTGGAGTTGACATTAAAAACACTCTCTTGACCTTGAACTGAAAGATACAGAATAACACTATGGAACAGCCACATTACTCACTCTACATCTTTACCTGGTAATGTGAAAGCATTGACTCCAGCATGATATTTTCTAATGTCGCAGGTAGTTTTTTATGTAGGGCGTTGATGGAACCATGTGTTGGTCGCTACTTATTGCATTCTCTTTCGAGAGCTTGATGTTGGGCAGTGAAGGGTGAAGTTGGACGTAGCTGCATTCTGCGAAGAGTAAAGGTGGACGCAGCTGCTCTCTGGTGAATCACCTGCTAGCGATTTAGTAGAAGTTGGTGATGATGTTGCCTCACCTTGGTAGTTGTTTGGGTGCCAACCCAGTTGGGGAACATGAGACTATCACCAGGGCCGTTAAGTGGGCTTTGGCTTTAACAAAGACGTTCAACAAAACTGCAACAAATTTATATTACACACACTTTATTTAATGATTTGTATTTACATTTTTGTTACACTTGATTATAAGACTATTTACAGTTCTTTGTCTCCCTTTGTGAAGAAGAAACGTGAGCGAACACATCTTCACCGCTCGGGAACTAGTTAGCATCTCTTCTGGACAAAGAGCTTTATGTATTGACATTCCAGCGTTAGTATGATATATTACCATTTCCGCAAGCTGATTGGCTGTTGGTGGCAAGTACCACTGTAAACTCCCTAGCAACCTACTCCTTGGGGTTACATCACCCATCATAAAAACAAAGAAAGAACTAAATCACGAGTTTCGCAAGAGTCACAAGACATTGAGTCATCCTCTTTTAATACATGGTTCTTGGCAATTTATATTGCGTAGTAATGTACGCAATTCTCCCAAACTCATAATTTAAGTTCTGTAAAAATACAAGAGTTACATAAAAATGAAGGTATGCATAAATTAGGCAAAGTATATTACTAAAAAGGAGTAATCTGTTACACGAAGTGTGTGAAGGGACCCTCGTCTTTTCAGATACCAAGATATGGAGATATGAAGTCATATATTTGGGTAAATATGGGAGTTTGGCATATTATTTATAAAAATTACAATTGCATTTCAAATAAGTTGAAGTTTGATCATTCAGATTTGACTACTGTAATTCTTAGGTACATCAGTTTTGTTTTATTAATTTGAGATATTGTACTCCATCTTATTTGTCTTCAGTGAAGTGAGTGTTAAAAGTGAAGTACTTCTGTATTGCATTAGTGTGTTGGTACCAGTGTTCTAGACTTGTTTTCATGAAGTACCTAGTTTAAAGATGAACCAAATTGTAGCAGACTGGGTTTTCAGTCCATGCAAATCCCAGGATAATGCTTTGAAATAAGCCAGGATATCTCTTTCCAACTCTTGAATGGTTCATCATTCTTGAACATCTCTTCTTATTTTATTATATATTACATTTTGGAAGCTTGGAGTAACTAGCAATATTTAAATTTATGGTATGTTGCAGGCTCATAAGGAAAATGCCCCAGAATGTTTAACTATGACGCATTATATTGACTTGAAAGAGAAAGGATTAGTGCTGATGCATGGGGAGTACAACAAGGATGTTCTTGTAAGTATGCTAGTAATAGGCGTTAATGCTCAGTTTAAAAATTTTCATTGTCCTGTGCTGAATTGGACTTAATGTGACAGTCCATGATGTTCAGTGCCACCTTGCCATTAACATATCAGGAGTGTTTCCAAATGGAGCAGCAACCCCTGCCACAGAAGATGAAGTGGGTGGAACAGTATTTCCCTTTATTTGATTTTTTTTTTTTTTCATTTCAGAGTCAAATTATAAATAGAGTGAAAGTGTTTCATTTAGAAGTACAGTCAACTCTCGATTATCCGGGGGCGGATTAACCGGGCCTACTGAGGCTTTTTTGATGCTTATATGTTGTTTAATATTCATTCACTTTTGTTTCACATGGTGAGTTGTAACACTATTTTCGCACTAGTATGAACCGAGCTCTGCATTCTTTGGTCCCGTTATGCTAACACAATGTTCTAGGGTAGGGGTGAAAGAATGCAAGGATTTGTGGAAAGTTTCAAGGACAGATACACCGCCCCAGTTGGTCTCTTTGTATCGATCTTCAAGTGTGTTAGCAAAATGTCAGGGTGTAAAAGGAAGCGTGTTGTGTTAAGTATTCAACAGAAACTCGTGTGAGCTGGGCTTCGAAATGTTAAGCAGTGACGAAGCTGTAAGTTCAGTGGGGGTGCAGCCAGAAGAGCGGGGAGAAAGTGAGAGTGAGGAAGAGGTGGACAGTGCTGCTAGTAAGAAAATATCAAATGGTGCTGCTCTTAATCATTTGGAATCCTTACTAGACTATCTTGAGAGTGAAGAGAACAGTTTATTAAGTGACAAGCTAATATTACGTAGGCTTCATACGGATTTCCGTAAAAAGGAAAATGCTGCGAAAAAGCAAATGACAATATTATTTTTTTTAAGTGTTACGTGTGAATATTCGTAAAAAATGTTGGATGTTGTTGAACACTGTGATTGAAATAACTAAGTCACACTTCAGTATAATGTAAAAAAAAGTATTAAATAGGCCATGAGATGACATAAAAATGAGGTTGAGTAAATTTAAATACAGGTAGGCCTATAGTATTATGAAGGTACAGTATTACAGTACTACTTTTAATAACATTTGTCTTAACCGGGTTTTCGATTAATCGTGATTTCCACGCGCACCATTATCCCGGATAATCGAGAGTTGACTGTATTTCTTTCACCTATGTTGACTGCATGCACTTCATGGGATTTACATAAACTTCTTTACAGTGATATGCGTGGTATCATCTAGTCACCCAGTAGTACTGATATAATTCATGTGTATATGCTAAAATAAATGATTACTTGAAATATCTTTCTCAGTTTAAGAAACATTTTATCTTACATTAATTTACATTACAGTTTGTGAATTAGTATTATTCACACAGTGAAACCTTGAGGTTATGATGAGGAGAGAAGGGATATGTGCAGTATTTTGTTGGGGAGCGCTCACGGAAAATGATTTAGGTTCTGTTACTAGAGAGTTAACTTATACTGGTGACAATTATCAAGTAACTTGACTGCCTGTGATTTTACTGATTTTACAAGATATTAAACCAGATGGTCATATCTCTAGAAATGCCCAATATCAAATAGCTGATGACATCTGATACACTGAGGCAAGTGACCTCATAGGGTATCATATTCATGTCAACCTTTGAAAATCTGTCGCTTGGTTTCAAAAGTTATTGTTGAACACACTCACCCACAAAATGACATAATCTGTAAGTCATACCTTTGTATCAAATGTGGACAGTTAACAAAAAAAATGTATTTAATATAGCATGACTGAAATGATGGCATTATCTCACTCATGATGAGATGTTGATTAGTTTGGAACCAAACTTTCTGCTTAAGCAGTACAGTATGTGGCTGAAATATTATTTTAGCTCTTGTACTCTTATCATTTCTATAGCTCATCCTATAACTTGTTAATTTTATATTTTATACAGAATGGAACAGAAGCCCAGTGTTTAGCTAATCAACTGCAGCTCTACTATGGACAAGGTAATGCTAAGAGACTGAAGCTTTTAGAACGATTCACCTATACACCACAGGAATTTAAGCATATGGATCTCATAGCTGAACTTGAATGTCTGTCTTTGTAAATAATGCCCAAATGGTTTTTTCATGTCTTTTGTTTGATGGATGAAGGGTAGTTTTCAAACAGTACAGTACTGCTAAATAATTGTTTACATTTACCTCAATACTTAACTATTATGAGATTGAAATAGCTATTTCTGCCAACAGTTAAAGTTTCAAAAGTTTTAAGAGTTACTAGTTAATCTGCAAATAAAGAATGAATCATTGATTTTGGAGTCACAACCATATGATCTGCTGCAAGAACTCCATAGGCATGACTTCTTAATATGTGCTAATTTCCTTAATACTGGCATATATCATCTATACTCTGAATAAGAATGTTGAAGAAGGCTGAAATAGTAACCTTCAGCTCTTGATACTTCTAATGTAATACCCCTTTTCCTTGTCAGTTATGTGTTCACTGTGTAAGTACTGTATAATGTTCGTTTTAACTTCCTCCTTTTTAAATCTAGAAAATTTGGAAAGTTTTTCCCATAGTATGAAGGTGATGCTATTGAATCTGAGAGACTGGTATAGGTTTAACCCTTACACTGCTGTGGTCGACATATGTCGGTCTCTGAAAAACATGGTGTCCTTGCTGCGATCGACAAAACCCATATTGCAAATTTAGAGTTTCAAATCTCAGGTTTCTTTGCACCAGTCTCATTCAAACTTGGTGGGTGCATGTAGTCATGTATTAGGAACATAATGAAGCATCATTCATTTCAATGGTTGCATTCTTCTGCCCTCGAGCTTAAATGTAAAAGGTTGCGTCTGCACAGCGAGGCACGTGCTCTATGGTCATGTGGAGTGAGTATTTCACAGGGCTAATAAAAAATGGCTTCATATAGTACGCAGTGCTTTTCATAATAGTTTTAAATAAAGTTGTGGACTTTGGTCAACTTGTGACATAATGATAAGACTAGGATAGTGAATTATGTACTTTTTTGGCCATCTTGGACAACCCTGATTTAAATCATTTAAATAAATGAAAAATACTGAATAATATAACATTTTTGCAACTTCTGATGCCTGTTCCCTGTCTAAGGTAAGATTAGTTATATTTTATCACAAATTTTCATACTTTGCACTTAAATTATTTATAAAAGATTTATTCAAAAATAATTCAGCACAGAGGGTACTGAGAGTTACTTAACATACTAGCAGTGAAAGGGTTAAAAAAAAAGGAATGAGGACTATTTTATTTCTACTGTACACCTAGAATAGAATTTTATGCTGACTGGAAACTTAGGTAGAATTTCATTGTTTTTTTTTATTTGTTTCATTCTGGTCCGTCACACTAACAATTACAAATATAAATCATTCTGTCCAATGTGACCTGTAAGTTTATTACTACATGAAAACTTAACAACATGTTTCGGCCTCTGCGGACCATCTTCAGAGGGCAAACAGTGAAAACAGCACAGCAGCCACGAGCAAACCCTGGAAGATATAAAGAACCCCCACATCAAGATAGACAGGTGGCACAATGTCTGCCCCATACAAGAGGGACATTGGGAGGACGAACATGAGCCTGCATGGTTTATGAATTTTAGTTACTGACAATGCAAAATTTTTAATTAGCATCAAGAAATTTTAAATAATTTTTAAAAACTTTACATTCCCAGGAAACTGCTGTATTTGTGAAATGTTCTATTTTATGTACTATGCATTGTAGCATATAAGTGTACGTACTTTACATCTAAACAACTTATGTGATGGTGGTTTCCTATTTGTAGTGATGTTTGCCCTCTGAAGATGGTCCGCAGAGACCGAAACATGTAAGGGTGTTAAGTTTTCATGTAGTAATAAACTTACAGGTCACATTGGATGGAATGATTTATATTTGTAGAATTTCATCATTAATAAACCAGACACCCTGTACAGTGCATGCTGTACAGGGTGTCTGGATGAAAGATATCCAAAGTAAAAAATTGATATCTCAGAAACTAATTATCATAAATGTATCTAGTTTATGTCATTGGAAAGGAAAGCTCTGAAAGTTTTCTTGCATGTGCCAGCTGGTGACCTTTCGCAAGATCAGTAACTGTGTCGACACGCCTGGAATAGGTTCAGTGCATGTTGTGGCTAGAAGAGTTGCAATCTCTTACAGCTGTCCAGCATTGTTTTAGAATGCAGTTTGGACGTCAACCTCCTACATGGAAAAGCATTCGGTTTTCAGACAACAAACTGAGGACTACAGGCAGTCTGTTGCATGTGAGATCTCCTGGAAAGACACAGACCTCTGAAGAAAATGTCAGTTCTATTAGAGAGGCATTCCAGTGAAGTCCATGCAAACCAATTCATGCTGCTAGCTTGCAGTTACAAATTCCACATTCAACAGTGCATGATGTACTACACAAAAGGCTCTGCCTAAGAGTGTACAAGATTCAAATGATTCATGCACTAAAACCAAGTGACCAAGTAGCACGCACAAACTTCGTTGTGGACATGCTAGAAAGAATTGACACATCACCCAGTTTCCTCTGCCAAGTGTGCTTCTCAGACAAGGTGATATTCCATGTCAAGGGAATTGTAAACAGGTACAACTGCAGGATTTGTGGCAGTCAGAATCCACATGGCACATGGGACTTGGAGAAAGGCAGCCCCAAAGTGTACATGTGGGCCAGCTTAATGCACAAATTGATGGGACTGTTATTCTTTTCAGAAAATACTGTGACAAGACGTTTGTACTTGGACATGCTGGAGCTGTACTACATTTTTTTTTCCTTGGCACTACTGCCCCAGTGGGCCAAGGCTTACCTCCATGAACTCCGTTCACTTTGGTTTTTCTAGATCTTACACATACGGTAGGACTCCTTGGACGAGTGATCAGCTCGTCGCAAGGTCTCTACCTGTGGACAAACACAGAAAAACGCACACAAACATCCATGGAGCTGCACATAGTCTGTCCAAAAAGTAACCGAACTTGTTAAATAGAGCACCAGTGAGCCAACACAGGTGACTTGCGACAGTGGCGCTGTGTAGCGGTGACCTTAAGCTTTAACCTGACACCTGCCTGATCACACCACGTCAATTAGTCATTGAGTACATGCGGTAGAGTGAACCTGTCTCTTGTGCCTTTTGCAATTTTTGCAAGTTGAAACATGAAGGATCTTGAAGAGCAACATGTTTGCATGAAATTGTTTCAAATTGGCAAAAACTTTTACAGAGATTTTTTCAGAGTCGATCAAATGTGAAGGTGTTGTGATCTCTTTTTTTTTTTTTAATGGGAAGGGTGTCATTCATCATGAGTCTGTTCCACGTGGTCAGACAGTCAATGGACAGTTTTACTTGGAGGTCATGAAGCGTTTGAGGGAGGCAGAGAGAAGGAAGATACCTGAGGGGTGGAGAAACAAGACCTGGATGCTGCACCATGACAACACACCTGCTCACACGTCGCTCCTCATCCGTGACTGTTTGGCGAAGCACGAGATGACTGTCGTCCCCCAACTGCCCTACTCTCCAGATTTGGTCCCTTAAGACTTTCTGTTCCCAAAGTTGAAATCCACTCTGAAAGGTCACTGATTTCTGACGACAGAAGAGCTAGAAGAAAATTCTCCATGGGACCTATGCACTATCCCACAAAATGCTTTCCAGAACTGGAAAAAACATTGGAAGCAGTGTATAGAAAGTGGAGGGGAGTACTTTGAAGGAGACAATTCTTATTAAGTCGTAAGCTTATCAATAAATGTTTCAAAAAGAAAGTTCGGTTTCATTTTGGACAGGTCACATATGTGCTGTTCCAATTACTACCTTGCAGTATCCTCCAACAAGATGGGGCACCGCCATATTTCTGTCACCATGTTAGGAATCACCAGGACAGAGAGATGGCTGGGAGATGGATCGGCAGAGGTGGACTAATTGCTTGGCCTCTTAGGTCGCCAGATTTAACCCCACTGGATTTTTTCTTGTGGGGTTATGTGAAGAACATTGTCTACCAGGTTAAGATAAATGACCTTCAACACCTGAAAGCTGCATAAGGGATGCTGTGGCTATGGTAACATGAAACATACTTCAAGGAATGTGGAATGAGGTCAAATATTGTCTGGATATTTGTTGTGCCACCAAGAAAGTCCATATTGAAATTTAATGAGAAAGTTGTATACTCAGAAAATAAACTTTGATAGTTTTGCTTTGTAGTGGTGTAACCCATAAATATGTATAATAAATGCTTTCTGAGATATAATTATTTTATTTTGGATATTTTTCATATGAACATCTTGTACTTAACTGTATGTTATACCTTATAAAGAACAACTATAAACTCCTGGTTATCTGTTGTGTGTGCATCCAGAATCCCTGTCCAGCAAGGAAGAATAAAAAAAGTAAAATTACCATCTTCAGGAAGTTAATGATATGGTAGTTCTCCCAGGTGCCATGTGGAGCACCATCCATCACCATCCCTCATGCAGGTGCCATTACAGTTCACGCTAGATGAATCTGGTATCATGTTACAGTTTACAAGTATTTATTCAAAATCTTTCACTCATTAATCTGCTACATCACCTAGAAAGACCTCTATGCAATAACAAAAATGAAAATATGTTTTGACTCTGTATTGGATATCTGTTTTCCTTATGCAGCCAACAGTTCCCATTTCTCATACCTGCTGGATAATGGGAAGTTTATTGTATATATAAAATACATTTTTAGTTCTGTTACATGTAAATCAGCCTGTATTATTTATGATCATTGTATTGTAGTGACTGCTGTTTAAAATAGTAAATAAATAATTTTTAGCTTTTAATATGTTTAACTTAAAAATTAACATAATGTAAGTCACTCACAAGTACTTTTCTGTACCATCAAATTATACCATAAACTAGTCAATCTGGAGTCATAAACTTTGTGACAGTGCATACAAACAATTAAGTATAAGTAAAAGTGTCTGTTTTTTGGCATCCTAGTTAAATCACCTTGTACTGGGATGACTACTGCAGGTTTAGTGCAGTGATACAGATCTGCTTTGAAAACAGTCATTTATCTGGGGGACCAAGGCTGAAGAAGCTAGGCCATTAAGTAGGATAGTAGTTAGCACTCCGTAAAGTGCAGAAACAAGTATTTTATAATTTGTTATAAGTAAGGTAAAGTTGCCCTGTACTTAACTGTTTAAGCACTATGCCATGAAGGCATATGGGGAAGTAGATGTATAGATCCAAATTTTCTTGACCTCAGCACTAGTTCAAGGTGAGTGGTCAGCTTCACGCTGACCTCTTTATTTAAATAAAGTTGGTGACATACACTAACATACAGGAATATGACATGGATTGTTATTGTTGTAATTGCCTTGGTGAAAGAAGATGAGAGGGGAGGCCAAGGTCACACTTCCGCAAGCCTATTGCATCAGTCTGCCACATGACATCATGCTGTGAACATGCATTGTTTTATATGGGTGCTTTTTGACTTTGTGTTTCGCTTTGTCTGCGATGGATGGCAAAATAAAACATGTCTGCATCAAGTTTTACATGAAGCTCAGTAAAGCAGCCAAAGTTGAGGCAGCATTTCTTTTTTGACCTAGTCTGGGAACCTTCTGATACACCTTGTATACTGTGGCATGTGGACCCACTGCTAGGCAACGGCCATAAAATAAGCAGCCATACAGCAGCTGTTGCTAGGTAATGGCTTTTTAAACAGTGGTTGTTGCTAGGTAATGGCCACAACAGACACGCACGCAACAATGGAAGAGCTGCTGGGGGTGGTGTTCTCTGTGTCATCTGTGCCGAGCCAGAGCCAGCTGCCATTAGAGGAGTGTGAGGGACTCGACGCCAAGACAGACTGACTGACCGTCAGTCGCAATGTGACTTGGACTTGGACTAGAGGAGTGTGGAGGCAGCTGCAACAGTTGGACTATAACAGTGGAAATGGGGGTTTTCCATGTGATCCATGCCAAGGAGTTATCATGAAGACAACTAGGGCGACTGAGTGAGTTGTCAATTGTCAGTTAAGAGTTGGCATTTCAATCAAGCTCTGCATGGTAAATGAGGTGGCGCTATAGTTGAGTGAGTTGATTTCTGCATGGGCAGCTCTGACAGCAGGACCTGAGCGCAGGAGGCTGAAGAATCTCAACTATTAGAAGCCACTGCCAGGAAATGTCTATTGAAGAATGAGAAGGTGGTAGTGATTTTTAAAGTGTGGAGATCAGTGATAGCACTGTAATTACTTCTAGTTTTGAGTGGTGTGTATATGTAGTCAATATATCCATTCCCAATCCATACCCCAGCTATAGTCACACCGCTAAATATGTGACAGTATGAAACTACCACATGGCAGTAATTATACAGCAGAAGTGCTGTATATCAAGTTTCATGGGTCAAAATATTACACAAATGTATGTAAAAGTTGGGCCCCTGAACAAAAATTGAAATAACTACGAAGTCAGTATCATATTTACCCTATTGAGTTTCATTAGGGTTAGTCCTGTAGTGTGTGTGCTGTTACTTGCTGACAAACATGACATAAGTACCTGAAATGCATCAAAGATTGACAGCAGTTTTCCCAGACAGAAGTAAGCAACCTGATTTCTAGGCAGTGCTATATTAAGTCGTGAATTCATCCTGATGGTGCAAATTGAGAGGAAAATCAAACTGTGGAATGTATGAACAATCAATCAACAATCAAGTTCCTTCCGTCAAATGTGACACTTTTTTAAGTTTTCCACCTCGTCACCACCTGCCTTACATGTTTCGGCTCACCACGGAGCCATCATCAGAGGCACTTATAGTAGAAAAAGAAAAAGAAATCACCANTTGTATAAGTATACATTTCTATTGTATTGCAGGTGTACTAATCTGAAAGCCTTAATACTCTTCTCCCTTTTCTCCTAGATGCATTTATACTAATAACAGTTATTCATATTCTTGGTGTAACTGCGGAACTAGGCTTTCAAAGGTGAACTATTTATTTTGTATTCACCACTGTATGAGGGATCTTCAGTAAGTAATATCTGATGGTGTTACTGACTTTGCAATGGTAGGTTTATATCTGCAGTAAGTGAAGGTAAAATGCAAATAAAACATGGGAAATAACAAGGAATCAGTGTCTACATTAAAGTAAAGTGTGTAACACACTCTCAAATGTTGTTTATTGAACACTGTTTTACATATATATATCTCAAGAACAAACTCCGTGGCCTGTAGCCTGCAAGCAAACTATACTGACCGAGCGACTGCCGCTTATCGGCGAAGTTAGTGCCAATTTTTGCAGATAGAGGGTGCCACATGGTCAGCGCAACGGATCCCCATGGCCATTAATCTCAGTTTTCTAGACCGGGATATATATATATATATATCAAGATTATTTGCATCATTAACACCATCAGATCTAAATTAATTTAACAAATAATTTAAATGAGCTATTCAGTCTGCACAAATTCCATGGACTTAAACTGGACCATGAAGTTAAAAACTACCTACTTCTTTGTAACTTTTTTGTAAATATAACTATGTGATACTAATCCAAATATATGATTTTTTACAAAAATAAAATAAGATAGTTCATAAATCCATGTACATGAAATATATGCCATTCATCTCCAGTACGGTTACCAAATCTGCATCATGTGACAGCACTGAACAGTGTGTACACTGGAACAGCAGAAATTATAGTTATTTTTACAGTGTAAACTTGATGGTAAAAGAACGTAACTTTTTCATATTGTAAATAATAGGACTAGATACAAAGAAAAGAACTGTTAGTAAAAAAAAAGAGTAATATCTCAAGATATTGTGAGAGGACGACTTAAAAACATTGCCAATATTTGACAGTATTTATACCAGAATGCTAACAACAGTAAATCAAAATGTCCAATAGGTCTTCTCAATATCTTCTAAGTGTTTACAGAGAAACATCATGGCAAGGTTGAATTCAGATAGTTGAACCAACATATTCACAGATCTCACAAAACAAAACAGACATACAAATTAAAAAAAAAAAATTTCAATTTTACACCAGTCTTAGACAAGTGGTATTTGGAAAGTAACCTCCTGTGAGCCGTTAAGAAAACAAGCAATGAGAACAAAATTTATTATGTACAAAAAATACATACATACACGTAATAAGCTACTTCTCAATGTTGTCACTACTGGAAATGAGGCACATGTCTTATTTGGGAATAAGTTTTTGTCTGATGCCTGTGAGCTCAGCCACATTTTGTATCGCGAAACACTAAAAAAATTGCATAGGGCCATTCAGAATAAAGGGCGTGGAATGCTGACATCCGATGTAGTGCTCCTCCATGACAATGTGCATCTGCATACAGCTGCTCACACTTGAGCAATGCTGGAGCATTTAAACTGGGAACTGACCACCCTTACAGCCCTGATCTTGCTTCAAACAACAAACACCTGTTTACCTACCTGAAGAAATGGTTATGATCACAGCGCTTCAACAAGAATGAGAAGCTGATGGAAGGTGTCAGAACGTGGGCGGGTGTGAAGTGAGACAAGGTGGCCATTCATTTCAATTGGTGTACATGCCACAGTACTGACAAACATTTCTCTGATCATACGTTATGTAAGGGACTGTATAGAAAGGAACTATACAGGTGAGCAAATCTATACATTCCCACATAACCAGGCAGTTTTGCAGGCCCTTGAGGCATTAAGAGTAGTGCTGAATCTGGTCTAGGCAATCTGTGCCCTGCTCAAGTGGAACAGGGCTCTGGGTCCCTGGTCACAATGGGATTTAATACAGTACAATAAAGATGCAGATGCCTTCCCTAAAGAGGAAATTAGTTAATTCATCAGTACCAAACTAGCAATTTCAATTCCCCTTTTATTGACAGGCTGAAAGAGAAGCACTCCACACACTGGGTTGCCACACCAGGTAACTTAAAACTCTTCACTGGTGTGCCTTCAAACTGTCTGAGGAAACTGGAGAGGAAACAGACTCTTGACTGACTAATATACATTCAGATGCTGTATGTTATGGGCTTCGCAAATGACATTACATGCAGGAAATGAGGAGGAGGTGGGGGGGTCAAGAATAATGCTACCACATACACTCTCAATGTCTGCTTTGGCCAGGAACAGCTTCAGTAGAACATATCACATACACCTTCAAGGTCAAAGAGTAATCCAAGCAAGACACCAGCATTAAGCCGGCAACAAGTTGACCTTCACTGGCCCACTAAGAAGATAGCACTCTACACAGCCACTGCGGTGAGAACCTCAAATCTAACCTCAACTTCCTTATTTGTTAAGCATTATACCAGTATATTCTAGATCAAAAATTTAGAACATCTGTTCCACTATTGTTATGCTTAATATATCTTTAAGATCAGTCCAGCAGGGTGTTAGCCTACACTGGCTGGTAGGAAGTTTGGGCACATGAACACTTTGTGTGCCACCCTTCTCCAGAAATGACATGAACTTATTCCACTATGATTCAGCTATCAAAGATTCATCAGTTTCTACATCATATTCCATGAAATGATAAGGATGACACACACATAGGACAAGCTACCAAGACACTTCACCACTATTACATTTATTTGTATACTAATCATGGTTGCAGAAAGCAACATATAAATAATAATACTGAATAATTTTGATGAACAGATATTGCATAGAGGAAATATTACCAATAAAAGTTCGTTTTCTGGAGAGGCAATTTATTAAATAAGGTTCAAAATAAGATTCAAAAAAAAAAAAAATTCTACATGCAGATAAATTCTTGCCATGTTCATGTCAAATGTATTATTGTATGCTAACTATTAGGCAATAATATTACATGCTATATAACAGGTATATCTAGCTGCAGGAGACTGCTAGAATGCATCTCTGATATTTTGAAACGGAAGAACTGCCAGATCCACAGGTAATTCAAATTTGAACTCTGATAACTTTTCCAAACTATGGAAACAATCTTCAAAGCCTGGAAAAAGAAATCACACATTTAGTATTTATTTCTGCAAAAATGCTTTACAATTTCATTGTGTTCTAAAGAGCAATGTGTTTCTCCATGAACTAAGTTTATACAAAAATGAATATACTATACATTCTGGCCTTCTGTCATATAATAATTACATCAACATATTATTTGGAATACAAATTTACATCCAGTATCAGATGTAAAATTTCAAAGCATAAACCAGTATTTACCTTTTGCTTTTGTTAAGATTTGAAGGTCATCACAATTGTTACTAATACAGTACAAGTACTAATTTTAAGATTATTACTGAAGAATTATAACTACATATTAACAAATTACTAAAAGTATAGCAAAACTGCAGTACAGTGGGTATGGTTTATAAGGCCCTCATGGCAGCAACATAAAATACTAGAACCACGCATTTCTTAATTTTACACACAAGGAAAAACAATCACATAAAATCAAGGCCATTTTTCTGTGCCTTCACTATAATGGATAATCCATAACTAGATGCCACCACTTTCTCCCCTTAACTTCTTGCACAAACTGTACTTGAAGTTTTTCTTTCAAAGTTACATATGGCTAGCAGTCCGTAAATGTCTAATTCACCAATCCTCTCTTCTACACTTGACAAGAAAAAAGTTCACATTCTCCACCAAGTTTCAACCATTGAGAAATGTACATTGGGTGACATCCTCCAAGTTTCATCATCAGTCTAGCAGTTTGTTTCATTGTGTACTGTGTCACACAAAGACATTGTGCAGTATAATTCCCTTCTTGTCACACAGGTTTATCCTTTCCTTGAGCTTCTACTGACTTTGAACAGAGTGACACAATAAAATTTTGCATGGGTACATTTAAAGTTTTGCCTCTCTTCAAATTTGGTTTGATTTGTTGTGACATGTCATGATTTTCCTGCTCATAAAAGATTACACACTATCATAATTACACACGCTGTGACTTTAAATGTCATGGAGAAACTTGCTGTAACAGTAGGATTTGAGGTTGTCAGAGCTGTAGTTATGAAGAGTTCTATCTTCTAGGATATAATGCTGTGTAGTCTATTGAAAGTCAGCCGAAATTTCGGAGAAATGTGTTGCTTTTATCTTCATAGTCAGAGAATTAGCCAGGCAAGAAACCAGCTGTTCTCATGCTGGTTTCATGCTCAGCTTATTCTTCAACCCTGAAGACAAAGAGAATATGTTCCTCCAAAATGTTGACTGACTTTCAACGGAATATATGGCATTACATCCCAGAGGACAGAACTCTTCATTGCCACAATACTGTTCCATTTTTATGAGTATACATTGGTGAAATACATTTTTCCATCTCAGTTTGTGACTGTGAAAGACAAAATTTGATAAGACTTGTGCTACCAGTGTAAGATCATGAGTGTAGGAACTACGGTGTTATGCATCTATAATGTAATGCACAAATAATTTTACCTCCATTGTGTGTTGGTCTGTTATTTGAATTCAATATGAACTGATACCTTCATTCTCACAACCATTTCTTATGTACATAATGTCAAAAACTTACATGTGTTCCAATTGTGGCATTTAGAACAACCCATAATTTAATGCACACATGTCAAATATTAGAGACATTTAGACTGCACCCTTTGTTGGTCTGTTACTCCAGGTGCATATGAGCTGACTAGTTTACTCTCACATGTATGCACATGCGGTGGCTTGCATGCTTGTAGCAAAGACTTGTGCTCATAAAGAAGCACCTCATTAGCAGTCAGTTGCAAGGAGAAGAGGTTATGTAAGTTTAAGAAAATCACTACTCTTCAGTTCAGAGAGTGCTAACAATGATGAAATGTTGAATTATACTTTCTTATTGTTGTACCCACATTCTCATCCACACCTTTGTCCCATACTGTATTATATATAACTGTATGTTAGGGAACAGACTTGTTAATGTATTTCAGCCATTTTTAGATATCACGAGTATGCATTAGACCAAGGATTTTTTTTTTTATTTTATAAATTCTTGTAATATTGACGCTGCACTGTATTAATAACAATGGACAAGCACTGCATTACTTTTCTTGGTTCATCAAAGTTTCATTCATTACTCCAAGGTACACAAAGGCACTTCTGCTGTTTGAATATTCAGCATTTCAGATTACCAAAGTCTATACTAAATGAGTTGTAAAAATTTTTCTAAATTTTCACAATTGTTTTAAACAGTTAAGCAGTATAGTTATATCCATACCTGTTTTAGCAACATAACTCCATGACTGATAATAGATTTCCAATAGTGTCTCGCACCTAAATATTAAACGTAGCCATGGAACCAACTTTTTTGAACTGAAAAAGAAAGAATGAACACATGCTTTATGTGCAATTCTAAGGACTGCAGGGTTCTTACTACATACATCCAACATAATTTATATATAGAACAGGGCAGAAATACTTGATGGTTTTCGAAATGACAGTACTCATGTGGAGATAGCATTAATAGAACTTCAAGACTAGATCTCAGTTATACAAGCCTGGAAGTTTTCTTTAAATACACAACATATTAAGAAACTTGTTTCTTATTTTTGTTGCTTGAAAACATCAATCAAATTAGTTCAATCACACTGGCTGCAATGTCATAAAATACAGTAAAGCTCAAAGCTCTTTATTACCCACTGCAACAACTCTCATGGAACATTTTCAATTTTCTCATGGATCTGTTTTTTGAGATCCCAAGGGCTGTTGGCCATTTGCTCTTCAGATAACCCTGGAGAAAAAGTTTGGAGGGAAGAGGTCAGGTGAATGAGGTGTCTAAGATGTCTGCATATCATGAAATGACATGCTGTGGGTATCAGTTGTGAAAGATAGTCATGCTTATGCAAGCAGTGTAGGCTGTGGCCCTGCCCTGCTAAAATCACAAGGGTTCTTTTTGAGGCAGACCCACTTATTCTTGGCACCAAAAATGTTCAAGCATATCAAGGTCATGCTTTGCATTGATTCTGATGACCTGTACACTGTCATCTTTGAAGATGTAAGGCCGAATTATATCTAAAAAGATGAGAGAGCTCACTATAAAGTGACCATCAAACTGTGCAATGGCTGCTGATGAAAGATTTGGGGATTTTCTATGGACCAGTAATAGAAATTCTGTCTATCCATTGCACCAGTTAGGTGGAAATACACTTTATCATTCACCAACAGGCTGTTCAGAAAAACTGGCTTGTCTCAATTGGATGACTCGAATTTTGAAGGGATGACAGTGTATGTATGTAAGGGGTGAGCCATAAAAACCGGCCCCCACACTGCGACCTTCAATGATCTATTGTGCTTCTCCTTGGATTAGCCCTTTATTAATCCTATACTTTTAATAAAGTGTAGGACCCTGCTTATGAGGGCGTCATAAAAGTCACTTGGTTCCATAAAAAACTGACCCAAGTGATGAAATCTTAAATAAACTATGGCCTCACAATCACACAGGATGTGTGTGGCTTATTCGTTTTCTTGTAGGCACCTTTCACAAGTTGGGTTACCTGTCAGTCCCAACTTGAAAAGGTGTCCTTTTAGGTGGCAGTGTCCAGTAAGTAATCCTACCACCCATCTTAGTTGACCTCTGTTTTATCTGAACAGATCCTTCGTTCTTGTGGCAGACGGTCCTGCTATAAAACCCTTTGCCTGTTTGAGTCCAATTATGGATTCCCAGTATTTTTTATGATTTCTATCAGTCCAGTCCCTGATCGCGTTTTCTGGCAACTCCAATTGAGATGCTGCAAGCTGGTTCAGGTCCTATGAACGGCTGTTCACATCTTGCTCTTGCCAGTTGATCTGTGGTTTCATTCCCTACAACACCCTGATGACCTGGCACCCATATCAGTTGTACTCTGTTATGTGTGAGGACAGTGTAAATTTTCATGTACAATTCATCACTCAGTCCAGCCAGACACGAGAAGCACTGAAGCATGCTTGATTATTGAATGTCTTGGAGTGAATTCAACAGACAGCAACATTTTGCAATGTTTTCTGGTGTGTAGATATAGTAAGGCCTATCTGGTGGTTTTCATCTTATACAGCCTTTCTGATAACACTGTGGAACCCAGAGAAGAATGCTGCTGTGAAAGGGAGCATTCTATCGATTAAACAGGTGTCAAAATTCTTGCTGTGCTGCTGTAACTGATTTGGCCAGAATAAACAGTTCTCTGAGATACATTGCTCCCATACAGTCCAATGCCCTTACACTACAAGGTCACCACTACTCTTTGTAACAGAGACATATGCACAATACAGCGGTGACTCTGGTAACTAATTAGTCAAAACCATCAATTATTTCTAGCAGACCCTGTACATGCTCATCTACTATTGTGCCTGAAGCACTGTATCAGCATGACAGTGGTCAATATTCTCAGCCTTATCCTTTAAGAGATGGAATTTAAACCTCCACTGTACTAGCTGCTTGCTATGGGCCTTTCAGTATCCAAATTGCAATGTTTCAGAAAATAAATTGTATTTATTGCATTTTTAAAGTTATAACCTCCAAACAAAAACTGGATTGTTATGAGCTAAATTATTTACTATATTCAGAGTTTTGAAATAAATGGTCTATACATATGGAATTAGCTTACATTCTTTCAGAAAATGTTTCATTGTTTTCACCCATCACTGTGGTTTTATATTTAGCTGTGAACAGTTCCAGAGAAATCTGATGACAACTATGCATTGCAATATATGAATTATGATCCCTTGACCTCACTTTGCAGACCCCTCCCCTATACTGCAAAACAAGTTACCATAAACAAAACTGCCATCACTCTATACAATGGTTCTGCGGTTCTAAGAATAGAGTGGGTGCATCATATGTTAAGTTTCACTTGAGACTCACCTATTAGGGTATGCTGAGACAGAATGTAAACATCAGCAGCCCATTCTGTTTCAATCTCTATACCATGCATTCTGAATTTCTTATTTCTACTCTCACACCATTAGGGCATGACATCATGAATTTTGAAAGATATGTTTGGACAAAGATGGGACTGAATACTTGACAGTAAATCAGGGACAACTAAGGAAGATTCTGACAAAGCAGAAAAAGAAGACGATCACATGAAAGAACAAGCACCATTTTCATCCTACCAAGAAGAATGCAAATAAGGTCAACTACCAGACTAGTCAGGCAGGGGAGACGTCGGTGCTTTGTTGGCGGAGGAGACCAATCAATACGACCAACAATACTTAGATTATCTTCATGACAGACATTCTCCTGTATCTGATGTCAATAAATCTGGAATACTCCTGTTTCTAGCACTTGTTATTCAAATGGGACAAAACACATGACCACCTGAAAGACAGCTGATCAACTACTGAACACCTGTTTCCATCCTTTAATGGCAAAACAAATGTGGCATATTCCTTCACAATCTTAGGTTTCTCCACTTTTCAAACAACAGCACTCTTGACAGTAATGACATGAATAATGACAGACTATGGAGGCTAAGACATATTTTTGACTTCCTGAACACTGAGTACTTGAAATATTACACCCTTTCAAGGAAAGGATAATTTTAAAAAAAATTGTGTATCCAAGAAACACTTATGTTTAGGAATAAAAGTTTACAAATTATGTGATGTGTTTGGTTACACATACTATATGGACATCTACGCAGAGAAGGATATGAGATGACAATACTCTTCATAGGCTCTATTTGCATTCTCAGTCTTGCTGGTTGTTTACTTGGCTTCCTCTCTTACAGTAAAGATGGAGGCAGTTCATTTGTCTGAAATGTTGGTGGACTTCTACCAGACTACATAAAGTTATTTATATCCTAGAAGACAGCACTCTTCATAACCCAGAAGAAGGTACCCACTAAAATTTATTTTACATACTTCCTGCATGGAAATCTAGAGTAATACCAAGAAGACCAGCTTATTGTCTGACAGGGTGAGTGCAAGTACAATTTAAAGGCCAGCATATAGCCAGCCATGCTTTTAAAAGTTAAAGCTCATTCTTTAGAATAAAAGTTCTATGTCTTTTGTATTCCAATTTAAAATATAAAAATCAATGGAAATATAACATGAACAACAAGTAACTCTGTACTCTAGGGTTAATTTTTATACACATCACATACTTCAATGCTGCACAGATGAAAGCTTTAAAATGTGAATCGTAACTCCTCTTGCACAGCGCATGTGTTTCAACTATATTTCCTATGACACTCAGCAACTTCTGGAAAGAAAGAGCAGAAAGTATATATTAGGATTGTATAATTCCATAACATTTGGGAAATTATTTTAAATTACCCTAAAACCTCACCTGTTTGTTTGAAATAGCTGTCCCTCCTACCATATCCAAATTAAAACTTTGTGATAGTTTTCTGGCTGGTGTTGAATTGTACTGCTCTCCATTCTTCAATTCATAATACTTCAGAATAAATTCCCAGGCATGCATGCCTTTGCCAGATGTATTAATGTGTGGAAAACAACCAATAAATGGGACAACACTAACACTCTGACCAACCTACAGGATCAGAAATGAATAAAGTTAAGCCACAAAGACAATAAAACATAATTTCAAGAGATAATTACATGTTCAAAAGCATCACCATTAAATCATGCCTATATATATAGCTACAGAGTATACCCATTCCTTGCCTGGATTTGAATTTTTCATTTTAAATTACTTCAATTTACTGTAAGTGCAACAACTTTTAACAAATGTACACCTTTGTCAACAAACTGTCTGTAATAAGCTATCATGTAAGAACCAAGGAAGTTTCTGTGAATTGCATCGATCTATAAGCAAGGGCCATTAATTTAACAACTCTGGATGCCCCTTGAGTGGAGATATGGAGGATTACCAGCTCATCATGAACATTAATTAGGTGACACTGAAAAAAAAAATTGAAGATCAAACAGATTATCTATCCTTCACTTGAAAGTAAGAAGCGAGATCAATGGATGGATTATATGAATGTACACTCCTGAACAGAGTAACAACAAATAATGGTTATTCATTATATTCATCATTACAAATATTTACTATGAGATTTTGGTAAAACAAAACATAGTATAATGAGGGTTTTAAATATCAGTACACTAGTTATTTCAAGTACAGATGTTAGTTGGACTGGCATGTAAGGAAACTTTGAATGAACACTAAATCCATGGAGTAGTCCTCCTTAAGAAGCAGCTGGCTGCTCAGTCACATGAATCAGATCCACAACCTCACATCCTATTTCTTTAGGATCCATTTTAATATTATTCTCCCACCTACATCTAGGTATCTGATGAGGCAGATTCCTTCACGCCTTTTACCTACAATTCTGTATGCATTCCTAATACTTGCTACTTTTGCTACATGCCTTATACACCTCACTATCCTTCATCTGATTAGCCTATTTCTTGGTGAAGAGTAATAATTGAATTCTCCTCATTATGTAATTTCTTCTAGCCTCCTGTCACATCCTCCCTCTTCACCTCAAACAATCTTAAACAGCACCCTGTTCTCAAGCATCCTCAATGTATGATCTTCCCTTAATGTGAGAGGCCAAGTTTAACACGCATTGAGAACAACAGAAAAAATTACCACTTTGTAGCAACATATTTTGATCTTTGCATACTGTGACATGTGGCACGTTTCTAGGAAATGAATTGGCAAATAATATGTCGCCACAGAAAGATTAATTCTTGGAAATTAACTGGTTAAGGAACACAGTTTCCATGGATATAAAAACTGAAAGCTGTAAACACTTAGAAATGAGACTGTTGCTTTGGAATTAACACCCAGTTTCTGAGATGACAAATTCATGAAGAGCAGGAAGGGAAACCTTGGACGCAGTGATCTCTATTCGGTTCTCTTGCAGATATATATGGGAGTTCATTCATGCATTCAATTCAGTCAAAGATTCTTCATAGAGATTTGTCAGAGAGATGTCGTTCAGAAGGAGTTCAATGTCTGAGCTGTTATAATTAACTGTAATTGTAAAGAAGTGCCAATAAATCCAATCATCAAATCCAGAACCCATTATTATTAGCCATATTAACCCCTTATAGGGCTAATTCACACAGGGATAGTTTACAGGAGTCAAGTCAACTTTCCTTCTGCTTTCACAATTTGAATTGATGAAGACAGTGAAGCTGTAACCTTCCATTCAAGCAGAATTTCAGTTGCCAACCCATCAACTTTTGTGCTCACTTTCCCATCACATGATCAACTTGACTCCACTGCTTTCTGCGCCTGAATGCTAACTTGTAACAAGATGTAACTTGCAAGCTGAGAGGGTGTCATAGTGGGTTTTGACTTAATAATTAGGCATATATTTTGAAAATAATTTTTGAGTGTGTCTTATCGTGTTAGTATTTATATTTTGATATTATAATGGGCGCACCAAGGTGGAATGTAAATGAAATAATTCAATTCTTGGAATTGTATGAGACATAAAAACTGTTATGGAATATTTGACATCAAGATTATATGAACAAAAACAAAAGAGAACTGCTGTTTGTAAAGCTGGTGCTGGAACTGGGGGAACAAGGATCTGAAAACAATGCTGCATGCAATTACTGGCAAGGTATACAATAAACTTTAATTTCAGTATAGCTTACAAAACACAAGAAAAACGTTAATACTAATGAAGTCAGGCTTCTAAAATACCTGACCCTAATATATGTACATTTGCAATGAATGTTAGAAGTGAATTATTGATGTCCAAACTCATCTGGTCCTTCTAACACACCACTCTTAAAGAGAGAAATTTCATATTAATTTTATAAAATAACTGATATGAACCAATCAGTGTAGATCTTATGGATTTATTACATATGATGCAGATGTGTACAGCATAAGCTGCTAATTGCCAGAGAATGGGGGACAAATTTAAAAAGTACTTACGGGCATCAACCCATGCTGCATTAAATCCCGAATACTGACAGCCAACCGTTTCCTTACAGCTGATGTGAGTTTCACATTACACAGCACAACAGGAGCACCTTCAGAGTCTGACGTGTAATCATTATCCAAAGTATTCTCAGGATTTGAAGCTAATTCTATTACATGCTCCACTGCTAGTTCCAGATTTGCTCTTAGATCTCTGAAAATTAATTAATAAAAATTAAGAGACATAAATTCCTACAGTGAAATCCTGTATTAGTAACAATAAAATAACAGTTCTTATCTACAAATTGGAATGTCAAATGTGTGGACCACATGCATTTGTTTATGCATTGACATGCAGACACATATAAAATATCAAAGACAACTGAATAAATATATCGCTCAGGATATCAAGAACAAAGGAGGCCTCAGAAACTAAAATTATAAACAAAGATACCAAAGAAGCAATTCAGGTAAATGAAAGAGCATATAACAAACACTAGCATATGAAAAAACTACATCACATATTATATAAGACAGACAGAACAACAGTTAACTTATTGCATAGGAAGATCTGAACAAAATGATAAGGCCCATATTAATTTTATTATAGAAGAAATATTGGTATAGGCTCTTTTATATAAAGATACTATGAGGAGAGTGTAATCAAATGTAGTAGCTGAAGAGTAAGTTATATCATATAGAGAATAAAAAAAAAATGAAACAAGAGAAAGGAGCATCCAGATCAGCAATTCTCAGAATTTTGTAACTTGTAACACATTGCAAATTTTGTCAAAAATATGTAGTCCCACCATCAGGTGGGTGGATCTAGGAGAGAGACATAAAAATCAAATTCCATTTTCTTGACAAACCTGAAGTACTGCAACATTCAAACATGAAGACAGGTTTTCACCAATAATAACACAACATCCAACCATGTGATAAGCCTAAATTAGTACAGCCTGTGACATTTATGTTGTAACAGATCTTATTACATCTCAGCAACATTATTTTCTGTGATAAGGCTGCCTTTCATACAAGTTTGGTTGTGAATGATCAGAAATGCATAATTTGGATAGAAAGAACACATATGCCATAAGCATGTATGAGACAGCACCAGAATCACTCTGTGGTGTGATATCAAGACAGGTCATCATCAGCTGAAGCTTCTTCATCAAAGACATGACACTTCTGGAGCTTCCTGAACATGTTCAGAACTGTGTTCCACAAACAGCACAATAAACACCTCCATTTTCCAACAGAGTAGTATGCCACTTTATGGGAAACATTTTAGAAAGATATCCAATTTCCTCATTGTTGAATTGAAGGGGAAGGCTGATTCTGGTGAAAACAAGAAATCCTGATTTATCTTCAATGGATTTCTGCTTCTCTTAAGGGTATCATGTACAGTTAAGAAATGAACAGTACTGCAGACTACAGAATGTCATTAAAAATACATCATGAATAAACGATATATAAATAAACAGAATGTTACAGCTAGAACAACATGAGTTTTACTTTGATAGCTGTATACAGAGTGACCACAAAGAGTGCTGAAATTTTATTTACTGATATTTACCATAAGAATTTTCCTTTTACTAAACAGCAACAATTAAGTCCTAGTTATATACAAGCTTTGGTATATATTCATGTTTTTCAAACATTCACAAGATAATTTCTGATGAAAGTGTATGAGAGAACAATCAGCACTGGTACTATCTCTGCCACATGGGAAGGCACACAGTGTGCTATGGTACACAGAAGTGAATCAATCCAACAGGTCAGTTGTAGCAAGGAGAAGGTTAAGCATTCCATGGAGTACAGTACATACGTTTTGCATGAATGACAACTTTGTGCTTATAAACTGCAATTTCTACAAAACACCAAGTCATGTGATAAGCCTAAATTAGTCCAGTACCACAAAAAAAAAAGTAGTGGCAACAGGTAAAATGTTGCTTGCTTGCCTGCCTGGTTCTGGACTGAATTGGAATATCACTTTGACATTTGCAGAGCTGTCAATGGTCCTCATATGGGTTTTAGTAAATTACACTCAAATTTGGATATATTTGTTCCTGTACTTTGAAAAAATATATCTTATATCAACACATATATATTAATCAATGAAGGCGGCTGACATTTTCTCTTGGATATTCTGCATAATATGGACATACTCTACATATTTATAATCCTGTCTTCAATTATGTTGGAACCAGGTGTATACTTAGTATAAATAATTCTTACCCCCAGTGATTTGCTTTCATTGTCTTTTTTAAAGCATTCCTTTTGAACTGTTCATTACCACAGCCAAACTGTGCAACATCAAATATCTGCAACAGGGCAGCTGCTTTCTTCAACATGTTTATTGTTTCTGCTCTGATCTGAAACAGGCATAAGGCAATACATATTTATTTTCATGCAATATATGTAATTTTCAACAAGCTGAATTTATAATTACTGGTAAGTGCATATAGAGCGAAACCCTGAATCTGCAGTAGTCCTGGATTTTATGTCTTTTCTGACTTTAGCACTTTCTTGTTGGTTCCAGCCATCAGTCCATAAGAACAACATTAAACCTCAACTGATCTTACAGTTCCTCATTTCTATCCTTATTACTATTACATTTTCAAACCGTGACAATGGAAATATATCCAATTTTACACTTTACAATGTTCCATTTTGGAAAATTCAAAGAAACACTTGGACTGTTCTATTCATGTTCAAGGTCTGTCTCAGTAAATGATATACCTTTGAATATAAATGTTTTTGAACCTCACATGACTCAGCTCAACCAATCACATACACACACTACCATGCTCACAGATACACTTGGGTAGCTGCACCCATTCATTTCAGAACAAATTTGATTAACAATATCTACAAAATGCTAGGAATTGTATATAAACATGGTAACCCATAATATACATGTAATGCAATGAAAAATATCACACCTCATCCTCATTTCTGTTACGAAGTCTCCTTCTTGACAAGGAAGATAATTCACCGTGGACAGGGCAGTTACATGTACATTCCTTACTTTTAATATTCTTTTCTGATGTTCCTTCACCTAATGAAATAAAATAAGAGGGAAAATTATTAGCTTATTAAGAAGAAAATATAATATAAAATATTCTATATGCTGCAAATTAAAAAAAGGCTTAAGAATGATACCAGGAGCTTTTTACCTGGGGGTGAAGCGGCCAGGCTGTGAAGCTGACCACTCACTTCAAAGCAGTTCCAAGGTCAACAAAACGTGGCTCTATACATTAGCACCCCCGTTCATCTTCGTGGCATATTGCTTATGTAGTTAAGCACAGGGACAACTTTACCTTTCAATACAAAGTTCATTCGCTCTTCATAAAGCATTTTCTTTCATCAGTCAACAAGTCGTAACAGGAATTCTGGCATAAGCTATTTAAAAGGAATGAATCTACATATATTAACATAAATCTGCAATCCGACAATAAAAATTGTGTAAAGGTAAAAAGGTAAAGCCATCCCTGTAACAGGCCGTGGAGGCCCATAGGGTTGTGAGGCGCTGAGGCTCCCACATTTTCTAGACAGTCAGCTCACAGATGGTGGTGAGGATGTTGGCCTTACACACTGGCTGCCCTTTACCTCCAGGAAGATTCCTGATACTAATTTCTCTTAGGGGCTGAGTCGACCCCAGAGCCATAGTGCGGCTGGAAGGATTAGGTCAACTGAAAAAAACCAATGACCTTATTGGGAATAGAACCCCCACCCTTCTGGCTTGTAGCACAATGCCTCACCAACCATGCTATTGCATGCCCCAATTGATATTATGTATTACTGGTAACTACTATTATCATTACACTCTCACACAGCTATATTCACAAGCATTCATGCAAACATGAGCATATCCCGATTCACATATTATCTATCCCACATTACCATCATTATCTGCGAAGTTCTTGCAAATTAACTTAAAAAGAGCAGTTTGATAAGAGCTCACAAATTTTCTAACATGACTTAAATATAAAGTTTTGAAAACTTGGTTCAAGTGTTCATAAATCAAATGCAAGCACGTGTTAAAATCAATTTTCAATAGAAAAACGCAGGCCCCGATATACTGATATTTGTAACTGCAATTAAAACAGCAGCACAGACTCAGGATGGACCTAATGCAAATTTTTTATGCTTATATTTTTGGATCAGAAAACTTGTGGGTCTTGTGGTCATGTTTGCTATGACTGTACTTTTAACAAATAAAAATTGCATGCAAACTCTTATGACATATTTATAATGCTGATTTGGATGTTCACATTCATATGTCCAAATAGATGAGGGTTATGATGACAAAACATAAAATAAAATACAGCACACAGCCCCATGATTCTAAAGAGTGGCAATGTTTTAGCCATACACCACCACAAACTGGCAAAGGAAGCTGACTGGTGCCTGGCTGGCCCCTCTTCAAATGAGTGTTGGAATGCTGATAAATTACTTTGTTGGAAGAACCTTGAATAAATTATTCTCATACAGTTCTATGAAAATTGATACTCTGGTTCTGGGGTCACATATGCATAGAAATTTGATTATAAATGTTAATCCTAATGTTAAATTAATTTCCTTTTTTTGGAATAGGTATAAAATGCAATGCATTTGTACATCTTATTGTGTAAAGAGAACATATGTTCGAAATGATTTTGTATTTTTTAGTTTATTTAAAGAAGTTTACTTAATGATTCATCAAATGACTGAACCATTACAGAGGATAATAATTGGAAAGGATGTGGAAGGAATCAACTGGGCATTAATTTAAGGTACTATGCTGATATTTCCTGGAGGAACTAAGGAAAGCTCTGAACACATAAGTCAGGATATCCAATGTCCTGGCCAATCAAACAAAGCACCTACAAAATGTAAGTCAGAAGTGTTAATGCCTGAGACATATTGCTTGGTGAGAATGTTTTACCACAAGCTACACTGTATCAAAATCTATTTACGATAAGAATAAAAGCAAATAAACTGGACCTAATTGCTTCAAGGCATCACTAAGTAGCAATTTCCTGTCATTATTATTACAGCGATTTTTGTGCAATAGGATTAAGTTATTGCAGCAGGAACTAAATAATATGATAATTAAATAAAAAACCTGGTAACATTTCTAACTGAAATACAGTATGTGCCAAAGTATACAGTACTGAAATGAAAAGATGAACAATATTACCTCGTCAACTGTGAGTTTATATCTCCTGAAAGAAACTAACATACACACTATTAGCGCGTAGATTTACCACAGTATGCGTAATGTAAGTTTTTGAAGTGTGCACCGCCTAACTGTAGACAGTGTTCATATCGTTCATGCAGATTCTTAATCATATCCCGGAACAAAGGTTGCTGCAGACTCTTGCAAAAGGAGAAGACTTGCTCACATAATGCAGGCACAGTTCTTCGTGGATCACAGTTGAACACACTCTCCTTTAACATTCCCCCCACAAGTAGGCACCAGGTGGTGTAAGATTGGGGGAATGTGAAGTCAGTACCATGTGAAATGATTTGTCCTGGAAAGTTTTCCTGACGCATGGCTAGAGATTCTCGAGTGGTATGGCTGGTTGCCCCATCCTGCTGATACCACTGTCTATTCATGTGAAGGCCACTCGCATGACAGAACCTTCTTAAATCTTGAAGAAATGGTCCTATCACCATGTCCCTGTAGTGTTCTTGGGTGACGGTATGAGCATTGCCTTCCTCATCCTCAATGAAATAGGGTCCTAATATACCGTGTGCTGAGACAGCACACCATAACGTCACAAGTGTACTAAGTAGCGGTTTCTGGACAATAACATCTGGCCACTGAAAACCAAGGTGCCGTCTAACTAAATCTCTCTTTGAATTGTTCCGTCACCTTTTTCAAATTCGGTCCCCCTTCACGACCACTTCCATATGAGCGGAAATAATACTCAACTATGAATACTTTTTCCTCCATCGAGAGATCCATTTCCAACAACTGCACAACAAAACTTCCTTTTCACTAGTGGGAACATGAGCGGCTGGAGCTATGCCCCATACTGCATATTTTGGTGCATACTGTATTTTCAATGAAAATATCTGAACATAATCGAGTTGATTCTGTTCTATTTATGAAGGAACAGAAAAAGTACTTCACATGACATGATGATAAACATCATACTGCACTCTTGCTTAGCTATAAATTACTGTGTTTACAGTAAGTTATCCCTTCTCCACAATTTCATACAAAACTACTAATTACAGTAACTGCCACATGACATAAGTACATGTGAAGGATCTAAGTATGAGCCTGAAATGGATAGAAAAAGAATGACCAATTTTTCTTTTCTCCTTTAGCAGTCTTTTTGTAAGAGAACAATACCAATGGATTCAGATATTTTGAGTCTCCTATAAAATGCACAAAATGCAAACAGAAGGCTACAAACTGCATTCAGAAATTATATTAAGTTGAAAAGAAAACACATCAAATTGTTACACCACCCAAGACATTCGCAACAGTTTCATGCAGAAGTTCATGAACATGCAGTAACTTTACCATAGTTTACAGCAAAATTTATTGCCAAATAAGACAAGAAAATTCTCAAATTACCACTGACCCAAGTACATGTACCTTGCTTGTTTCATGATTTCTTTTTCATGCAACTAATTTAAAAGCAAATGCACAACCCCCTTCTTACAATGATAACTAAGCAATTTTATTACACAGTTTCACTTTCATCAAATCAAACTGACTTGTTGCATGTTTAAAGCTTTACACCTCCTTCATGCATATACAATAAAAAATATAAGAATCTCATAAAATACTATCAATGTGTGGCTACTTGACAGTGTTTAAATAGTTTAAACTGTGGAAAAACTGAAGGCCTCTGGCAGAAATACCACTTACCTAATTCAAACAACTTTTCAGCATTCATCTATAGTACATCACAATAAAACCAGCATAAAGTAATATATAAAAAGCATGACATGAAATGTAATATGAAACATAAGTAAATGAGATTAAAGACAAAGTATTACACGAAATATTAGTACCTTGCAAAAATTCTATGAATCGTTCCAAATCAGAAATCTGAGTTTTCAGCTGAATTACCAAGTGCTCTTTCATCTTCAATGGGTTAACCAGCTACAAAGAAGAAAGACAACTTGAAAAATTAGTAGTATTAGAGCAACTAGCATAGTCACCAAGCCATGAAAAATGTAGAGATGCATTAAATATTACTGATATTATTTGAAGTGTCATGCTTGCGTTTGACAGACATTTTCACTTAACAGGCCTTCTGACATAGTGAATCCTTGATCAGAATACATTTACAGAATCACCCAAACAGGGGATAATTTTCTTAAGCTTATGGAGCAGCAGGAAAAGGAACTGTACTTAACAGTATGAGAGCCATAACATTATTATCAAATTCCAAAGGCAAGAACAATGATTTAAGTTAGTATATAAAGTCAAATTTCATCTTCCTCTGTAGGCTCTAATTTCTTGTGTAAGAAGCCTGAAGAATTATTAATATCACATGGACTTTAAAATAGGATTCATGATTAATATTAGACCAAACATAATAACATGTTTAGTCTTTTGCTGCTTGGTGGAATAGGAGGAAAGGAAGCAGTTTTTTTTAGATGCCTGAGTCAGGACACTGTCCCAGTGTAAAGGGTTAATAAAACTAACCTAAAGGTTAATTCTGTTTATCAGATTCAGCTACAAAATAGTAAGTTACACTGTCACCAGCTTGCCAGAATGCAGGTCAAAATCATAATAAGAAGGAAAGTAATAAATTCTTTAAAAAAAGGAGGGGGAAATGAATAGTTCTTATATTTTGGAATTACAGTTTTTTATCAAAATTATGTGAATAAATTAAAAGCAGATTAAATCTGGGGAAATCTTATTATGTACTTTCCTGTCTTCTATCTAAAATGCAAATACTAAAACAAAAGAAATTAATCATATAACTACTTATTATCTAAAAAATGACTCACCCATCTAAAGGTTGTGTGAACAGTGTAAGTTGACAGTATTGGTGTATATATGTGGATATATTTTTGAATAACCTCATGTGTGTAACCACTGAGTTTTCTGGTTTTTTTGTGTGTGAAAACATCAGTTGTATTGTACTTGTATGTTTTTGTATTTATATGACATATTACACATCATACAACCATTTTGACTAACTTTGGATTCAGGGAATGTAATGTAATGTAGGTATCTGAAAATTGGTCTCTCACTCACAGATTGATGATGCTGGAGAACATGGTGCTGAACAGAATATTTGGACATAACATAGAGGAAGTAACGGGAGAAGGGGAAAACTGCACAATAAGGAGTGATATACCTGTAATTTGATTTATTCACCTAACATCATATGGAGGAAGATGTGATGCATGAGGCATGTAGCAACCATAGGAGTGATGAGGAAATAAAGCATTTAGTTATAAGATCTGAAATGAAGAGACCACTTGGGAAATCAAAGTGTAGATACGAGGAAAGCAATAAAGTGGATCTTAATGGAATACAGTGAAGTGGTGTGGACCCAATTCAGTTGCTCAAGATATAGTCTAGCAGCAGGCCTGTGTGAACTCATGTTCCACAGTAACTGGGGAAGGAGGACTTCACTCCTATATTTAGTTATCAGATACAAGCTAATGTGATCTAAAAAGAATTTAAATATATTTAATCTGATATCCATTGTATGTGATAAGAATCAGTATAAATAATTATATTTTCGGAACTACTTCTGTAGCAAGAGAATGTAATTATTTAGCCACATCTGTATTATCACCCATTGCACCTGACAGGTTAAATTTTAAAAGGAAATATACTAATTTTTATAGAGCATTATTATGACGTGTAACAGTATTGTGAATACTATTTTTCACAAATTCATACCTTAGAAATAACAAGAGAAGTGCATATAACGAGGGCATTTACTATTTAAGCGGAATGCAATTAAATGAATGCTTCTCTTTCACCATAAGTTTACAACACATGGTGCCTTGGATTTATGGACAAAGTAAAAGGTAAGAAAGGTGAAGTTGTCCTTGTGCTTAATTGATTAAGCACCACATCATGAAGATGTGTGGAAGTATGAAGGTATAACTCCACCATTCTTGACCTCAGGCTTAGATGCAGGTGGGTGGTCATCTTCCTATCTCAGCCACTTTATCCAAGGAGAAAGAGCCCCCCGGTACCCATTGTTTAGGAGGCTGGGTGGGACTTAGAGCCAGTCTGGACACTGTGGAGTACAAAAAAATCTCTTGCACATCAGGAACCAAACCTTGGCTGTCTAGCTTGTAGCCTGTTGCTATACTGACTGATCTATCCTGGTTTCCCTTTATGGACAAGTTCCATTCCTAACTGGAGTCGTATCCTTTATTATATACAGTTTTTAAAAAATTAAAAATTTTGACATTGGCTTCTCAATATATTTTATCTTTAATGATACTAATGGTAAACAATCTGGGGCATTATACTTTTAATCATACAATTCACGGTATATCAACAAGACAAGTTAGAAACCTTCATGTTCCTCAATCGCATCTAACAAAGAGGCAAAAAGGGGTCTATTGTATGAGTGTAAAAGTTTTTAATAGTTTGCCTGATTTTTTAATTGAGTTGGTACATGATAAAAAACAGTTTATTGAGAAACTAAAGGATGTATTGCTTCAAAACCCTTCTTATACTGTTGAGGAATTCTTGCTTTTCTGTCAAGACCTGTCAAGAGGTGTCTGACAGTGTACACTTCATTTAACTCTATGTCCTTGGCTGTGCTTATATATTCTTGCTGCAATTTGTATTGCTTTTTAACTATTGTATGTGTACTTGTTGCAATTTGTATTGCTTTTTAACTATTGTATGTGTATTTTCTGCAATCTGTATTTCCTTTTAACAATTTTATGTGTTTTTTTGACAAGTATGGATTATATATGCTAGTGATTTTGTTTGTGAATGTACAAGTTTCCAATGTCTTGTTGGCTTGTTGACATGTTTTATATTCTGTGCCTGTGCACATTTGTGAATAATCTGAAACGCAAATGTATATGTATGTATGTATGTATAAATGTTCATTTCTATAAAATGCTAATTACCTACTTAAATCATTAATGCATGACCAAATATAATATATAACACCTTCATATTCCTGAAGTATACATTTTTTAGGTAATGCAACCCCCTTTCGAGGCACAATTATTGCCACATTTAATTCTAGTACTGATTTTTTGCAATAAACAAGTTTCCTTCAAAATAGGATACAAAATGTTTCTAATCACAACAGTAATATGATTCAGTTATGTAAAAAGCAAGCACAACTGTATTGGAGAGATGCAGTATCCAATTCAGAATACAGACTAGATTATACGTGACTAATTTTCAAGCTCATCATCACTGTAATACAGTCAAATATTATATAATATGAATATGTAGCACATTTTGAAAAAAAACATGCAAAACTATATGCTCAAATATTTTAATCCATCAACAATATTAAACTGTACACATTCTACTGTTTAAAGTGAACATTTTCTAATAACTGTTCTGTACACAAGTGCCACAACCCTTTCATGGTCACACCACACATCTTTATGGACTGATGTGTGTGTGTGTGTGTGTGTGTGTGTATGCCTATAAAACCTCTATTAAAAACAAAAGACCACATGTCTCCAAAGCACACATCAGAGAGAATTTCAACGGTAGATTAAACATATTGGAGGACCATTTTTAAATTCTACTCTGAAACTGAGATTAAAAAGTAGCAATGTGCAGCCTCAAAGACTGTGCTATGCTCCATTCCTTCTACCCAGGTACAAAGAATGCTCAATGTACAATGATACAGAGTATGAATGCTGAATATGCCATTTTTATATTAATCTAATTATTTTTGGCTAAATACATGTTAATGTTGCACTAAAACTCGATGTATTTTCCTTGTATTATGCTACATGAAGTTCCTGGTAAGTAACAAGAATCTGATTTTGAAAGGGTTAATCCTAAACTGAGAGTCAAAAAAGTGGGCTTAATTAGTTATCTGGACTTATCAGTATCTAATTAAGTACAAGGCTTCTTGTTCATTTCTTTAGATAGTACACAATGCTGTTATTGACTGTTGAGATTATGCAGAGTCAAATCAGAACTTAAAAAGATGTGACTCAAGTGATGGATGATGCTTTCGTTGTCCATAGTAAGATCCTACCATGGCAGTTATGTGGCAGACAGACAGAAATGATATATAATGTCACAGTAACTGATCCCAGAATCAGGCTATCAGCATCGTACAGTGCTTTACTGAGCCACGTTTCCACTTTTGGATTTGACACCATGTTTTACCAGTATTCTGGAGAAACCAGCTACTTCCATGATTAAGGGTAAATGACTGAAAGCAAATGTCTTAATTTTTATAGCATCAGACCACACTTTGATTAACTGATACTCTGATAGTAGAACCCAAAGATTGAACATTGAACACTGGGCATGATGATGGCCTAGTTCTATCCATCCCCTAGCCTCACAACCAACTTCTCTAAGATCCGTACCAAAATAGAGTGCATAATTACTGCCCTGCTGACAGAGCACTTTTCTTATACAAACTGCAGCAGTGGTTGACAATTCATGGTCCACTTTCCTGCTGTGGTTTAACTTACCTTATTTTACACAAAAGTCTTGAAGTGACAATCCTCTGCTTCTAAGTATGCTGAAGCTGCTGTATGAGAACAGTAGAAATTTCATGCCAAATGTATGCTTTAAGTTCTTCCAAATAGTGTGGGCTATTCACACACACTTCTCTTTCAGTGTGACCCAACAATGAAAGTCACAAGGATTAAAACTGGGTGATCATTAAGGCCACAATCCTTAACTTATGACATGTTCACTGAAGACTTCCTCTAATGCAGTCACAGAGCAGTTTTCAATGTGCACAATTGGATTATCTTGCATAATACGCCCATATGGTTTTTCTTCATCGATCAGCTGATTGATGGGTGACAGAATTAACCGCACACAATGTTTGGAATTCAATGTTTCATGAAAGAAATATAAGATCAATTGTCCTCTGAGCACTAATTCAACATGAAATCTGAAATTTTAAATCATGCAATGGTATTTCATGATAGTACGAGGATTTTCTGTTCTCCACTATCTGTTATTCTGGCTGTTTCTGTAACCACTTGAAGTTAACCACACATCACCAGAATACAACATAAGTTTTGGGCCAAGAACTCCAGTGAATACTAATTTCTGAAACCACCTACAATATCATATTCTTGCTACACAGTCTGAACACAAGGGCTATGTATGACTAGATTTGTATGGCTTAACTCTGGTAACTTTGTACCATCCCACAGTGAAGAGCCAAAGATGTAATATCTGCTTTGACCTGCTTCTAACCAAGTATCGTTGTCATGAAGTTTTTCTTCTTCTTTGAGATTCTCTTTTGCCTATCACTGATCCTATAGAATGTAATTTTACTACAACATTGTGAACTATTGCTTTACATGGCAAAGTAATGTCAGGATAATGCCCATGAAGCTTTCTATGGCACTTCCTCCATAAAGAACACTGTATAATTGTAAGAATAAGTTCTGTTCAGGACTGTATATAACTGTATTTACAACATACATCATGGACAAGTAACAATGCTAAACAAGCAGCAAGTGTTTTTGCTAGATCATCCAATACATTGTATGAGTTTCTCTTAGAGGGACAGTAGTAAGCATAGCAAAACCTCTATTCAGCAATGGAAATGGATAACAAATGGTTGCTTGCAGTATCTTAATGTGTTCGGCGACTGATATGGTCATATGTAGGACTCCTGATTTACATATTGTATCTAATTTGAGTGTTTATCTGGTTTGATGGTGTGTGTTATATTTTAATTATAGGTTAACCATGTCAAGTGTGATTGTATATTGTTGACAAATTCTAATCCTTTAGTCATTTGGGCAAAATGATTTCATGAATGATGTATTTAATGACGTGACTTGTTCAAGTGTTACTTTTGTAGCAATTATGAATGCCAAATAAAAATGAATGAATAAATACTGAGATAAGTTGGCAAGTATCATGTGACTAAAAAAATGCTTTGACAGACAACAGTAGACAGGCAAATACAAAATATTTATAGATAACCAGTCTAAGGATGAACTGCATTCTCTGTACCATAATATATACTGTGCAGACTTCAGGCACTAATCCCTGTGAATTTTACAGCAAAGTATATAAAGCTACACATTTTAAACACAATTAGCCAGCATGAGACTTCATAGCAGATGATTGAGCAATTTAACAAAATTCACCCAAAATCTCTTCTGAAAATTGCTTATCCAGTACTTACGAGTAATAACCACACAACACTTCTCTCACTGTATGATTAATATGGCATGGAGAATTCATCTTCATATGAACAGTAAAGAAATACTAATATATTCAATCAATCAGCGACAGAAGTAAAGTCATTGATACATGTCATTAACACAACTGTAGTTCACAATGAAGAACATTTCTTTTTTAATTTGATTACATGAAGTCTAAACAAAACAAAGGAAATCTTTCCACATCAAATATTACAAAATGATAATTGTTAATGGAGCTCTAAACTTCATCATTCATTTATGCATTTTTCTTCTACACTTACTTGACTTATTGCATAATCCACTTGACTTCGGAGATCATCCACTGTCAATTTATCCATGTCATCTACATTCAAGTTGATTTTCCCTTTCAGTTGATCTAGAAGAGGAAAAATTTACAAACACTGTTTCTATCTATGGCTTCATATTAGGCATGTGCAAGTTTGAGACAAGACTGGGATGAGGATTTGAAAAAAAAAATTCAAGTATGAAGACAAGGGCAAGAATTTTCTCTACGGGGTGAGAACTTTTTCATTCTAATCACAATTTATAACAATGACCACCTATTCACGGTGCATCAAAGCATGCCCCTCATCCCTCCTAATACTACATCCATTTTCAATTTCCATAAATGACTACTATTAATTTTGGTGCAACATTCTTTTTCACAATGGGCAGAAAGTGGGATAATGGGACAGATCGTTGAGAAATTTATCTGTGCTGACATTCAAACTATAATGTTTTGGGTGGGTCAGACAGTCTGTGTGCCAATGTGGAAAGAAAATGCAGTTATCTGAGAATTCCCAAATTTGAGACTGAAAAATTCACATGTGAAATGAGATTGGGATTTTTTCCTTGATTCAATCTATAAAATTTAAGACTCACACATGCCTACTTAATATCATACATTTGATTACAAGCCTTACTGAGTCGATGATGCCATTTATGTTGATTATGAATATTCACTCTGGTTAGAGTCAAGAGGAAGAGTTGTGGTTTACATCTATATGGTTCAACTGCACCTAATGGCATAAAATTCTATAAAAGAAAGCAATGTCTCAACATACTAAAATAGAATTCTGAATTACTAAGCAGGTCAGCCAATAGTAATGCTACAAACTTGTTTTCAGGAAGTATCTCCTTTAATTTTCATCAGGTCACAAGTTACACTGAGTGATGGTTCATAAGGTTTCCTGCAGTTTCTCCAGGTAAGTCCAGGTTATTACTCTTCACAGCTTACCATAAGGAACTTAAATTATAGGGATTTATTTTTTACAGAGTAATCTTTATCTAATGCTTGGAACATGCGTTACTCGACAGGATAGAACTGTGTTCCTCAGAACCGAGAATCTTCGAAAAGGCCACAACTTCCCTCTTTTGAAGTCCTCACTTACTCACCATTCATGATCAATATCCCACCTCATTCAATATCATATAACATCTGCAGTTCAAACTGAGTCATCAAATAACCTACGATTGAATAAATGAATAAATGTATGAATGAGTGAGTGAATGAATGACTGAATAAATGAATTAATGAATGAAGAAAAAACAAATTACTTGATATTTAATTAATGTGCTACTATCTAGACAGGCATGAAATGACTTAGCAAAATGTTCAAGATGAAATACTAAAATACAGAGCAATTAATTTACATTTCATGGTTTCCTTACTGGTACTACAGTTTGGGAAAAACACACTAACACAAGTTTGAAAGCAGGTCACAAAATCTGTTTCTGACAAAAACTGGCATCACTGAAAGCAAATACTAAAAGAAATAGGATCTAAAAGTTTCTGACGATAATACAGGGTGGGGCGCAGAAACTTCCCTTTTTTGAAGGCAAATAAAAGAAAAACTATTGCTGATAGACAAAATTTATGTTTAGCTAATGAAAGAACATACTTTAAAGTTTTAAATCATGTAGTTTTAAACAAAATATCTTGAAGGTGGTGGCCACCGTTCTCTATGCACTGATGCAACCGTTTTCTGAAGTTGCCCCTTGCACGTTCCAACATGTGCACCGGTATTTGGGCTACTTCCTGCCGAATAACATACTTCAGGTGACGCAGGTTTGTGGGGCGATGTTTAAAAACCTCTGCCTTGAGGTATCCCCATAAAAAAAAATTACAGGGCATTAGATCAGGTGAGTGCGCTGCCCACAGGATGTCACCTTGAAGCGAGATGAGCCGTCCGGGAACTTTGCCCTCAAAACTGTCATCGAAACTCAGGCTGTGTGGGTTGTGGCACCATTCTGTTGGAACCAGACATTTCCTAGATGCATTTCTTCAAGAGCTGGTTCAAAAAAGTTTTTAATCATGTACACATACTGCTGTGAATTGACAGTAACTGCATGATTGTCTTCTTAAAAAAATAAGGGCCAATAACTCCAACACTCGACAACGCAGACCATACTGTCACCTTATCACTGTGAAGTGGCCTCTCATGGAGCTCTCTGGGATTCTTACGACTCCAATAGCGCATATTCTGCTTGTTGACATATCCAGATAGGTGAAAATGTGCCTCATCACTAAAGAAAACAAGTGTGTCAGGAGGTAAAGCGTCCAATATCGTTTCGCACGCCATTATTCGGTTCTGGAAATCATGTGGTGACAATTCTTGCACAACAACCATCTTATAGGGATGGAAATGAAAATGTTCGTGAAGAATTTGGCGCACTGAACATCGGATATGTCTAGGGCGACTGCATGTTTGCGAGCGGAGCGTCTTGGAGATCTCAAGATCAACTGTCAAGCTGCCTCCACACTTTCTGGCGTCGTAACGGTCCACTGTCGTCCTGATAATTTTTTCACACACTCGTGGTTGTCCTAAAGTTCTCTACCCACAAAACAAGCAATTTCAGGTTGGGAACCAGACCTCTGGGCTTAATTCCGAAGTGAGTACGGAACGCATGCTGCACCGCCGCATAGGAATGGTTGTTCGAAAAACAGGCTTCGACAGCAAATGCACGCTGCTCACTCATCCACCTCATGTTTCCTACTGAGGGGTATTAGACTGAAACTTCCTCGACTGCTGCATTCGCCGAGCCTATCCCCACTTTTCTGCGACCTCCCCTCCCTTCACAAAAAGGAAGTTTCTGTGCCCCACCCAGTACATTAATACAAATATCATGTTTCTGAACATTATCCATCATCTTGTTTTTATTTAAAACACGTTTTGGAGACTGGATACTGTCTCTCTTTAGTAAAACTACTCAGTTGGGCCCAATTGATAGAGCTAGCCCCTATCTCCAGACACCTGCAATAGCTCCATTGATTGGGCCTAACTCAGTAGCTTTTGCCTGAGGATGGAGACAGACTCCAGTCCCTGAAATGTTGTGTTTTAAATAAAAAGAGGATGATCAATAAAGTCCAAAAACATAATATTCTTAGTAACAGAAATGTCTGAGGCATTATGTGAAAACTATTTTCAGGTCCATCTTTGAACAAATAAATGAAGATAAAGGATTTGAAGTTTTTTCCTGGTAGATAATAAATTTAAACATAAGCAGTTAACCTGAAGGTACTGTGCAAAACTTGTAATTAATACTGAATTCAGTGCAAGGAATTATAGCACCAGAGCACCAGTTTTGTTAAACTCACCTATTATGACCCTCTGTCTTTCCATTACAACACTTTGAGGCAATCCTGCTTCACCTGTCTCATATGCATATTTCTCAAGATCTTCTAATTGACTTTTAAGATGTGATATTAATTCTTTCTGTTTAGCTCTCTGAGTTAACATTTTCTCCTTTAAGTCTTCTCCATCCTAAGAATGACAAAATGTTACATGATATTAAACAACAGTCACACAGTTTAATTATTGACTTTCTGGACATTGTCCATCCTACTATTTTCAATTAAAACAATCTTTTGGAGACTTCACTCTGCCTCTGTCCTCAGGTAAAGAGCCTATTCAGTTGGACTCAAACAGCAGAGTTCGCCTCTATCTCCAGACACCAGAATGCACAAAAGGCAAGATATACTACCATAGTCAATAAGTTCGTGGACTGGCCACAAAGCGTCATTGCTGTGCACTACAGTAGATAGGTTGAGGCACAATATGATGCCCTGTCAGTACATCTCTGGTCATAGCAAGAGGTAGTTGTGTGCAAACAGTGTAAGCAGAACTATGGCCTCTATTGTAAACTGCAGTTAAATGCGAGTGGCAGAAATCGAAAACGTGGCAGTTTGAACAACAGGCAAACAACAAGTTCTGCCAAAAACTAGGCAAATTCCCTAGCAAAACGTTTAACATGATGAAGCAAGTGTGCGGCGAAGAAGCTTTGGGCTGCAGGGCTGTGTTTAAGTAGCACCAACGTTTTGTGCACAGGAGAGACAGTTTGGAGGATGATAGTGCAGTGGTTGGGCAAAAGAGGTCAGAACTGAACGCAAGATCAAAGAAGTTCCAAAGTTATGAAGTTCCTCATTATGCAGTCTTCTCCAACCTTCTGTCACTTCATCTCTCTTCAGTCCAAATATTCTCCTCAACACCCTCACTCTATGTTCCTTCCTTGATGTCAGAGACCAAGTTTCACATACATACAGAACCACAGGCAAATTATAGTTCTGTATATTCTAATTTTTATGTATTTGGACAGCAGACAGGAAGACAAAAGGTTCTGGACTGAATGGTAGCAAGCATTACTCGAGTTCAATTTCCTCTTAATTTCCTCCTGAATCAGGTTTCAATCTGTTATCATTGTTACCAAATATCTGAACTGTGACACATTTTCAAAACATCTGTTTTCTATCGTTATGTCATGATTTTGCCCCGCATTTTGGTGACGAGACAGCAACGTATACTTAGTTTTTTCTGTGTTTACTTCTTGAACAACCTCCTTCCTTGCGTCAATTAAAGTTTGTGTGTTTTTCTTTATGGTATCTGTATTATCACCCAGCAGATTCACATCATCGGCACAAAGCAACAGCTGATGTGTCCTGTTTAATGTCAGTCCCACCTGGTTCTCCTGGACCTTCCTAACGGCATATTATAAAGCAAAGTTGAAAAGGAGTGGTGATAAAGCATCTCCTTGTTTTAGACCATTCTGAATAAGAAATTTATCAGATAAATGTTTATCTATGCAGACTTTACTATACACTTCATTTAAACACACTTTAATCAACTTAACTACTAGTTTCATGAATATCCAAAACATATTCAGAATATTGTACAATACTTCCCTCCTACTTGAATCATAGGCTTTCTTGAAGTCTACAAATAGCTGATGTACTGTCTCATTGTACCCCCATGTTTTCTCCAGTATTTGACTAATGCAAAAGCTCTGATCCATAGTTGATCTGTTACATTGAAACCCACACTGATAATCCCCAATAATTTCATCTATGTATGGATTTAATCTTGAGAGAAGAATATTGAATAAAATTTTGTATGAAGTTGATAGCAGTGATATCCCACAATAATTACTAGTCAGTTTTATCACCCTTCTTGTGAACTGATACAATAGACTCCTTCCCCAGATCAGGCAATTTTTCCTTATGCCAAATAGAAGTAATTAGCTTATGGATCTTAGGGATATATAAATCATATAAAAGATAAATAATTTGCATAAATTAAGACCAAAATTTAAAATGCCACATGCATTAGACCTTGTGACTATGGCCACAAATAATGCAATGCTCAGAGTCCCACTAAAACAGAGGCTAAAGTCATCATCATATTCCAAAAATGACACCTATAGGCACAGGGTCTAACATAGAGAATGTCACTATTTCAAACACCAACTCAGGAATGAAAATAGGAATGACAATGCTGGTACTTGCAGTATAATCATAAATTCCGACAGTTCCACTGACAGAAGTCGTGCACGCATCCCAACTGCAGTTAATGGACAGCAGATTTGATTACATGTTTTGTGCAACCACTACAATGTCTGAATCACAGCAGAAAGGACAGCCCATGCTGTGGTATGCAAAACTTGAATCCTCTGTTAGAGTTCAATGTGAATTTAGACGTGAGGTAAGGTGTGAGCCACTTGATGGCAAGAGCATTAGGGAAAGGTACAAGCAATTTAAAGATGGGCAGTGTGGGAAAAAGGCATTCTGCTGAGTGGCCTAAAAGATCTGATGAAGATGTGGATCATGTTAGACAGGCTTGCATATGAAGTCTGAAGAAGATGATCTCCTGAGTAAGTGCAGTTTGATAGATGCTGCATATGATTATCCACAGAATTCTTCAGAAGAACCTGTTGCATATGTGGAAGTGTGAGTACTTGTATAATTGTGTACTATATTTTTGTATTTCTTGGGCATCTTAAATATTCATTCCAAGCTGTGGACCGGATCGCAACCAATGCATAGACTAAACAAATATGTGTGTGGTCTCCTCCCCTTCCACAAATGTGTGAAGGGCAGAACCCAGACTGACTGGGGCACTAGAGCAGACTGCAGCTTGGAGGTGAAGGCGAGACACAGAGAGTCGGATTCTAGTTGTCACAAGGGTTAGACGGGCAGGACTGCGGCCTCACCCCTTGCAGGGAATATTTAAAGTGCCCGCCCCATTTCCATGTACTTCATCAAGCATCTCTTATTCTAACAATATAGTACAGTTAAATCCAATTGCTTGCTGTTCTCTTTCCACCTAATCCCAACCCCGTACATCGAATCGCTCACCGCTCAGCAAACCTGAGTATCCCTGAAATACTAGGATACCACAAACCTACATCTAAAACCGTATAAATTACAGGTAGTCAGAAGCTTATACCATGTGATAAACAGCTTAGATTGCAGTTTGTGGCACATGTGTCCACAGATTTTGGAATATGATTTCTTAAGTTCACTGATGAGGCAAAATTTCACATATCTGGACATGACAATCAGCATAATTTCATCATTTTGGGCTGTAAGCATCCCAGAGAACAAGAATGGGATAGTCCTCAAGTGAACATGTGGTACATGCTGGCATATGAAACAGTCATCGGCCCACTTTTCACCTATTACCTTATTTTTAAAAAATAAAAGTAGGCTTATGAGATCACCTTCCTGTGTGTGGGTCTGTGTATCACCAACAACTTTCATATGCCTGAACCAAACTTTATGAAACTTGGCATCTATATCATGGCACCCATCTCAATGGCATAATTCATAATTACTCCTATCAGTTATACCAACACTACACCCTCTCAAATTTCTGAGGCAAAATCTTAATGTCGCTTGAATGTCTTCACCAATCTTCATGAAACTTGATGAGTATATCATGACACAAGAAGCCATCTCAATGGCATATATCATAAATCCCTCCCATAAATAATACCAGCATTTGCATGCAGCCTCTCAAATTCCTGAGACATATCATTAACATTGCTCGAATACATGTACCACTCTTCTTGGAAACTGCCATGTATATATCATGCCTCCTGAGGCATAGGCGTAGTGTACATCATAAATCCCTCTAATCAGCAATACCAACACTACAGCCTCTCAAACTGTTGAGGCAATATCCTTAGTATTACTCAAATGCCTGAAATAATCATCAAAAAGACTTGGTATGTATATCATACCACCTCAGGCCATCTAATAGGTATACTCCCTCTCATCAGTGTACCAACACTATAGTCTCTGAAACTGTTGAGGTAACACCCTTATTATTACTTGAATTCCTGAACCAATTATCATGAGACCTGATATGTATGCCATCTGAGGGCATCTTAATGACATACTTCATAAAACTTTCTTGTTAGTAATACAAACACTGCAACCTCTCAGACTGTCAAGGTAATAACCTTAATATTACCAATCTTCATCAGACTTGGTAAATACATCATGCCAGAGGTCATCTAAATGGTGCATTTCATAAATCACTCCCATCAGTAATACCAACACTGCAACCTCCCAAGCTGTATTGTTTTACTGACTTCATTCAATTCAATTCAATTTATTTCAAATTCAAAAATAGATCCAGATACAGGCTGGGAAACAACCATTGGATATAGAATGAGTCACAGATCAAAAAACAAGCATTCCATTCCCACAGGAACAAGTCAAGGCATTCATAATTATGCATACATATACAAGATTCTATTCTACTTGTCACATCAGATACTAAAATTACAGTGAAAGAAAAGTAGGCGATTAGTTCTTCCAAGATCTTCTTCTTTGATGAGAACATCATTACAAGCAATTCATTACCAGATAAATGGAAAGTTATGCAACAATCTTATTTCTGAATTGGACAGTGCAACCTTCATTCTGTTGACACTGACTACGAATGCTTGAATGTAAATTTCCTTAGCTGACAAGCAGGAAGAAGAAAACCAACCGTGTGGCCTCCTCATTCTCCCGATCTTATGTCTGCAGATTCTTTTTCTTTGGGGCTATGTAAATGCCAGGTGTACAGCCACAGACTGTATACACTCAATGCACTCAAAGCACAGACCACTGCAGCAACTGCAAATGTTACAATGAACATTTTACAGCAAGTATGGCAAGAGGTGGACTACAGGTGTGATGTATGCACAGCTACAGATGATGCCCACTGTGAAGTGTTTCGCATCTAACAACTTCTCTATTTCTGTGTAAGAAGACTGTTTCAATCAAGGAATAAAATATTGCAAACACCACTATCATACCTGTTCTCATTCCTAAACAACAGGTGCTTGAAATCCCAGCATTCTTTTTGGTAGACCATTTACTAAAAATCAAAGATAGCTTATAGTCTAGTGACCTATAAAGCCACAGATAAGACAAATATAGATATAAATACAGACCCAACAAAAACAGCAAATAAACCAGTACTGATAAGTATTGTCACTTAGTATGTGTGTGACTATAAACAGGGTTTGGATTTGTGAATAGATTTATTGACCACTTATAATTCATAACTATGTCATGACTACTAAGTCGTAACTACATAACTCGTATAAACTACTGTTACTTCCACATTTCACAGTTCAGAGCACACACCCTAGTGTTCTCAGTCTGTTACAAGACGTTTCCTGGTAACAGCTCCAACAATGGCTATTCCTCTGCCTCTGGCTCAAGTCCTCTCTTTACAGATTCCCATACAGAACTCACTTTCAGCTGACTAACAACTACTCGTAAGCTCCAGACCTTGTCTCACTTATAACCTCTCAGCATGCAGACCATGTAGAAAACACAGCTTTTCCACTGTTATAGTCCAACTGCTGCATTAATAAGAATCTGCTGCCTAGCAATGGGAATGTGTCCACTGAGCCGTTGCCTAGAAATGGCTCTGGTACATTTGCTTATCTTGCGGTCGTTGCATAGTAACAACTCGACATGCTATAGATTTACATAAATAAGACACCTGTATGGTGGCAAAATAAAATTATCTTTGCTGCTGCTGCTGCCACCAGCACCACTGCTGCTCCTACTACTGCTACTATCACTGCTACTGTTACTGTTACTGCTACTGCTACTGCTGCTACTACTACTACTACTACTACTACTACAACTACAACTACTGCTTCTGCTATTTCTTACAGGATTTAAAGATGGTGTCATTAAGCCTTTGATTTTTCCATCACGTGATTCTGGTATTCCTCTGAAAGCAAATGCCTCCAAGTCTTTCAAGAGGTTTTCTTTTTCACTTGGAGGTGCATCAACTATCTGTCTCAGTCGAAACTGAACCTAGAAAGGAATAAAAATGTTGGACAGTGTACAAATACTAAGAATAACTTCATGATATATATAATTGGCTGAAGGTAATACAAATTACCTATTTAGCAAAAATATATCAAACACGCCAGAAAAATGTAGCCCATAAAGAGTATAAAATTTATCAGTTACTCTAAGCAGTTACACACCATTTAAACAACTTACTGCAGACATAACACACATTTCTCACCTCTTGGCATTTATGGATAAAATTTAATATGAGGAAAATTCACACGGTAATATGAAACAGCTTTGTATAAAACAAAGAACTGTCACATGTGTTACGGAATATTGTGCAGAAATTCTGTTCTGTATACAGAGATATTGGGTTTTCGGACTTTATCCATCATCATGGTTTTTAAGATAACTAATAAAAACACGACGTTTCGGAAACTGGATCTGTTTCCGTCCCTCACCTGAGGATGGAAACAGATCCAGTTTCCGAAACGTTGTGTTTTTATTAGTTATCTTAGAAACCAGGACGATGGATAAAGTCCAAAAACCCAATATCTCTGTGTGTTATACACCATCGTCAGAATCCTATAGTAACTATTTCTGTTCTGTATGCATACATGATATATTAGGAGCAAAGCTGAGGCACAATAATTGATGTGGGTTTTAAAACCACAAACACTATAGCAAAAAGCGAAGACTAAACAAACTGTTTATTAAAAACATACTAAATTAAGGCCAAATTAACTGGCTGCAATGGTCCAATACCTCCAAGACCCTGGAGTTGAGGAGGACAGTGGCTCAATGCAATTACCATGAAACATTAATAACAACATATAAATGTTTAATGGCATTTCATTTATTAATAATGTTGCAATTTATTTCCCTTAACTGTAAATTATTACAGGCAATATACTGTTATGAATGTTCACACTATATTTCACCTAGGTTTATTAAATGGCAGTAGCAGAGGTTATGTAAAAGTGAAGTGACATTTGAGAGTATGTTCTGAAGAATTTAATCACAGCCTTTGGTCTAATGAACAGTAACAGTGTGAACTTCAGCAAGTGAACTGACACACTGTGTGATGTTTATAGGATTACTGATTAGCATAACAAATGTCTTCAAAATGGTAAACTTCATGTTATATAAAAATGAAAATAAAACACAAAAGCAGTTATCAGAAAAAGAATAAGCAAAAGTGGAAATTAAAGGATGTAACCTAAAATTTAAATTCTACTATTGTGCCTCAATCTGTCACTATAAATGAGGATGGGGGAGGAGATGCTGAAATTCATGAAACTAAAAACAGCAGTCAAGACACATCTCATGAGACACTAGATCTCTCATCATAATGATCAGAGGGCGAAACTAGAGACATCAACATTGGGCGGGGGCCAGAAAAAGAAGCATGACTTCATAGCAGCAAAGGATAGGCACACATTCCAAGACGTTCCAAGATGCTGTTCAATTCAACCTTTATTTTAAACTAAAAAATAAAAGGACTGACTCATCTACTGCTCATTCTGTACAGGGATATACCGAACCAGCAACTTCTTAGCAACAACACTATAAAGTATGATTTGTATTTACTTATATGTTTATGGTTAATTCAATAACAATGTCAGTAGCTCTGACAATACAGCATCAGATGGTAAGAGTATAAGTGAATAAAACTTGAGGTTAACCAGGATGCTGACAAAGCAACCCTGATGGTTCTCCCAAAAGGACTCTTCGCTTGAGATCTTCAGGCCAAAATGATATATGTATTTATTTTCCCCTACACATACTATGTATCCTGTTGTTACAAGCTGATGAACAGAAAGGCCGTCCTTCAACTTCCAGAACAGAAGAATTGACAGAAGTCACTGAAAAGCGTTTGGCTGAAGATTCAACTTTGAATGTTTCGATGTTAGAAGAAATGACGGGGATCAACAGAGAGACAGTAGGCCTGAGTTTCAGGAAAGTGGGTCCTGGTATCTTCTGTATGACAATGAAGTGGTGCATTCTTGAGGCACTGTTTCTGAGTTTTTGGTGAAATGAGGGATCCCTGTGTTATCCCATTCACCCTACTCCCCCGATTTAGTGCTTGCTGACTTTCTTTTTATGTCCTAAATTAAAAGTTGTGATGATATGGACAAGATTCAAGGCTGTTTCATTGATCCGACAGACTGTGAAAAGAGAACTGAAGGTGATATGTGGAGAAATGTCTTCTTGAGCATTTGATCATTGTATGGGTGATATAAACTTTGTGCAGAAGCAGGCGGGGACTTTACTGAGTGATGGTATTAATAGATATTGTTTATTTTTTGTGCGTTTTTTATGGCCTCATTTGGGGAACTAAATTATCACACTGTGTATGGTGAAGAGTACAAATTATAAGGCACCTCATTATGAAACCTTTTCCATCCTTGTTACTGCCTCTTTCTTACATTCAAATTTTTTCTTGGTACTTTGTTCTAAAATATAATACAGTACTTAATACAAGTATTATGACATTTTTCATTCTAAAAATGGATGCATTTTACTTTGCAGTTCAATAATAATGTATTTTATTTACTTATTTACAAACCACCTGATGATGGTTCATGAGACTGAACCAGGTAGTGGTTGAAAGAGACAATAGAACTGATTAAACCACTGATACCTTTATCAATTTCATTACATTTTTTAAAATTTCATTTACTTCATTGTTGTGTCAAGTGCTCCCATTCTTTGGCCCTCACCCTATGCTTCAGCTCTTGAATCAAAAACCTGCTTGCACCCATATAAGACATCAGATCTTATTATCTGATTTTTGGTTTCTGACAGCAACTGGTTGAAAAACAAAGCCAAATCCATAAAATTAAAATCCGACCTGTGCAAAATGTGTAGTCAGAGCAATGAGAGAAGAATTAAGCATGTCCTGCTGTTCCTCAAGATCCCGAAGTCTTTCAGCTTCACTAATGCCACTGCAACAGATAAAAGTTAAACCATTCTTATATTATTTTCAGATGTCAACAATCCTGTAGTGATAACAGTTCAACATAAATTGGGTAACACATTTTATAACTGCTGGCAATACTACAATAAGTTACACTGTCTTACTTACTTATTTACTTACTCATGGAGCTGAGCCCTTCTGGAGGAACCGCCAATTCTGCAGCTACTCAAGAATTTCACAGCATTTTATGGAACCCAAAGGTTCATTACCATGTTCACAAGAGCCCTCCACTGGTCCCTATCCTGAGCCAGATCTATCCAATCCATATCATCCCATCCTATCTCTCTAAGATCCATTCTAATATTGTCCAACCACCTATGCCTTGGTCTTCCCTGTGGTCTCTTTCCTTCTGGCTTTCCCACCAATATCCTATATGCATTCCTTGTCTCCCCCATTCGTGCTACATGACCTGTCCACCTCATCCTCCTTGACTCTGTCACATTATTTAAACTTATACATAAAAATATTAACAGCTAATAACTCTGCTTTACATACTCACAATCTAATGATAACATCCAATGGTGAAACAAAAAGTTCTGGAAAAAACCAATCACCAACTTTTTTTTCACTCCATATTGAGTACTCGATAGAACCTGGACCATATAAAAAATGCCACATCAACTAGTTCTATTGTTGCATGTGTATTCATCATTACTGGAACATGTATACCAAGTCACTGCCTAGCATTGCCTGGAAATATGTTCGCAGAGCTGTTGCCTACTAATGGCCCTGGAACGTGTTTACTGAGCCACTACCTAGCAGCAGACTCGAAAAGTGTTTACCAAGCTGTTGCCTGGCAGACAGCAAGGTGAGTTCATTAAAAAAAAACTCTGTGGCCTGTAGTCTGTAAGCAAACTATACTGACCAAATGACCGCCACTTGTGGGCGAAGTTAGTGCCAACTTTTGTGGATAGAGGGTGTCACCTGGACAGCACAACGGATCCCCATGGCCATTAATCTCAGGTAAGGTTCCTTTTATTAAAAAAAATACAAAACAAAAGTTTCATGCTCTTCTAAAAGAGCACTTTTCATGAAAATGACAATACCTGATGACAGACTATTGTTGGAACACCCACCTACTGACAAAACTTGTACTCCTGCAATTAGTACATGAAAATTCATAATCTTATGCAGCACCATTATAACTTTACTGTACACAGAGACATAAAAAGTACACATCTGTACATCTTATCCAAAAGGCACACATCACATATTCTTTTCTACTAGCCTATGATAAATGGAAAAATATTTTGCAAAATGTGTTTTTTTACTTGTGTGTTCTTGTGCACATGTGCGCGCTCATTATATTATACAGTGCGTACAATCAAGTGCGCGCCGCGGCTGCAATTTGCCGTGAGTCATACCACCGCAGAACGGATGCAACTCCTCCCCGCGACTGCAGTGCCGTTCCCCGATAGCGTGAGTGTAGTGGTGTCGCTGAGTCTCCGTCCATCAGTTGCTCTACATGCACACATTTATAAGAATACAGTAAAAAGATAACTTACCGTGGTTTATAACAGGTGCTGAAAGTGACCTCCTTCTGCTTGCAAACATGCCGCGCATCTCACAAATAAATTACGCGACACTCTCTGCAGTTCGTCGACGGTAATTGAATGAATTACGCGTGTAATTTCATTTTGAAGACTATCAATGCTGCGGGGATTATTTTTGTAGACTTTTTGCTTCAGGTTGCCCCAAAGATAATAATCAGAAATACTGAGATCTGGGGATCTGGGAGGCCACAGTCCTCTACTGACAATTCTGTCTTCAAACACTTCCTGTATTGCGACCATGGATGCATTAGCCGTATGTGCTGTAGCGTTGTCCTGCTGAAAATACCCGTATTGTCTTTCTTCGGCATTCAACTGATCGAAGAAGGGATTCAGTATGTCATTAATGTACCGATCAGAGTTCACGGTATCGTGGAAAAATATGGGGCCAATGATTCGCCGCGGGCTTACAGCACACCACACACCCACCTTTTCACTATGTAATGGCACTTGCTGTATAGCGTGAGGATTTTCATTGCTCCATATTCTTACGTTTTGTGCATTGACGTGGCCACCAACGTGGAACCACGCTTCATCAGTCATGAATAGAAGCTGAGGATCCACTATTCCATCGTGTACATTTTGCAGCAGCCAGTTGCAAAAACGAATTCTTGCTGCATGATCTGGTTCTTTCAGCTCATGCACAACTGTTACTTTATACGGGCGAAATTTGATTAACTTTGTGGCTGTGCGAGCAGATCCTAGCGAAACACCAGTTTCATGTGCTAAGCGTCTTAACGATTTTCGAGGACTGATCTGTAATCTTGCCTGAATATCCTTAACCTTTTCTTCAGTCAGCACAGTTCTCTTCGATTGCTTCTTCTTGTCACTCACTGAACCTGTGGCCCGCCACTTTTTCAGAAGCCTGTTTACACACGACTTTGTGGGAACTGGCGAGTCAGGATATTTCTGACGAAACCTACGTGCGAATTTTCTGTAAATGTTTTTCCTTGCAATAGTTTCGACAATAAACACACGCTGTTTAATAGTGAACTTCATTTCCACCGTCTGTCGACAGCTGTAAACATTCCACTCCACTTCCACAGCAAGACAAAGACTGACTGTTTAATGCAACCTCGGGTTCCGATTATGTAACCATCGGCGTAGGAGCACTGCAGTCACGGGGAGGAGTTGCATCCGTTCTGCGGTGGTATGACTCACGGCAAATTGCAGCCGCGGCGCGCACTTGATTGTACGCACTGTACTACCATTAGTTTTGCTTGTTAACTGTTCAAATATGCTTTGTATTCATTCTGTACAATGAGACAGATCATAAAATTCTGTTAATTCTTTTGTGTATAATAACGAAGTTATATCCATATTAAATTTATTCCCCTCAGTGCAGTCTCATTATTGAATACAACGATTTTATTGGCCCTACCTCTTGTTGAAGAAGAGCTCTATTAAACTGTTATTACATTACAGCATACAGTGACATCTTACCTTGTTCCTTGCACCAAAGACCTGAGGGTGGAATACTCATATAGTTATACAGTTCATAAATCAAACTTTCTTGGTTTCAGCAAAGATTACTTTAGTTTTGATTACATTAGAGTCATGCTTGCATTTTCATTTTAGTATATGAACACACCTGCGGCATTCCAGAGTAAGAACCTACAATGCATATGTGATTATATTCTGAAACTGTTTCTTACAAAGCCTTTCTTTCCATCAATCCAAATAAAACGTTAATTATACCATTTACCAGGAAGAGAAATATAAAGGGCCTTACGGAACCGACTCTCTTCAATAAGAAAATCCAGCCCTGTAGCAATGTCAAGTACCTTGGTCTAGTATTAGACAAGGGACTGACATGGAAAAAGCAGCTGGACAAGGTTATCAATAAAGCTTATAAGGCTTTTTGGACATGGAGAAGCATATTTGGTAAAACTTGGGGACTTCAGCAGCACATTGTGCATTGGATATACACTGCTGTTGTAAGACCCATAATTGCATATGGCACCACAGTATGGTGGTCCAGAGTTAAACTTGAGACAAGCAAGGCAGAACTTAGCAAACTGCAAAGGTTGGCTTGCTTGGGTATCACAGGAGCAATTCGAACATCTCCAACAGCTGCACTGGAGATACTCCTTGGACTCCCCCCACTGCACATACAGTTGGAGGCAGAGGACAGGGCAGGAATCTACCGTCTCCAGCGCAGGGATCAATGGAAACCTAGATCCGATAGTTTCGGACATGCATATATCACTCAGGACAAGGAAAAAAGCACCCATATTACAAATGGGGTCTGACAAAATGATACTGAGACATGTATATAGAAAACCCTTCACAGTCAGATTTCCTAACAGGAGTGAATGGGAAGACAGGTTTCAGGCCGATAGAAAAGGGGGACTGATCTGGTATACAGACAGTTCCAGGCGGAAACTCAGTTTCAGCCTTGGGCATTACACGACAGTATTCCAGGCAGAAGTATATGCCATTAAGGCATGTATTATGGAGAATCTAGATAGCAACTACAGAAATAGGAACATCTACATTCTATCTGACAGCCAAGCTGCACTTAAAGCACTTGACAAACCCCAGATCAACTCAAAATTGGTCTGGGATTGCCACAAAACCCTCATGGAACTGGCCAAACATAACAGGGTACAACTGATATGGGTGCTAGGGCATGAGGGTATTGCTGGAAATGAAACAGCAGATCAATTGGCCAAGATTTGAGCTGAACATCCATTCATAGGACCTGAACCAGCCTGTGGCATCTCTGTAGGATTTGCCAGAAAGGCAATCAGGGACTGGACAAATATGAACCACAAGAAATACTGGGGATCTTTGACTGAACTCAGGCAAGCAAAGGGACTCATATGAGGACCCTCTACTAAAAGAGCTAAGGAACTGTTGAAGTTAAACAGGAACCAGCTATGATGGGTGGTAGGAATACGTAGAGGACACTGTCATCTTAAAGGACACCTCTTGAAACTGGGACTAAGTAATAGTTCAACTTCTGAGAGGTGTCAAGAAGAAAATGAAACAGCCACACATATCCTGTGTGAATGTGAGGCCTTAGCTTATTTATGGTTACGTCACTTGGGTCAGTATTTTATGGAACCAAGTGACTATTTCAACGTCCCCACGTACAAAATCCTGTGCTTCATTTGAAGTGAAGGATTGCTGAAGGGATAATCAAAAGGGGAAGCACAATAGATCACTGTGGTTGTGGTGCAAGGGCCAAGAGGGCCCACCCCTTGTACATTCATTCATTCATTTCCTAAAAATCTCTTACTGTAATCTCACCATAAATTTTGGATATAGAAACACCCTTGTGTCAAGTAATCGAAGTTTAAAATATATGAAATACAGCACGACGTTGAAAATGCAGCCTATTACTATAAATTACTGTACGCATGAAATTGTCATACTTTGAAAATGTGTGTCCAAGATTCAAATTACAAAAAATATTCTCCTGAAAAAGCAGAATCGGCAGACAGATTTCTTAATGAAAGTGAAATAAAATATGCTCGCTTGCTCATCAGAGCCAGAATTAAATTAATAAAAAGGTAAATATTACATGTTTAGGTTATTTTGACAGCTGACTTCTGTGCACACAGTCATCTACAATACGAGAAATTTACGATTTCTGAATTCAAACCTTATTTAGTTGCTATAACACTATTCTAACATGTTAATGAATTTGAGTTCTACTAACCCTACTCGTTACCCAGAGTCAACGTATTGTAAATATGCCTGATTAACATGCTTTTAAACATACTGCACTCATCCATTCTTAAGCCACGGCTTATGAAAACAAACATACCGGCTGCTATACTGAATATCACACGCTGTTTCATCATCCAAATCATTTGCACCTACTGGGGCCCATCTCTCACCAGCTGGCTTATCATCATAAAAATCGAAGTCTTCAATTTCAGTTGCATTATGAATTTCTTCCATCATTTTTGACAGATTATGTATCACACACGGATCGAATGTCTTTCCACACTAACTTCCAGTAACACCAAAATCAATCAAGATATACCATCTGTTCCTTAGCAACATGCCCAACAATACATTTCTGATATCATATCGATTAAATCGCATTTCCAGCATACCGTGCAATTCTTCAACGATACATAGAGCGCGTAAGAGTGACACTGTGTATGTACCGCTGTGTACTACTGCGCATGCGTACGCATACCTACGTACCAAAGGAATTATCAGCTGAGGAAGAAAGAAGTCTCCTGGGATTTGGCACCGTGCATATGTGGTGTTAACCGACGTTTCGGAGGAACGTATCGCCTCCATCTTCAGGGTAGAAGGAAAAATATAAGAAATCCGCAGGCGAAGAGACCGTGAGAACCGGTAAAGCAGACTGGTGTTAGAAAAATACACAGCTATGTGAGAGCAGCGAAGGAAGGGGGAAGGAAAAGTCTACATGTGAAATCAGTGGAGTGGGAGGGGGGGGCAAAGGAGCTGGGACAGAGCAGGGTTTTGTGTTGGGGGAGAGAAAGGCAAGGTTAAAGGATGGGCACTAACCCTTAAGCTGGGGTGGGGTTGTTATGTTAGTCGGTCATGGCCTGTGTAGCCTTCTGGATCTGGCGTCATATCCCGGGTTTTTTTTTAAGAGAACAGATGCGAGGCTTCCATGACTTGCTGAGACAAAACCCCCCCTCTCTGTTCATATTTTTGGGATGGAGTTCAATCTCAATGGCTTCCCTAATGATGCGATCCATATAGCGGGTCTTGGTGGCGAGGATGGAGGTATTCTGAAGCTGAATACGGTGTCCCAGATCGATGCTGTGTTCAGCTACGGCTGACTTGTCCGAATGTTCGAGACGGATGTGCCGCTGATGCTCTTTCAACCTCATGTCCACGGAGCGGCCTGTCTGCCCAATATAGACGATAGAGACTTTGCCGCACTCGAATGGGATACTGTATACACCCGGTATCCTTAGGCCCAGGCTATCTTATCCAATTTCCTCCGGGCGGTCAAAGCTTGGATTAAACTTCATGTTCACTTCCAGTAAGCCTACCAAATTTGTAGCATGTGACAGCACTGAAATAGAATGTGTACACTGTAAGAATATAATATGTTGGCCAAGTCATTGAAATTATTAGTCTACATTCCAAAAAATTGGAAAAGGAGGCTTAGGTGGGCAGTTTCCTGCCTGCTTGTGTACCATCAAATTTATTGAAACAGGGCCTCCTCTTTGACCAGAGGAGGGGTTGGTGTGTATGTATACGCCCTCTGACTGAAGGAAGCAGTGAACCCAGTGGATCCCCTCCTCTCTCTCAGGCTGAGACTGAATATTGAGAGGACTGACCGGAATTGACAGACTGACTGTGAAATTGCTGCTGGCCTTTACCAGCACAATGATTCTTGGTTCGGAGACCATCAGAGGGGTCAGGGGGCCCAGAACCTTGAATCTGAATCCATCAGACGATCACTCCCTTGGTCCTTGAATGTTGTCAGAGTTGCTCATCTACGCTCATCTATGTTCGAATGAACGAGGTCACAGCCGGTCGCGGAGACAATGGGACATCTTTCGTGAATAATTGGAATTCTTTGCGTGTACAAAATGTACTCCCGAATCTAGCTTTTAGATGTCGCCAGTGTATTCTATCCGGTTACATTTTCACACTATTCCATTTGACATAACTGTCGGCGCTGTCGGCATGTGACGAGGAAGGATTGTTATGGAAGTAGTTTATGTGGCAAGTCGGGGAAAATTTGGTTCTGTTGGGCGTTTATAATTGAATGGTATACAACACATTATATGGTACGTCTGTTGTACGCAAATAGTTGTGGACGAGAATTAATATAATGGTCACTTTAATTGATTTGGACAACCCAGCATGTTGGTGTAATTAACGTAACGCTTTGGTGAACGAAATTTGGATAATCTGGGATTTTAGCTTATCATTTGAGCACATTTATGCGAGATAGACATGTGAAGTGTTGTGTTCTAAAGCGGATGGTTTCAGTTACTCATATTCCGTTGTAAAGTTACGTATTTGTACATAAAGTTAATTTAAAATTTGAGGTTAATTATGTCTTGATAAGAATTATCCTAAATTACCTGGTTCTTTGGTTATTCATCACTCTTTGAAATTGGGTAGGGGGACACGGATTGAATGATAAGGTACGTTCTATGCACATATTAAATCGATTAAAAATATTCTATTGTGGGATATATTTGTCTGAATGTAGTCAAATTATTTGAATGATACAGAAACAGGAGACATTTGTTATGAAGTTTGACATTCATGGTAGCGCTTGTTAAAATTTCAATGAAGTTCTATATCGAAGTATATGGATTTATGGAATATACAATAAATGAATGAATGAATGGAGTTCAAGAAGGCTAATAGTTTAGTCTCTGCTTTTTATAGCTTATAATACCGATGTTCTAACCAGTTTAAATGGAGTACCAAAACTTGTTTTTTTTGTCGTTTATTTCATGATTTTATCAGCATCTGTACCATATAGTTTTGATTGATAGAACGAATACTGAGAGCTGAGCACCTCAGCATAAGCCTAGAGTGTTACTGTAACACCAGACAGTTCACCATTCAAAGCCTGTTCTCTTTCCTGCTGATATTAGTATAATAATATCCAAAACTCAGTAGAACAGTTTTGTGAAATTATTGAATATCAAATTTAATATCATGAGTTGTTTATACTCATGTAAATATTTACAAAACAAATTTCTTAATATCTGTAATCAGTATCAAACCCATAACTGATGATAATGTAAGTTACTATGATAATCTACAGGAAGCTAAAACTATGTCATTTCATGGTCTCAAAATGACACTCATTGAAACTGGAATGGTCTCATAGACATTCATTCATTCATTTATTCACATTCCATAAAATCCTTACATGGTTTAAACAACCAACAGATATAGAAATCGTCAAGTAGTATGAACTCATCTTGCTTATAAATCAAGCAGTTGTGAAATGGTTTGCAATATAAAATAATGGTGCTAAGTAATATGGATAATAACATTGACAACTAATCAGATAAGAAGTATTATTACAGATAAAATGAAGTTACTTGGTCAATTTCACATCATTCTTTCCATAAAATCCTTACACGGTTACACAACCAACAGATATATAAATTGTCCAGTATTATAAACTCATCTTGCTTATAAATCAAGCAGTTGTCAATATGTTTGTAATATAAATCAAATTAAAAAGTTAAATATATAAATTACCCTTTGCATAATGTTGCCATTGTCATCTATTAAAATATTCCTCTAATGTATAAAAGGAGTTCACAAATAAAAACTCTTTTAAACTGGCTTTAAACTTATTTGCATTATTTGACATTATTTTGATTGCATTTGGAAGCCCATTATAAATCCTTGCAGCCATGTGATAAACCCCATTCCTGTATTTCGCCAAATTGACCTGGTATATGTGTATATTCATATTTTGTCTAGTATCTTTTTCATAGCAATCCTTATTTATATTAAATATTTCTTTATTATTTATTACAAACATAATATATAGCATAATATATAGATTGAGTCAAATATGCTTTTGCAATGAAGTATCTTTTATTTCTTTCCCAGTGAAGAACTTTTGAAGACAGCACATATAACAGAATTTCACTCAGTTATACTATATAGTATAATTTTATGGGGGAATTCACAGGCAAAGGCAAGAATCATACCAGAAAAAACAAGTACGTGTGGCACGGAAGGTGGAACTACATTGACTTCATTTAAGAACATTGTGAATGTGAAAACACTGATTGTAGTAATATGGAAGGCACAGCAGCTCCCCCAAATTTCAGTGCCCCTGATGATGGCTGAGTAGGCCAGGACATGTAGTGGAGTGATGAATTTAAAAAGGATTGAATTTTAAAATGTTGATAGTGTTGCATAGTTCATGGTAAACAATTGAAAATAAATTCCTTAATAACATTTATAATCAGTAATGTAAGGTAGAATTGTCCCTGTACTTAATTAATTAAGCACTATGCCATGAAGACATAGGGGAGTGGAGGTATAGGTCCACCTTTCCTGACCTTGGCAGTAGGTGGAGATGAATGGTCAACTTCACGCCCCTGTCATTTTACCCCCAGGGAAAGAGCCTCCAGTACTCATTGGATAGGAGGCTGGGTGGGTCCCAGAACTGGTCTGGATGCTGTGGAGAAGAGAAGAATCTAGCACTGCCAGGAATCAAACCTAGGCTGCCCAGCTCATAGCCCACCACTATACCAACTGAGCCATCCCGGCTTCATTTATAATCAGTAACTGTACAAATTTTGAGCCAAATTCAGAGGTACTTGAAGTGAACAGTGCACAATATGTTCACAGATCAAGCACTAACCCTATAGTGTGCCAAAAAGATATGTATTGTGCGGGAATTAAATCATATAGCAAACTCCAGGGAAGTATCAGAAACAGACAGTTTCAGTTGACATTAAAAGAATTCCTTTTGTAACACACCTGTTGACGCATTTGTAAATGGCAAGTACATTCTTCAGGGTTATAATGCCATGTAGTTTGGAAAAGCCAGACGTTTTGGAGGAACAGATTGCCTCCTTCAGAGTTGAAAAGTAAACGAAGCAAGAGGCAGGTAGTAAACAAAGCCCTGCTTACTGCCAAACATGAAGCAGGTGGCAAGTAGAGCCAACCATTAGACATAATTCTGAGCCAGGTACCATTGCCTACCATCCTCACACACGCTATTTCCCTGATATTAATCTTAGTGTTGTCTTCACTCTTCCAAAATTCTCTGTGTATTCCTTCTCTTTGCTGTCCTTTATACATGGCCGCAAAGATTTTACTGTAACAGGACTTGCGTAATCTGTATAAATAACAGATTCTGATTTCTCATTTGTGATATGTACATGCAGATGCATGTGTGATGCATCATGCATGCAGGCGTGCAGGTTTACGTTCATTCCAACGTGTCATTTCAACAGAAAATTGTATATTCATGTTGGGTTGAAGTTGTGTGTGATAAGTGATTTTAAACTGTTATGTTTTTATTCATTCATTCATCAGTAATCTCTCAGACGACAGGTCCACAATCTCTTCCAAAACAGTTCCTCCACTTAATGCGATCTTCTGTTTTTGGAAAGAGACTATCCAGGAAAAGTGATAATGTGGTAGTTTTTCCATTTGCTTTCCACATTGCAGTACAGCAGCCGTTCAAACCACTCTGGTCACGCCTGTTGCTATACGAACTTGAACCATCTCGAGCATCATTTGTTCTGTGCTTCAAGTCGCTACTGATGACGCTGCTTCCGGCATCAGTTTTTGGTGTCTCTCTTCGTCTGATGCCTACCCTTTGACCTGTCCAGCAAGGGAGGCCCTGCCAGTAGCTACGCTACCGCTGGTATAGCTCTCAGGGTCCTTAGCATACTCAAACCCCCTCACCACGATAAGGCGGAGACACCAACGAGGGGGTTATGTTTTATGCAAGTTTAAATATGTTTTTATGTGTATGAAATTTGTACCATTGTAGGTGACTATATAATTATTTTTTTTTCTATCTTTTCTGCAGTTCTTTTAACTCACAACATGTCATCTTCAGCTGTATATATTCTTGATGTGAAGGGCAAGGTAAGTATATCTTTTCTTAAGCCTGGAAAAATTAATTTTTGTCTCAGATGTGTTTTGGGGCCATCACATCCTGAATGTTAGAATGGCACCACCCAATTTTGCAAATTTTGTATTAGTACATTTTATAATTCTGAAATTCATGGCCCAGCAAATTGTGTGATGCAGCTGCAGTTTTTTCATGCAGGAGTGTTATGTTGCACTTAAAATTTAGTGAAGGGTTCACTATCCACGATACATAACTGATAATGAATGTAGCCTCTGCACTAAGCTGAGTGGCCCTGTAAGTTCAGAGAAATTTGTAAGGAAGTTAATAATTCAACTGTAAACAGAATACAGATGATGCAGATTGTATAATATGTTTATTTTCCTGATAACTAGATGTGTATTCTAACTGAACGAGTTTTTCCAGTCCTTCCAAACGGGGCTATTTTAATAAATGTAATAAAGTCAACATTTGGAATGTAATTGTACTACAACCTTCAAAAACTACCCCATTGGCATTGTGCATGAAGAAGATGGATAAAAAATCAATTGATCTTATGAAAGTATCCACGTAATGAAAACATAGCAGTAGAGAATACACATATTCCATAGAGACATTTAAAATATACCAAAATGTTTTGTTGAGAGAGTAATTCTTACATAAAAATATCAAACATTATAAGCTGGCAGTTTCTACAGGAAGAAGGATAAGCATGGGGGTTCATGTATATTTGTTTCCAATAAAATATAGGGGAGGTAATCTTTTTAAAGAATTTAGGAAGTGATAAGGACCTGAAATATCAGCTACTGAATTAGTTGATTTTAAAATTATAGCAATTTGTGTTTATAGATCTCACAGTGGTGTAAAATTCTTTCTACAGATATTGGATGAAATTATAAGTAAGTTAGTGAAAGGGGGTGTTTTTTGGTGATTCATGGTAATTGGAATGTTAAGCTATTACAAGCAAATATTCATCAAAAGCTTTATTAAGTTTGTATTGTTGAACAGTTTACTAAATACAGTTGCATGTCCACCAAGAGTTACAACAAACTCAAGCTCTCTAATTGATGTAATGATTAGAAATAAGATATTTTATCTCACCACAACAAAGGTAGTTAAACTGGAGTATTTGGACCATTTTGCTCAGGTTATGAACATAGCTGTTATATGCCCTTTTGTTCATTCAAGGAAAACTGTAAAAATAGTGTTCTCTAAAAGACATATAGAAATATTTAACAGTCAGTTAAGAAATTAAATATGGGAAGATATTTACTTGCAAAGAGATGAAAATAGAGTATACAATTCCTTTTTAACTAAGTATCTTAAGTATTTCATAGATATCTTTCCCCCCCAAAAGAATTCTAAAAAAATAAAGATAAGATAAGGATGGTTAATGACAGGGATAAAAGTATTGGGACAGAAGATGTGATTTTTACGTTTGTTAAAGAAATAGATGCCTTTGCCCAGTAAAACATGAAATTATGTAAAGAAGCATCAAATAACTTAAAAAGAAAATTATATTTGAAGCACGGAAAAGAGAAATTGACAGAATTATTTCAAGGTCAATAAACTATAACAAGGTATTATGACAGATAATAAAAAGGCAATTATCAAAAACGTGAATCAAAAAATTTCTTTAAAAATAGGCTCCATGCTAGTTACAAATCAACAGTCTCATCAATTTAAGGCTTTTTGGTAGAAAGTGTGGATAGGACAATAAATCAAAATAAGGATTACAGAATTTTGTCACAATACTATTGGTAATAAAATATTAAATTCAAATTTCATTTTTCTTGCACCAGTTACTGAAGATGAGGTATGAAATATAACCAGTAAACTGAAATGTAAATTTTCAGTGGGCTATTATGAAATACCAGTAAAGCTAGTAAAAGAAAGTATTCAGTTTACTAAAAAACCACTAACCTTTGTATGTAACATTTCATTATGTTCTGGAACCTTCCAATATTTGATGAAGATTGCAAAAGTTTGGCCTGTTCAGAAAAAAGGAAGGAAACAAATTTCCAGTTATAGACCAGTTTCAGTTTTGCCAGTTTTCTTTTTTTCAAGAAATTTTTGGAATATGAATATATAAACGGGCACAACATGAAATCTGAGGCTCAAAATGGCTTCAGAGGGAAGATATCTATTAATACAGCAACACAAACCTTTATAGAAGATATCCAGAAAGCATTAGATAATAAGCTACAATATTAGTTATGGGCATATTTTTAGTTTTAACTAAGGCCTTTGATGTATAAACTACTGCTTGTTAAATTGGATCTGTATGGACTTAGAGGAGTTGTTAAGCTCTTTACTGATTAGCTCCTTGCACAACTCAGTAACTAATCTGTATTAAGAAAAATATATTTTACAAAATTTGAATCTATACTAAAATATGATATTATATTTTGGGGGGAATAAATGAAAGTAATGCAGTATTTAAAACATAGAAAAGAGGTCTAAGACTTAATAAAGGAGTTAAAAACAGGGTGTCTTGTAGAATATTATACTTAAGCATCCTGTTGCACTCTACACTATAAATGATACAAACTCCGTCCCAAGTGCAAACAATATATATTATATGTCTTTGGTCTTGTTCTCTTCCACACTACATGTTTTGGCCACACGTAGTAAAGACAAGCAGCGGCACGCACACAGGAAGACTACACTGAATAACACCTGTACAGTGTGGAAACAAGAACTAGCCGCTCCAGCACTTTAGACATAGGGCGAGTAACCCTAACAATTTTAAATTTTAAATTTAAAATTTAGAGAAATTTTAAAGGATTTTGGAATCATAACTAAAGATTTTATAGTGCTACTACAGGAAAATCAAATTTGACGTGTGCAATATAATCTACATACCAGACACATATCAACGAGGTAGATGTTGATAATACGAAGAAAATAACAATGTGTTTTTAAATGTTAAATTTTAGACTGGGTTCAGTGTAGCANACGTTAAGAGTATACACCTGATGATGGCCGATAGAGGCCGAAACATGTAGTGTGGAAGAGAACAAGACCAAAGACATATAATATATATTGTTTGCACTTGGGACGGAGTTTGTATCATTTATAATGTCTTGTAGAAGTTTGTTTGGTGATTTTAAGGTTTTAGCTGTAACTTCATTATATATATATATATTAGATCTTATGCTTTATAAAAAGGAATATGATCTATATGACTCAGTATTCCAATATTCGTAAGTAAAACACAAAAGGGAACAGGTTTTGTATGTCCAATTATGCAATAGTGCTGATTGTAAAAAAAGTGTAATTAACATGGGAATAAAAGTACATAACAGTTTACTCTTCAAATTAAAAAGAATGGAGGATTTTAAGGTTTTTGTATATTGTTTTGTACAATGTTTAACAGTTGTTGACATGTAGTGTTTGGTTGTTTTCAACTGACTTGGCCAATTGTGCCTAGTATCATTATCATCATCTCTTGTCACAGGTTTATTTCCTGGTATTCCTTTTCTTGAACCAGTGATGCACCTCACCACTCAGGCTTCAAGCTTCACACTGTAGCACTTTCCGTAGTATGTGTGATGTTTTTTTGCAGCGAATCTATGGAGTGCTTTCCAGGAATTAGTTCCAAATATTTTNGTACCCCCATCTGCCAAGGGCGTTAGAGACTACTGTTGGGCGGGAAATGTCCTTAATTTAGCTCAGTGGCCTCCTTTGGAGACATGATGTTCTTTTACGTGCCGTAAAGCTACGACATGGGACCCACGGCTTAAAGTCCCTCCTGGAGGACTTGTTCCCTGAATTTTTCCGCCCTTAAAAATTCCACGACCTCCACCGCGTTTGAACCCGTGTACCTTGAGTTATGAGGTGGGAACGTTACCCCTAGACTACGGAGGCCGCTATTGTGCCTAGTAACTGTTATGGATGTTAAATAAATTCTCAATTATCAGACGCTATATTTCTAGCCCCAGTTTTTTAATTTTGCAGCTGTTGTAATTTTGTTGTATTTTATTGTTTCTTTTTGCTGAGGCATTTGCATTTGTTTTTTAACTTATGTTACATCTATTAATAATGGGTTAAATCTTCACAACCTGATATCTCATATTCAGTGGTTGAAGTGGGGTAAGATGAGGCAGTTTGTTTGCAGAGTCCCACGGTGTTAGGTAGACAGAAACACATGTGAGGGATGTTTGAGATCAGGGTACTGAGAAGTATATTTATACATAAGTGGAAGAGAATTGTGGTACAGTAGAAAAAATTGCATACTGAGGAGCTTCATTATTGCACCTTATTATGGTGATCAAATCAAGGACGATGAAATTCATGGGGCATGTAGAATGTTTGGAAGGGTTCCAACATGCATACAACCCTACAGTTGGAATACTATGGGAGAAGAGACCAACTGGATGACTTTGGTGTAGATAGGATGGTGGTAATATGGATCTTAAAGGACAGGATATGACAGTCTGGTTTGAATTAATCAAAGATGTGGTCATGATGTTGTATCATACTAGATTCTAAAGAAACTAAGTTACTTTCTGATATAGAAGGGTTGGTTATTTTATGATACCATGCAGATATCTGAGGTGGTGTAGTGTTAAATGAGAACTGTTAGGATGATATAGAACAGAGATTCAGGATGGATGTAAGAGGCCAGTTTATGGCATTATGCCAGCTTTTAAATGGAGGGAGTGAGAAAAACTACTGAAGTGTTTGGAAAAATTGACAAATAGTATGCATTGACCTAAGAGATGACTATAACAGTCTTAAAAGTTGCAAGAAATTTGTTTATTTCATGGCATATATATATAAAAGAAACAATTTATTGCACCTCATTTCTAAGGGTACTTAATGGGTTTAGAGAGACATGTTAGGTCTTTCATCAAACAAGCTTTTACTTACTTACTTACTTACTTATGGAGCTGAGCCCTTCTTGAGAAGAAGCCAAATTTGCAGCTACTCAGGTGTTTCCCAGCATTTTATGGAACCTGAAGGTTCATTACTGTGTTCACAAGAGCCCTCCACTGGTCCCTATCCTGAGCCAGATCAATCCAATCCATGCCATCCCATCCTATCTCTCTAAGATCCATTTTAATATTGTCCACCCACCTACGCCTTGGTCTTCCCCAGTGGTCTCTTTCCTTTTGGCTTTCCCACCAATATCCTATATGCATTTCTTTTCTCCCCCATTCATGTTACATGCCCTGCCCACCTAACCCTCCTTGACTTGATCATTCTAATTACTTGGAGAAGAGTACAAACAAGCTTTTACATTTCAGTTTTTATCCCTGGAATTTGGATAATGTGAATAGTTCTATGTTCTGGGATATAATGCTCTATACATGGCATTGTTTCCCAGAAGATAGAATCCTTCATAACCAGTGCTGGGAGAATCTGATATCCTACACTGGATAATATGTTTCTAATAAGAAACTTTGTCACAACAGGTCCTTATATCAAGAAACTACCGAGGTGACATTGACCTTGGTGTTATTGAAAAATTCATGCCTCTACTCATGGAGAAAGAAGAAGAGGGAATGTTGACACCAATTTTGCAAACCTCGGAATGTACATTTGCCTACATAAAATACAATAATTTGTACATAGTATCTACGACTAAGAAGAATGCTAATATAGCATTAGTGTTTGTTTTCCTTCATAAGATTGTTCAGGTAAATATCCTTAGTGATTTGTATCATCGTGTAAGCTAGACATACTTGGATTGAAGTCTTTAATGTATAATTTAGCTGATCACTGTGGCCATGCACCGAGAGGTATGTACTATTTTCTGCTGCTTAAATACAGGGATTGTGGGTATGAATCTCATCTAGGGGCATGGATGTATGTCTGTGGCTTTGTTGTGCATGTGTTGGTAGAGGCCTTGTCATGGACTGATTCCTCTCCAGGTAGTCCTATCAAATGTCTGTAAATACCGTTCCAAAACCTGAAGAAATAAGAGACCTTAAACCACCTTGGTCTGTTTTGCCACAAAAGAAGAGGAAGAGGATCATAGGATCATGGGGATTAGGACTATATGACTTTATGAATATCATTGTTAGTGAAATTTCATGACGACTGAAGTGTGCTGCTCTAATCAACTCTTTATTTATTGATATTTCATGCTTTGAGGCCAGTGTTCATCTAGCAATGTGCATGAAATACATTACAAAAGTATGAGTTTCATAAAGTTCCTGAAGTTTAGACAGCCCTCGTGACCTTCTTAATTTATTAAATCACTGTATGGTGTTAAATTTTGGAACACTTTTTTTTTTCATTTTTTTTTTTTTATTTTTTTATTTTTGAGTCTTAGCCTTTATCCTAAAGGAATCAGGGTATAATTCCCCTGCTGGCTTTTAACTCACAGATTTTAATTAATAATGTTTTTGATATCTGAAGACAAAGTTTATATCTTTGGAACTTGTCTTGTTCCAGTATTCTGGTATAAAGTACTTAAAGTACTTAGCCAAATTGTATATATGTTTTGGGTAATGTTAGAAATCACTGTTGCCACAGAAGTTTGTAGATTCCAGAAAAAAAAATGTACCTGTTCAAACATACCACAGTCACATATATGGATATTGTTTTTCCTTGCCATGTTGTGACAATATCAGAGTTAGTGTTTAATTTTGTGTGGAAAAAACACATGGGTCTGTGCACTTTGAGCATATAATTTTAGTAGTCATTTGTTTCACCCTGAGTACACATGACACTGTAAGAGCAATCATGGAGATGGCCAATGCTGATAGTTTTTTGCTTCCAAGCAATCATTTCATTGGCAAGTTGGTTTGGTCGTCTGGAGTGACTTGAGGTCAAGCTTCCTTTGCACTCATTTCTAACAAATTCTCATTGGTCGATATTCCTACCATGGTGTGATAGAATGATCCAACAACCCCCCCCCCCCCCCCNTCTTTTTAGTTTTGTCTGACAGTTCTGCAGCATAAAGTAAATTGAGGGAGGAGAACAAATTGCTCATCTAAAGTACTTTTTAAATTGTTCCTGCCTCAACACAACAACTGTCAAAACTCACACATTTCACTGTGCAACAAATGGGTTTACTGATATTATAGCGCGTTGTAATTCTGTAATACCAATAAACTAATTTGTTGCATGGTGAAGTGTGAGTGAGTTTTGATAGTTGCTGTGTTGAGATAGGAACAATTTAAAAAGTAATATATAGAATAACACAACAGGATACATTCCCTGAAGTTTCTCATCTAAAGTTTATGGCTTATCCATTCTGCTGTTGTAGAGAAACTCCTCAATATCAGGTGTAATTGCTGTTATCTGTGTTTCATTTCACCTGTCCCTTCAGAAAATATTCTGCCATATTTCAGTCTTTAAATCCTTATATCAAAGTACTAATTTTCTTAGGATTATATTACTTGAAAGTATCTTCCCATTTGAATAGCACAGTAACTTTGTTCACTTCCAAATGTTTAGATGGATTGTAAAATACAGAGTAGCTTAGCACACATAGTCCTGATTTTCCAAAATTTTTCATAGTTCTTGTAAGTCTTGTCTGGTTATTTATATTGTTTCAAAAATATGGAAATCTCAGTAGATATAAATTTGGCGATAAAATGCTCTGTAGTTCTGTTCAAAAGTGGACCAGTAATATTTCAGTATGTCCTTATTGTCATGTGCAATTTGTACTATGACAGCCAAAAGAATATGCAGCCCTAGTACAATCATGTAAGGAGACTGTAATCATCCATCATCATCATCATCATCATCATCCTCCTCATACGTTATTAAATATTTGTTACAGCATGTACCAAATTTTATCTAGGCTTGAACTTGTATTACTGTTATTTTCCCCTGCTTCAGTACCTTTATTAAGCTCACTTTCACTGTTAAATGAGATTGCTTTAATGTAATCAATGTTCAGACTTAGCATCTGCTCATGTTTCTCATTCATCAGTATTTGTGCCTTTATGAAGAGAAGAAAATCATATTCTGTAGAGAGCAATACAACATATTACTCTTGAACACCAGTGTAAGAAGAAACTTGTAACAATGATCCTGCCCCCAACACACCCACAAAGACGATTCTTTCTGGGTAACAGTGATCCTCCTAAAGTGATGTTTATGAAGAAGACCTCATAGTAAGTATGCCGCAAGGATGGACAGAATTTCAGTGCCACAGCTGCTGTACACAGGTATATGATGTGATGACAGTCATCCAGCTGGACTGAAGTTCAGGATTGAGTGTCTTTTATGAATCAGGGAACTGTGTTGCAGCACATGCAACTAAAAGACAAGTTTGGACATTTTAATAATTTTAAGATACTGAACACAAGTAATACATTATTTATTTGTGCGTGTATAGTAACTTCTGCATCATGAACCCCTTCATTATCCCTTTATTTCCAGGTAATGATCGAATATTTTAAGGAACTAGAAGAAGAAAGTATAAGAGACAATTTTGTTGTTATCTATGAACTTTTGGATGAACTGCTTGATTTTGGATATCCTCAAACAACTGATAGCAAAATACTTCAAGAGTGAGTAGTCAAACAAATCATTCATTTTCCCATACCATGATAAATTATCTATTTTCAAGCTGTTTATGATATACTAAAATTGGTTTCAGATACATAACTCAGGAAGGACATAAACTAGAGATCCAACCTCGGATTCCTATGGCAGTAACTAATGCTGTATCGTGGAGATCTGAGGGCATCAAATATAGGAAGAATGAAGTCTTCCTTGATGTCATTGAATCTGTAAACTTACTGGTATGTTCTCCTTGGTATCATAATTTTATATTTTATCTTATATGGAAGGGGCATGTGGTAGCTTAGTTGGCTGAGGCATTATGCTACAAGCCGGAAGGTCATGGGTTCAAGTCCTGATGAGGTCATTGGATTTTTCTTTCAATTGACCTAATCTTTCCAGCCGCACTATGGCCCTGGAGTCAACTCAACCTCTAACATAAATCAGTATCAGGAATAGTCTTTGAATATTCTTGGGAGTAAAGGGCAGCCAGTGGATAGGGCTGATCATCTATGAGCCGATTGTCTAGAAAATGTGGGAACCTCAACATCTCACAACCCTGTGGGCCTCCACGGCCTGTTACAGGGATACCTTTACTTTTACTTACTTTTATCTTATATGGAATTGTTACAGATATGTAAAATAGTACAGTCAGCTTCCAATTATTTGAACTAATGAAGGAGGTAAGATACATGAATAATAAAAATCATGGATAATCCAAGACATTATGTGTTGTCTTCTTATAATATTTCACATATTACTTATAAAAAATCTGTACGAGTGTCTGTTAATTTGGTGGCTGTAATGTTTGTGTACTTCTGCAGGTTATTTAGACTTTTCACGACATTTTGAATTTTCCCTGCTGCTGTAATATCAGACCTCATTGACCCCTTGACATGCTGCAGTGCCATGATATGACAAATGTGATCACTGTTTTTCCTCATTTAATCTTATTCTCCCAGTTCGCTTCCTTATATTTTTGTTCTGTGTCAGCGCTTATAATATCTGCATCAGTCATGTACTGCAACTTAGGTTCACATATGTCACTTTGGAGACATTTCTCAAGGTATTTTATTCAGTATCTTGAGACCCTTTCAGACATTCACCAAATCACTAATTTTAGTGTTATATTTTAGCGTCCTGTTGCACTGAATTTCATCCATGATATGTATACAGTGGCCGTCTTGTAGTGCACTCAATTTCACCTGTCACTTAACAACATGTTTCGGCAACATAGTGCCATCATCAGGTGTCCCAATTACATTAATCTATTGCATTGTTTGCCCTCATATGTTTTCACAACACCATTTAAAAAGTATTTAAAAAGTGCGTATTTGTCAACTATGATAAATTTACACTCGCTAAAACTTGTTAAGATAATTGATCTTATTTGTCTTAATTAAAACTTGCATGTGGTTCGTTCACTATGGGGTCGTTTTTCTTATTTTCTGTGTAAACCGCATCTTGTGATGTGTGTTCCCTTCATAGCTGCGAGTGTCGCAGCTTTGTTGCCAAAACATGTTGTGAAGTGACAGGTGAAATTGAGTGCACTACAAGACGGCCACTGTATACATATCATGGACACTATTTTTAGGTTGAGTACCATGTTAGAGCTGGGATAGCGTAGTCGGTACAGTGACTGGTTATGGGCTGGATGACCAAGGAGTCGGAGTTCAAGTCCCAGTAGGGTAAAGAATTTTCTCTTCTCCACGTCATACATACTCCTATCCAATGGATACCGGGGCTCTTTCACCGGGGGAGTAAAGCAGCAGGGGCATGAAGCTGACCACTCACCTTCATCTAGTGCCAAGGTCAAGAAAATATGGATCTGTACATTCACTCCCCCATACACCTTCATATCATAGTGCTTAGTTAAGCACAGGGCAACTTCTTACCATGATAGAGAAACCCTAAAAATCTTCTTCCTCTAGATATGGAAGACGATTCTTCAATAATTGAAGAAGTGGTATTGGTGTTATTGAAGGCCATGCCTGACACGCTGAATAGAGCATGTATAGAACTGTGCCTTACAGAATGTCATAACACTGCAGTCTTCATCAATGTGGAGTCCCTGGCTTTAGTCCGTTGGTTGGTTACATTGCTGCTGGTGTTCACCAGCACAGTCATTCCTGGCTGCAGTCTTCTTGAGATGTGTGACCAAGATTTTCATTCTCTCTGTTGCCTAGCAATGGTCACATAAGAAACACTTCATCCCCTATTGTTGCACACTTATTTGTTAAACAACTTTGTTAACTGTAATGTCACAATATTTTACACATATGCACAAGAAGGTGCCCTCTGTGAAACCCTTCATTACATTTAGCATATCGTGTCCTTGAACTCCTTTCATCATTACCATTCCTTACCTTTCTTACTGCACACACAGCAGTCCTTCTCTTTGTCACTTGGTTGTTTCCTGAGGTATTTACCCACACCATCGCCACTGTTCTTGAAGCTGCCCATAAAAGAGGGTATGTCATAACCTTGTGTAAACAGCCAAATGGAAGAAATTCCTCTGTGTTCACTGAGGTATCCTGTATGATCATCTTTCTATGGGCTATCATTTATAGGTTGCATAATTTAGGACTGACTTTCTTGCAATCTTGAACATATCTCTGTAAATAATATTGTACGCTACCTCACAACAAAGAAGCCCCCAGAAAGCACACATGTAATAAGTTAACATGGAAGAAAAAGCAGATTGTGCATATTACCCATTAATTTGTCATATGTACAATGTGGTTTGTTTCTCTTGTTATTGTGGCGTCAGCAGAGTAGTCTGCAATGATCTTAATGAACAGAATTTCTTTGGGAAGATGAAGGCTGCTTCTCTATATTTTGAATTATTAAGGTAGTTCTGCATTGAAGTAAATTTATTTACTTTATGCTCCCTTATGAGGCACTTTAATATATTTCTGATGTTAAAATTTGAATATTTGAATTTCAGTATTATATTTAAGCATCCTGTTGCACTCCATACGATAAATGATATAAACTCCGTCTCAAGTGCAAACAATATATGACAGCGACGTGAGTGTTATACACCTGATGATGGCCGTCTGAGGCCGAAACATGTAGTGTAGGGAGCAAGATCAAAGACACAAAATATATTGTTTGCACTTGAGACGGAGTTTATATCATTTATTGAATTTCAGTATTTATTTCAAAATTAAATTTTTCTAAAACTTTCTGCTTTTATAATCATTTGACTTGGTGTGCTTGTGTTTGTGCTCTGTGGAGATAGCTTGAAGTACTGGGCTTGTATCATGTATAAAAACCAAAACTCTAATTATAACAACAAAGCTTTATGACCTGAAATGTATGTTAATATTTTTAAACCCTATTTGTTGACTTTTCTGCTAAGCCTGCAATGAAATTGATCTTAGTGAAAACAATGAAGCAGAGAAAAATAACAGTGATGCAAGTCCAAGCTGGAATAAAAGTTTATGCAAAACTGTAAGGCTTCCTTTGAACAAACCTGAATCAGTATATTTCTAACCAGAGAAAATAAAATGTTAGGGTTGATTGAAGGGTTACATACTTAGTTTGAATTCATTATTCCCTCCACATGTAATATGGTAGTTGTGCCACACAAGCCCCACTCGCTCTCCTACAAATGAAACACACTGTAGCAAAATGAAAGTAGTAACTTTAAGACTGACTATTACTAGTTCATGTTTAATCGCATTAATGCTATTTGGAGCCTGTTTCAGTAAGGGTGATCTTGCTAATATCTTTTTGTTTACTATCTAACATCTGTAAATTCTGTTCACATTTGTCAAGGTCATCCATCTCTAGAATGCACCATAAAGAGAATTTTGGAAAGTTCATTAACACAGTATAGTGTTGTGCTGGAGTAATGCTAGCACTGTAAACTGAAATGATGCATGCTTTAGGATGGGGATGACTCTTGTTCTTATTATTATTATTTTCATTAAATTGTAATAGCTGAGACAAAGAACAAACAAGCTTAATGTACGAGGGGGGACCCAAAAATAACCGGAAACGACCTATTGTGCGCGCATTCTTTGTAGTTACGAGTTGTGTTGCTAGGTGGTGTTAGCTGGGGGTCTCCCGCGACTGTTAGTGAGCTGGCGTCAGTCTGAGTTAAGTGGTTTGTCTGTGGTGCTCTGTTATGTGCGTTCCTGTTTCAACCTTTTGGCGATTAGTGAGATGGCCGACCAGAAGGAACAAAGAGTGTGCGTGAAATTGATGAAGATCGTCGAAAGACCATTGACCAACTTTCTGAGGAAACGAACATCTCATGGAGCACGGTCCAGCGAATTTTAACCGAAGGTTTGCACATGAGACGGGTGTCTGCAAAATTTGTTCCTCGCTTGCTCGGAGATGACCAAAGAGAAAACCGCGTGAATGTTTGCCGCGACTTGAAGAGTGAAGTGCAGTTTTCCCTAACAGAAAGCAAAATTTCATGCACACTCTTTGTTCCTTCTGGTCGGCCATCTCACTAATCGCCAAAGGGTTGAAACAGGAACGCACACAACAGAGCACCACAGACAAACCACTTAACTCAGACTGACGCCAGCTCACTAACGGTCGCGGGAGACCCCCAGCTAACACCACCTAGCAGCACAACTTGTAACTACAAAGCATGCACGCGCAACAGGTCGTTTCCGGTTATTTTTGGGTCCCCCTTCGTATGTAACTCAGAGCAAAAGAAAAATGCTTTTGCATGCTTTCTATAATAGTTTTAAATAAAGTTGTGGACTTCGGTCAACATGTGACATAGTGATAAGACTAGGATAGTGAATTATGTACTTTCTTTGGCCATCTTGGACAGCCCTGATTTAAATGGATTTTCCCCCTGTAAAAAATACTGAATAATTCAACATTTTTGCAACTTCTGATGCCTGTTCCCTATCTGAGTTAAGATTAGTTACATTTTATCACAAATTTTCATACTTTGCACTTAAATTATTTATAACAGATTTATTCAAAAATAATTCAGCACAGAGGGTACTGAGAGTTACTTAACATACTAGCAGTGAAATGGTTAAATTTAACTTTTTTATTGTATATAATTTTATAATACCAGAAAGATTATTTTATTCTTTGGTAGGCAAATGCAAATGGCAATGTATTAAGAAGTGAGATTGTTGGAGCCATCAAGATGCGTGTGTATTTGAGTGGTATGCCTGAGCTTAGACTGGGACTCAATGACAAAGTGTTATTTGAAAGTACGGGAAGAGGAAAGTCAAAGTCTGTGGAGTTGGAGGATGTGAAGTTCCACCAATGTGTCCGTTTATCCAGGTTAGTCGTTACATCTTAAGGAACTATTCTGAAACTTGATCTGTGTTGAGTTACTTGGGGAAGTTAAAATATGTCTCTCATATAATATGTTGTTGAGCATTTGAAATAAAAATGCTTATTTTTTTGGTGAATTATGGTTGAGCTTTGTCTAATATCGAGTTCATTTATTTATTGAACTTTATATTTTCAGTGGAAGTTCAATTTTCAGTCTTACCACACTTGAAATATTAATTTACATATGACTAGGTTATTATGTCAAGTGGCATCTCACAAATACAGGGGGATCTGTTACACTTCATAATTGTTCTACAGTGTACAAAAGCATTAATCTCCTGTTCATAACGCTTTTTATATCATTTTGCAGATTTGAAAATGACCGAACAATTTCTTTCATTCCTCCTGATGGCGAGTTTGAGTTGATGTCATATCGTCTGAACACTCATGTAGGTTTATGTATATGTATATACTCATGCTAGTCTTATCTCATCCTTTATTCTTGTCTCCCATTTTTAATATTTTTCTTTTCCTCCCTCTCCTCTTTCTTTCTTTCTTTCTTTCTTTCTTTCTTTCTTTCTTTCTTTCTTTCTTTCTTTCTTCCTGTTCCTACATTCCATGCAGTATACTTGAATGCATTTCATTTCACCTTTCAGTTAGTTGTAGCTGAATGGGAGGCTAATGATCATTGAACATATTTAGCTCACAGTTTTGGTGCTGGTATGACATTTGAAGCCCTGTGAGATGTGAACCTTTCATAGACGCCTATTAGGTGCTACATGTGGACTGGTTTGAACCAGTTAAATGCCACTGTAAATTTTGTGGCTCTAGTTAACAGCAAAAGAAAATGATTACATTTCATTGCACTCAGAAGCTGAAATGTGAACATGAATAAATATGGTAATTAATTTAATATTTTGTAAAGATAAAACACATAATTGTAGTATAGGTTGTATACAAGTATTCATTGCTTGCACTTTTCTCAGTTAAGGTACCTTGAACTTTGCTTACATAGTAATCCCTTGTTTAATGTGGTGGTTGTATTCGAGTTATCCTGTGGATATCAAAACCATGCTGCTTCGGGGCTTGATGTCATGGGAAATAAAGGTAAGGGGACTTGACCCATGAAACGTACATATACAAGAGCTCATGGGTCAGAGTAAGCAATTACAGTGTGTACATGTAAGATGCAACTTTTATTTATACCAATTGTATGTAATATGGAAACAGAAATTAGTGTAATATGGTAATAATAAAGAGAATATGTGCTGTGCCACAAAATAATTGAGAAGATTTTTCTGCATGTAGATCATACCTTCTGTAAATAACTTTTGCACTTTTCAGAGTTCATGCTTTAACACTAGCCCTAATAGCTGCTTCACATCATGTATCTGACAGAAAACTCATTGATATGAAGATGTCTTCCACAGATGCTACAGATGAAGGAATGGTTAGAGGCTGCACTCTGGAAGACCAGAGAGCATAAGCAGGAGAGAAATTGAGCCAAGGGTGTCTCAAATGGGTGTCTAAATATAGATCTTGTATAATCAGAACCGTGGTAAAGAAGGAATTCCTGTAAGGTAAAGGTAAAGTTGTCCCTGAGCTTAACTAATTAAGCACTATGCCATGAAGGCATATATTGGAGTGGATGTACAGATCTACATTTTCTTTACCTTGGCACTAGTTGGAGATAAGTGGTCAGCTCCATACCCCAGCTGCTTTACCTCTGGGAAGAAGATCCTGGTACCCATTGGATAGGAGGCTGGGTGGGCCCCAGAGCCAGTCTGAATGATGTGGAGAGGAGAAAATTCTTTACCCTACTGGGACTCACACTCTGAACCCTCAGTTGTCCAGCCTGTAGCCAGTCACCATACTGACTGAGCTATCCCAGCTCCCAAAGGAATTACTGTACCAGTCTAAAGTTAGAGTTTGATTGTTCAGCATTTTACTGTTTTGTTTCCAGGTGAAGCCATTGATATGGATTGAGTCTGTGATTGAACGTCATGCTCATAGTCGTGTGGAATACATGATCAAAGCAAAATCTCAGTTCAAACGTAGATCCACTGCAAACAACGTTGAAATTGTAATTCCTGTTCCTGCTGATGCTGATTCACCTAAATTCAAGACTACCATTGGAAGTGTGAAGTATGCACCAGAGCAGAATGCAATAACCTGGACAGTGAAATCTTTTCCTGTGAGTTATCATTATTATGATTATAATTATTATTCTTTCTTTATTTATTTATTAATTTTTATTATGCTAGTCCTAAAAAGTTTTGTTGGAGAGGGTGGTTACCGAGTCTTGAAGGTGGGTGTTTTAGTATGAAATTCGATCTGCAGTATGTGAAGGATATCTGGAAAGTAAAGATACAATGTCCAGAAAATATTTGTAAAGCATTGTTTTATTCATTTGTAGTACTTTTACAACACACCTTTATTTACTTTTAAACATAGTCACCATGGATCACAATGCACTTAATGAGCCTGGTAATGAGTTTTTTTATTCCAGCATCATAGAAATCTCCCGCTTGCTCTCTTAGCCATGGAGAACAATTCTTGACACTTCTGGACATTATTGATGAAGTTCAGTAATGATTTAAACGTCTGTCAGCATGAATGTTTTCATCAATTTTTTGGAGGATTTCATCAGTGACAGCAGATGGCTTTCCACTCCTTATTTCATCATGAACATCACTTCTTCCTTCTTCAAATTCACGACACCATTATGCCATTTTTTGAATGTTCATAACATCTTCACCGTAAACAAAAACAAGTTGGCGATGAATTTCAGCAGCAGTTCCTCCTTTTGCGTGAAGAAATCGAATTACTGTATGAACCTCACATTTGGCCAGATTTTAATCGACACGACCATTTTAAACACACACTGCAAACACAACGTTGCTGTGACTGTGGCCGGTGAATTTAACCCGTCATAGGGTTCCTATCCAACACGGCAGTGCTGCTATTTCTGGAAAAAAAAAAAATCCCTTGCATTTTTACTGGACTTATTTTCCGGATATGCCTCATACATTTGATTGAGGACTACTCTTCAGTCAGGAGAGAAGCATTGTTCAACATTTGCATTGAATTTGATATAGGTCTAGGCATGAAATGAGTTTCATTTATTGACTGAATAATTGTATTACAGAGACCCTCACATATTTTGGTTGTACAAGACCACCATCAAGGAGTATACCTTACTAGAAGAAAATTTTGCAATTCATGTGTGTAAAACTTTAGAAACTTAAAATATCTGGAGTAGATGAGTATAAGTCCCCATAATGTTAGACTTATATTTTCGAGCAGTATGGTGATGTAAAAATGTACCAGACTACAAAGTATTGTAACCCATAAGATCACAATAAAGACTATATACTTGAACTTGTAATGGCATTTCCTTTGGGGTAGCCCATCCATACTTAAAAATATTAGGAGCGTGAATTTGCAGTCTGATTGGGCTTTGTTGAGGCGTATATGCCTCACATTGATGTTATTGACACATCTATTGTGAGGGAAGATTACACTATGCATGGCCTGCAGATAAATTCTCAAGGCAAGAAGAAGCTCATGCAACTTATTGCTGAGAGAGTTGTTGGTGGTCATGTGTCAGGTATAAGCAGTACTCCTCTTATAACCCCATTCTAGGGCGTCTCCTTTTTAACTTAAATTCAAAAACACAGTGGTGATTAACATATGTTAAATACAGTTCTGCAGTCTTGGAAGTTCACAAAAAAACTGCAAAATTATCCAATTCAAATATTTTTCACCAGAATATCAGAGGATTGAGAAGTAAGTAAACATGATGAATTAGTGCAGTCCTTTGAAATAGACAATATAAACTCTCGCGTATTATGTTTAAGTGAGTTTCACATCATTGAACAGGAGCTGCTGCACCTCACAATGAATGGTTACTTATTAGGCTCCAGCTATTGCCAAAAAGACCTACAGAAGGTAGGCGTGTGTATTTTTGTTATGACAGATCAACATTTCAGTAAAATTGATATCATCACTGCGATGAGCAGGACTTTGAAATATGTGCAGTTCAAGTAGTAACTGAAACATCTAACTGAATTATGTTAAGCTTGTACAGAGTTCCTTCAGGAGATGTTGAATTTCTAAGGAGATTAGATGCAACTTTAAAATATCTGTACAATCCAAAATGTGAGTTTGTAATCTGCAGAGATATAAACATAAACTACTTAAATGAAAATAACCGTAAAAAACAAGTAAATTCTTTACTAAAGACATACAGTTTGGCACACACTGTGAATTTTGCAAGAAAAATTCAAAATTCCTCAAGTACAGTCATTGATAATATTTTTAGATAGTACAAAGTTAAGGACTTTTTGTACATCTTATATAGTCAACAGGCTCTCCGACCATGGTTCTCAATACCTTACAGTAAATAATCTTACTATAAAAGTAAATTTAATACCCTTGAAACAAAGAACCAGAAAAGTAAATGGTGAAACTATTTCTCAGTTTCAGCATCTATTAGAAAATGAAAAATGGGAACCTGTTTTCAAAAATGAGGTTACAAACTATAAAGTTAACTCTTTTTTGTAATATATTTGTTATAAATATCTCTGAAGCTAGTTTTCCTACTCAGAATAAAAGTGTAAATATAATAAAACATGAAACAGGAAATCTACATTTGACTGAACAGATACCACCTCTTCCTATAAATGATAAAAAGTAAAGGACCCAGAAGTAATTGCTGATGCCTTCAGTACTTTTTTCTGACAAGAACTGAAAATCTAAACTTGCATCAGGAAGTGAGAGGTAATACCATTTCATTTTTAAAAGAGGCATTTCATACAAAATTCCTTGGTATTAAGACAAGCCGAACCACTGAAACTGAGATGAAGAGTATAATACATTCCCTCAGTCAAAAGCTCATCAGGTTATGATTGAATTTTCAGCATTTCTCCCATGTTAAATCTAAGTGTTTGTGATAATAATGCATTACAGTAAACATGGCTCTTATTTTGGGTGTTGTCCATCATCGTTTGTGTTTCAGACACCATATTTTGGTCCTGGGGCAAAGACTTATTTTAATGTGCCCATTTGAGTATGCTTTCTTCTGTTACCCATGATGATGGGATAGGTCCATTTTCCAAAACATTGTGTTTAAACAGAGCTCAAGGTGGAGCACAATATCAAAAACAGTAGTTGCATATATTTCTCTCATGTGTCTGTTGCAGCACACTTTCTGTATTCTTTTTTTTTTTTTTTTTTCCTGTGATTTATCTGGGGCCTAATTTTTCTTTAGGGAGGAAAAGAATACTTGATGCGAGCTCACTTTGGTTTACCGAGTGTAGAAGGTGAAGATACTGAAGGTAAACCCCCAATTCAAGTGAAATTTGAAATCCCATATTTCACAACATCTGGGATACAGGTATGAAAATAATTGCTTGCTTAGAAATATCCACTTAAACTATGGAATTTCTTTAAATCAAGAATCCTACTTTGTAACAGAAGGAAATATTTAATTGCTAAATTGAGTATAAGGTGGCTGAGATCTTAATATTTTCATGTGTTTTTGTGTGTTATTTTGTCAGTAAGAAATATTGTTTGTTGAAGGTGCGGTATTTGAAAATCATTGAAAAGAGTGGATATCAGGCCTTACCTTGGGTACGATACATCACTCAGAATGGTGACTATCAGCTGCGCACAAACTAGATGAAACATTCCGTTATTGTGTGAGTTCAGCATCTTATGGACACTCTTGGAGTAATGGCAAGATTCAACAGCATGTCAACTTTGCAGTGGGCTATCTGACTGTACATAGTGTAAGAAATAGGTGTCACCATATGGAACTTCTAATTTTTAAAATAAAATACAGTGGAATGATAGAGTCTAATTAATTTTAGTAAGATCATGGTTCATTTATGAATGATGAAGCCATTGTTTCATTTCATGGTGTATTCAATATGTATTTATTTTTAATTATAGCTTGAAAATATGTGACAGTGTTTAATATGTAGACGAGGTCATTTTTGCCAGTGATATTTGAATCTTGCTTGCTGAAATATGAAATGTTTTTGTCTTAATTCAGGAATTATAGTAATGTCCAATTCATTATAAATACAGCTTCACCCCTTCTGCATCTCAAAAAGAGTCACCATACATCTGTTCCCTTTAACTCCTTGACTTGGTATATTCCCTCATTAGTCATTGTGTTCTCACGCAGCTTTTAATTTCCTCCTAAACACTGAATACCACAAGATATGTAATTTCACTGCTGGGGACAGAATATTTAAATACTGGAAGTGGAAGATGCAACATTTCACTTAAATCGAAATAACCTAAGGGAAATATTGTATTTTTCTTTTATCACAGTACATTCAGAAGAGTATACAGAATTGGAATATTAATCCACACTGTTTTAAAATTACTTTTGGCATACTAAACTTATAAAAATTATAATAAATGGTGTTGTTATTACCTTAGAAATAGAGCTTCATGTGATAGTTTTGAAAACATTCCATGCAGAGTCACATATCATATGCATCACACCAGGGCACAGTGTCCTTATTTTTCCAGTGCTTCTGACAGCACACAATCTCTGAACTTGCTTTCTTTACAGGTGGTGGAAGCTTACTTTTAAAATGTCTTTCTGTTAGTCGAGGCACTGTGTTGTCTGAAGAATATCAACCCAGTACTCTGAATTCCATAACATAGCATACTTTTCAAACAGTCCCTCACTGAATTGAATTCTGAGTGACAACTGATCATTCCTTTTCCCTCTATTATTCCTGTATACTGTGGTGTACAGACCCATTGGTAAGCAGTGACTCTGTAAACTGTGGCTGTTGCTAGGTAACACCCACAACATACATGCATGCAACAACAGAAGAATGGTGTTTTCTATGTGATCCGTGCAAAGGAGCTATCTTGAAGACAGTTTGCACTGTAGTTCAGTCCCTGCCTGGGAATTAGCAGCAGACACCTACCTCTTAAAATTGCAGCACCAACAAAACAAGGTTCTTCCCACCACTGGAAATTTTCCAAGGTGCACACCAGTCCACGATTTGTACACGGCTTTCAACCTTCCATATGCATATGATTATATAACAAAATTGTGCAGGTGACAGGCAGAAGTCATATGAAATCATGAGAATGAACATGTTTGTAGTATAGGACAAGGCAAAGACATACATAGAAAACAGAAGAGGCTTAAACTTGGCTATGGTCATGTTTATGGCCATTCAAGTGACTAAGCTGCTGTTGTAGCATTAGATACATAAGATAGGCATGATCTGTTGGCAAAGCCTTATAGTGCATAAGCAAAAATTTTTGATAACATGCTATATGTGCAATATGTACACTTGATGAAAGGCCAGGCATATTCATAAGAGACAAACCCATCTTGTCAAAAGAGGATGTTACATGAGGACTATTACCACAAGGATTCAGTTGGAAAGAGGTCTCTTGTCATAGGTCTCAAGGGGCTTTGGCTTTGACTTTGTATCAGCTGGTAAACCCGCAGGCAGTGGCATGACCATGGAGGCTGAAGAATCTCCACCATTAAAGCTGATGGCAGGAAATGGTTCGTGGAGACTGTAATAGACTGAAGACGTGTGTGTGTGCGCGCGCGCGTGCACGTGCGCATGTGAACTGTAAAGTGTAGTTCCGAGCGGCGTATGCCAGTGGTCAGTAAATCCAGTATTCAGTCCATACCAAGTCTATAGTCACACACTCCTAAAACGTGACAGTATTATCATAGCAGTCAGAACTGAGGCCTGCAAGAGCCTGCAAAATAGCTTCATATACCATTTATTCATTTTCTTCCTCTCAGTCAAATAAGAAGAGTTCAGCAGTTTTTCCTTCAAATTAACTCATATCATTGACTGGTTCTAATTCAGCACTGAAATTGGTTTGACTCTTCTTTGCCTCCAGATGTAGCAGTCCAGGTATCATGACTGATATATGGAAATCATAGTGACCATAATTTTTGTCACTACATATTGCGACAGAAACAGGGTCAGAATGTTTTGCTATGATTTCACCTTTCATTGTTTTTGTGTTTTTTACTTTCATGAGAAGGTTCTTTCAGTTCAGTTTCAGTGTACCACTGTCATCTCTTTTGTATATGTCTGGCCTTGTTTCAGTAGAGTACCAGTTTTAGAACAATGGCTGTTGTCTTGTTGGTATCAGCTGTGGCCAAGGATGGAGTAAAGTTTTGTATCCTTGCTTGTATATATAAGAAAGGAGCACAAGTACCCAATGGTAGCAGTACACATCTTGTAAATTTTAATTCCATATATGGAGTGTCTTGAGTGGGATGTACTGTTCCGAAGTACAGGCAGTCCTCCCAAAGCCTCTGAAGGCTTGGGAGATACAGTTCCTGAAATGTGTTATTTAAATGTGAAATTATCAGCAAAATTTTGAAAAGTTTTTTGCTTCTTCATAATTGTTGATGGTTCCTTGTCATTAAAATGTAAGAATGTGCGTATTAGTTCAATCTCTCTCCTGTTATGTCTCCAAATCCTAATGTGGAAATTACCCTTTTTGTGGTAAAATATGAATTGAGAACAGTTTCTGAATAATGATCATAAGCATTAACAGAACCAATGCAACATTAGTTTCTCCCACTGTTACAGGTTTCATACTCTAGCAGGTGACCAACACGGTAGCATAGTGGTTGAGGAGCTATGCTACAAGCCGGAAGGTCACGGGTTCAAGTCCTGATGAGGTCATTGGATTTTTTTTCAGTTGACCTAATCCTTCCAGCCACACTAGGCCCTGGGGTTTACTCAGCCTCTAACAGAAATGAGTACCAGGAATTAAATAATTTTCCTGGGGAGTAAAGCGCGGCCGGCACATAAGGCTGACAACCTTACCGCCATCTTTGAGCTGATTGTCTAGATAGTGTGGGGCCCTCAACGTCTCACAACCCTATGGGCCTTCATGGCCTGGTACAGGGATAGCTTTACTTTTTACTACACTAAACAGTGTAGTTGAAATGTGTCTTAGTCACTAACACATGACATTGTGTTTGCAGACATTTGCCACATAAACACATCTGGCAGAGTGGCAAAACAGTGGCAGCCACTGAAAGTTGAAAAGGCTCTGATAGATCTAGTAGGTGCCCGTTATCTAGTAGTATCAACAATGAACAACTCTGTTTAGTTTTGAAGACACTAATGAGAACTAAAGCATCAAGGAATTGATGCCGGGACTGGAGAGTTGAATGATTCAGTCTAACTAATGTGTCATCATATCTCTTATAACAAAAAAATCTGCTATAGCACAAGGCTACAAATTTTACTTGAACTGTAAGATTTGAGATTTTCACAGCGGTGACTATGAAGAATGCCATCTTGTGGGATGTGGTGCAGTGTAGATCTAGTGTAAGCCGATGTTTCGGAGGAATGTATTGCCTCCATCTCCAGGGTAGAAAAATCCACAAGCGAGGACTATCAGGGGTCAAAAAGGAAAAAGTGATGTAACAGATCAAATCTAACATTATTAAGCATTCTGAAGACCACACCATAGCTCAAGTGGTTAGTCTCTGGCTTCCCAGTGCGGCGGCCTGGGTTCGGTCCCGGGTCTGGTCAAGTGGGATTTGTGGTGGACAAAGCAGTGCTGGGGCGGGTTTTCTCTGAGTACTTCGGTTTCCCCTGCCAATCTTCATTCCACCAAATTCTCCATCATCATAATCACCTGGGGCAGGCTACAATAGGTCAATCAGTGGCCGCTGTGCCGAGTGGACCCAGTTGGACTCCAATCCCCCCCACTAAGTGAATTAAAGAAAAAGCCTTTTGAAAATATGTACTCAACATTTCTGTGAAAGTGAAGCATACAGTCCAGCAATTTCAAGATCAAGACAGTGGGTGCATGCTAGTATTTTGTTACGTAATTGTAATTAATGTTCATGTTTACAAAATATAAAATCGTTTAGGTAGTATATAGGTCTATAATTCCATGCACAGTGCTGTTACCTGTCTTAAAAACAGGAATAGCATAATAACAACAGTAGTAAGTCATTTATGTAAGAAGCACACTAATATGATAAAGAGAAACAGTTTTGGTTCAAAATATGTCAGTATCCCTACAAACAACATTAGCAGCTGAAGTGCATCTAGCAGAAGAACAAACATTGAACATAGAAAATTCTCTGATATACAAAGCAGGAACTCGAAATGCCTGCAGTTTCCAGAAGAGAAAGAATTCATGACCAAAATAAACTTGAATGAGGAACAGTGCAGCCAGGTGATACCTTCTCTTACATGGTAAACTATGCTGTAAACCATAGGCACAACTGTAATAGACGTGGAGAAATAAGTGATTAAAACAGAATGAAACTTCTGCTGGATGCATTACAATTTTTTTAACATCAGTAGACATAGTGGAATTCCAAACAGGTGAATTTAAGCTTAGATGTAAAAAAAGGTAAAGTTATCCCTGTAACAGGCCATGGAGGCCCATAGAGTTGTGAGAGGTCAAGGCTCCCACATCTTACAGACAGTCGGCTCACAGATGGTGGTAAGGTTGTCAGTCTTAAGCGCTGGCCGCTCTTTACCCCCCAGAAAGATTCCTGGTACTGATTTCTGTTAGAGGCTGCGTCCACCCCAGGGCCATAATGTGGCTGGAAGGATTAGGTCAATTGAAAACATCCACCTCATAGGGACTCAAATTTGCGACCTTCCGGCTTGTAGCATAGTGCCTCAACCAAGTACACTACCATGTACCCCAAGCTTAGATGCATTTAAGGTAAAATATAAGGTGGCTCAGGTCTAGAACACCGAAATTAACAGCTGTGGGGATTCTTTGCACTGACCACGTGACACCCTCTATCCACTAAAGTTGGCACTAACTTCGCTGACAAGCGGCGGCCACTTGATCAGTATAGTTTGCTTGTGGACTAAAACCACGGAGTTTGTTTTATATATATAGACATTCGAGGGATATGAAGGAGAAGGTTACATTGCAAACTACACCCAACAATTTAATACACCGAGAAAATGTATAATTGACATGATTATTGGAAACATTTACAATCTATAAATACTGCCAAGCCCTTAATAGAGTCAATGAGGGTTATAGATGATTGCCAAAGTTTATGCTCGCAGATGAGTGTTTTCTTTGAGAAGAATATAACTTTTATTAATT